GCACGTACGGGATTGGATACTTTACGAGAAGCACAAAATACACTAAAGGAAGCAAATGATATTCTTGGCTCAGTATCAGACATGCATGAAGATTGGCTTAAAGGTATTGACAAATCTTTAAAAAATCACAGTCAGTCTATTGCTGACTACAAGAAAAGTATAGATTTTTTACATAGTGCTATGGACGTACATGATGGAAGCATAAGGAACTTACTTAATGCTAACAATAACTTACCAGGAACTATTAAAGCATTTATAAAGTCCTTTGTAAAACCTGGTGCTCTAAACATTTAGGTCTTTGAGAGCAAGAGCATTGAAGTCAAGAGATGCAGAAACTCCAAACAGAACCTACAGAAGGAACTGAAACAACAGAAACTCCAGAAGAACCACCAAAACCAACAGCTAATGAAATATTGTTCGAATATTTTCCAAGGTACTCTGTTCTTCATTGCATACATTCAAGAAATACTTAAGAAAGCAGACTTGACTTTAGGAGATGATGAAAGTTCTGTATATCTTTCGTTCCAGTTTCAAATAGCAGAACTTTTGAGACAGATATGCTTAATGTATGACAACATCTCTGATTTCACAAGATATGATGACGACCATGACCCCGAACACGGTGAAGAAGAAGTTTTACAAACATCCATTAAGACAGGAAAGGTTCTAACACAAAGTCTCATTATTGACACTAAAGATGGCGAAGTGGACGTTCTTCAAGAGCTGAAGAAAAATACTTCTTCGGGAGGTGGTGGTAGGCATGAACTTGAAATAAATGAGATAGAAGAGAAATTAGCCGAAAAAGCAGATAAAAACATGTTCATTATATAAGTTCAGACGAACAGATTATAACGGACTACCATGGATATTTAACACAGGATGAACAAATAAGCACTGAAATGTTAATGAAAGAAGATATAAATTCATTCGTGCTAAAGGTTATGACATACACTGTACTGTACAGTATGACACAGGTAAAGCACCAGAAACATTTGGTTATAACAATGAAATTTATGCTTCATACTTCTTTGTTAACGGTGTATTAGTTGAACCAAGATTTACATTGAGAGTTAAGGCAAAAATAACTTTTTGAAGATGCTATTAAAAGTAAAGCAGAGAAAGAAGAACTTGACGCAACGAACAAAGTTTTGAAATCTCATAAACACAATATCTCCGATATAAATGAACTTCAGGCTACGTTAGATAAAAAAGCAGATAAAGAACATACACATAAATCCTTCACTACTGTTAGAGCAGACGACATAATATTGAACTATACCCTTGGTTCAAGTGCACCTTTAGAGAATCCAAGTACAAGCGTAAAAGATACACTAAACAATTTAGATAACAGTTGCAGGAATATCGAAGATCATGTCAGAAACTTTGAAACACATGAACTACCAGCAATGTTAGATAAAAAAGCAGATAAAGAACATACACATAACTCCTTCTCAACTGTTGCTATAGAAAGTATTGAAGGAACGGTTGGCAGAACTGGTGGGGATGCATTATATTATAAACCTCCTAACTTTCCACAAGGTTTAACATCGAATGAAAACATAACAACGAAGAAAGAAATTAGCTGTAAAAATGTTTATGTCATGGATGATGAAAATAATGTTAAATTCACTGCTCAAGATTTATATGATAAGAAAGCCGACAAGAACCATACACATAAGTCCTTCACTACTGTTAGAGCAGACGACATAATATTGAACTATGATTTGGGTTCAAGTGCACCTTTAGAGAATCCAAGTACAAGCGTAAAAGATACACTAAACAATTTAGATAACAGTTGCAGGAATATCGAAGATCATGCCAGAAACTTTGAAGCATATGAACTACCAACAATGTTAGATAAGAAAGCAGACAAAACAGAGCTTCAAACATTAAAGACTGAAATACTTCAAACATTATATCCTATAAGCTCTATTTATACGTCAATGAACTCAACAAATCCAGCAAGTGTTTTAGGTTTTGGTACATGGCAGCAGATTGTAGACAGGTTTTTGTATTGTGCAAACTCTTCAAAGGAAACAGGTGGTTCAAAGAAAATTACTGAAGCAAACTTACCTGCGCACACTCATACAGGAACTACAAACACAACAGGTAGTCATTCACATTCAATAACAAAAAGAGGTTATACAAATCTTGCAGCAGGTTCGGATAGACAGGGAATGCATAGATATGATATTTCAAGTGACCCAGTAGATTCAAGCGCAGGTATTTTCTGTGGAACCGCAGGAAATCATGTCCATACTTTCACAACAAATCCAACAGGCTCGGGTGAAGATTATATGCCACCATTTATGACTGTATTCGCATGGTACCGCGTTCAATGAACGCGCTTGAGCCTAGAATAAAATCTTTAACTTTACATAAATGAGCTTGAAAGAAGTATTCGAACAACATCCATGGAGGTCATTTAAGAAATTCAATGAAGCTGCAAAGAGTTGGGGATTTACTAACAGAGCTGAAGTGAAAAGGTTCTTTGACAAAAATGTTGTACATCAAACAAAAATAAACCCTTACGACTACTTTTTACCAATTTACTCCAACACTCCTGACGCATACCAATTTGACACCCTCGTTCAGAGTAAGAAAGGAGGACATAAACCATTCCTCATCTTCATTAATGTTAACACTCGTAAAGCATATGCATATCCAATGAAAAATAAAGGAACTCGTGAAGTGTTAAGAGTTTTACAAAAGTTTGTAGCAGAACATAGCCCAAGTACTTTAACATCAGACCAAGACAGTGCATATCTCAGCAATGAAATCACAGATTTTCTCATTAAGCATAACATAACTCACTACACTACTGAAGACCATAACCATAACATACTCGGCATCATAAACCGCTTCATAAGAACGCTCAGAGATTTAAATCAAGAGCGAGACTTTACCGAAGAAACAATGAAACATTTTCTCGAAGTATATAATTCCTCAACACATTCTACAACAGGACATACACCAAATTCAATGACACAACAACAAGAAGAAAAGTATATACAAAAGAAACGAAGCCAAACACAAAATATCAGAAATTCAACACAATTTACCCTCATTCCTGGTACAAAAGTTCGTGTAGTTCTTGACGACAAACCGTTGACAAAGAAACGTTTAAGGTTAAGTAGAAACTATTATATCGTAGACTCTACGCAAGGTAATGGATATCTTATAAAAGCTGCTGACGACTCTATTGCGTTTTATCCTCGACATAAATTAGTCGAAAGTAGTAATGGCAAACTTGCTGAAACCATTGACGAAGCAAAGCGAGGAGTGGTTATTGAAATACTTGGCTATAACATAAACGATGACACTTATAAAGTAAGATATGAAGGAGGTGTTGAAGATGTTATACCATCTAAGAACTTGAGAGAGTCAAAGCCAACACATCTGGGACCATTAGAGCGAGAGTACTGGAAAGACAAAAATAAGCCAGAAAGAATAAGAAAATTCTTCTAAACTTTTTCATTAGATGTAAATCAGACATGAATGAGAACAGTCATGATATCATTAATGGTACCATTTATTTTTGTCATAAATTTACACCAAAAATAATGTTGAGGTGAAGAGGTGAGATCTCACCCGTTTTTTCACCTCTTTTTTCACCCTCATGAATTTTCATGAATTTCCTTAAGATAGAAAAAATAAAGTTAGTTTTATTTTTATTTATTTTTTTATTTTGTATGTAAAGATATGATTTCAACAATCGGCACAACAACAATTCAAGCCACAATTACAGCACCAAACTCGCTAGTCATGAATCCTACGTCAATGTTGGTAGAGATGAAAAACTTCATTCCTTCTTCATATACTTTCGAAACAAAAATCCAGAAGATAAAGCAAGAACTGTTAACAAGTAATTTAGACTGTACCGCACAGGATGAAGAAAATGAAGAATATCTTTATGACATGCAGGACCTCATCGACCATTTACCTAAACTACCTGAAATTCAGCAACAAAAACTAACCATTCCCGAATTTGACGAAATTGAAGTCAAAGCAACTGACTCGGTAGAAATAAAGAAGTTCATACGAAAGGTAAACTATGAGTTTCTAGGATATCATTGCAACCATAAAGTTATGGACAAAGATTGCGACATGGTTTATAAAAATATTTCTGACCTTTACAAATCCGAAGAATTTAAGACATACGACAACTTTGTTTCATTAATTGCAGAATGTGTATGGCAGATAAGAGATAAAGATAGAAGAGGTAAAGTATGGAATGAACAGATAAAACCAGCAGCTTTTGAGTTAAAGAAAACCATTGACGCCTTAGTTGTTCTAGCTGGTTTTATTTCAATGTATAACGCAAAAATGAATCCGCAATGTTCTAAATGTAAAGCAGCAATGAGGAAATATAACTACTCAGTCAAAGAGATAGAAAGAATGCGAAACGACTATGCAGACTTAAAGAAAGAAGCAGAAAAGCCAGCAGAAGATAAAATGGATATGTTGACATTTCTTAATAAAAACTATCCAACAGCAGAAGATTTCCTTCTGTCTGACGTCAAGAAGAAATATAAAGAGACTTTCGGCATGATTAAAACATTCGATGTACTAAAAGAAGAAATAGAAGCTACGAAATTGTTTAGGATTTCAAATATACATCGTACAATTCATGTAAAACGCTTGTGAAAAAACAGGTGAGAAAACGGGTGAGATCTCACCTCTTCACCTAAACATTATTTTTGCTGAAAAATGACCAAATTTCATGAATTTTCATAAAAGATAAAAATAAAACTAACTTTATTTTTATTTATTTTTTTATCTTGTATGTAAAGACATTAATGTCAAACATTGAGTTTGAAACAGTTAGAAAGATAGACAATGACACCAAAGTGGTTAGAATAGGTGATTTAAACGTAAGATACTCAAAGAAATACAACAAATATTCTTTGTCAGACATTATATCTCCATCTGGAAAGAAAACAAAGGACTGGGTTAGAATTGCTTCTACTCAGAAAATTTTGACAAGAAATCCTGAGCTCATGATATCAGTAGCATTTCATGGAACAAGAGCATATCTTATAGACAAAAGTCTTATACCAATAGTTTTGTTATGGTTAGACCCAGTTGTTGGATATAACTTCATAACATATGGTTCATTCGATACGGAACGTTGCAGTGAAGGCTTACTTTACATCGTTCAGAAACCGAAGGACTTCAACACAAAAAGATATAAGATAGGAAGGACATATAATATAACTCAAAGATATGACAGTACAGTCAATAGAGTCAAGGTTGTGTTCGTTAATGATATGAGAGCTGCTGAAACAGAACTACTCGAAAAGTTTGAGAAAATGTATGGTGCTCCCACGAAAGGTAAAGAAACGTTTGAAGTAGATGAGATAGATAAAGCTATAAAATTATTTGACGAAGTTGCTGAAAAATACATGTAAAGCGTTTATTTTTTGGTCTTTTGTGAAAGTCAGAAAATAAAGTTAGTTTTATTTTTATTTATTTTTTTATTTTGTATGTAAAGACAGTAATGTCAACATCAGAGAACACAACAACAGTTATAGTCCATGAAGCCAGTAATGAAGAATACGAGTACATACAGTATAACAAACAGTTAAGTCTCATTCGTTCGGTCAAAGATGACATGTACCAAATGCAAAGTATAATGAATGCTCTTTGTTCTACAAAGCAAGCATATCATTGGTTTGAAAACCAACAGACAAAAGAACTTTTAGAAGAATTTCCTCATATGATTGCTTCCCTCGGAAAACCGGGGGAAGAGATTCCGTATGAAAATCGCAAGAATTTGGCTCCTGGTTTGAAAGGTTATTATGTTCATAGACTTTTAGTAAACGCTGTAGCAATATGGGCTTCACCTCGTTATGCTTGTTATATTTTCATGATGTTAGATGAACTATATAAAGCAGAACGTGGAGAGATGGAAAAGAAACTTCAAGCAAAAGATGAAGTCATTGAATCCAAAGACAAAAGCATACAGAAAAGAATACCGCGTTCAGTACCAAAAGGAAAGGAAAAGAGTTATAAGTATATGATATATACTGAAGAGTTGGAGAAAGAAGAAGACAGAGATATGGTTATGTTGCATTTAGTCAGAAGAAACAACAAAAGCTTTTATGACCTTGCTAAGATTTACAAATCTGACAGAAACTGGTTCTATCGTGAAAACTTACCGATTTCAATGACACCGAATGAGCAAATAAAGGAAATTGTCAAAAATACTCTTCCTCAAACACACTATGACATCAAAGGTTGCACAATACTTACATTCAAAGAAGACTTAACATTACTGAAGGAAAAAATAACAGAATATTTCGATAACTTCAAAGAGGAAGAATGAAGTCACGACAACATTAACGATGAAGTCACGACAACATTAACGATGAAGTCACGACAACATTAACGAAAAGAGAATGAGGTGAAAAAAGAGGTGAAAAAACGGGCGAGATCTCACCTCTTCACCTAAAATATATTTTTGTGCTATATTTACACTCATTTACGAAGAAGTCATGAATCCTACGTCAATTATGTTCGACACTGTAAGCATTAACGATAACATTAACGATAACATTCATTTCCAGGCTAGTTCTCTAAATGTCATGTTGTCATCATTTTTAAAAGAAGTTAATTAACCTGGTGACATGGTGACGTGGTGACATGGTGACACCCTCAGTTCTTCAAAAATATATTTTTGGTTAAATAGCTTCAGGGTCTATTTCTTCAACCATTTCACTTCCTTCGTCAATGTCAATAGAAGCTTCTTCAACCTTTGGTAGGAGCTTCTGTATAACATCTTTGTTCGTTATTGTCTTCAGAGATGAAGGATAATATTTCACATTTGTTTCACCTTTCTTATATTCTTTCTGCTGCGATAAATCTAAAACAATACTGAAGAAGTCAATGTTAGAGTTCTTTATAACAGTATAATGAGTATCTTTGACATTCACGAAGAAACTCTTTTGTTTCAAAACTACTGCTAACTCTTGTGAAGTATAACGTTTGCGGTCAATGACGATAGCTAATGGTCTGACATACTGACCAAACTTAGATTCTTTCACAAACTTCTTGTTAAAGATAACATTAACATTTGAAGCATTATTGAACTCATTCTTGATGGCAGTAGCGAGAGCATTGTATGAAAAGAACTTGCAATCTTGCATGTGTTTCATTAAAATAAAAATATTAAATTATTTTGAAAAATAACTTAAAAAAATCTAATCTAATTTTTTCAAAAAATATTTTTTTATTTCCTACTAAAGATGTATCGGAAGTTGTCTAAGTTAGAACACTCGGAAATAAAACAACTTCTTACAGAAGCTAATATAGATGTTGCAAAGCATTACGCAACAAACAAAAAGGCACTCGCTGACATCCTCAATGACTATAATGGTGCAATAAGTTATGATAGAATTCATGAGTTCATAAAGCCGCAACGCGGCGAGGACGAAGTCCATGCAATAGCATTTCCTTTAAATGACGTTGCTATTGACTTATATCATAGACGTTCAGTACCTCATGAAGTAAGAAGAGAAATGTTTGACATAACAAATGCAAACGTTGGTGAAACAAGAAGAAGAGACGACACACTGAAACAACAGAGAAGAGAGATGTTTAAAAGTGCTATAGAACAAGTTCGTAAAGCTAACGATGTCATTCGTTCCATTGACGACAAACCAAAAGAAGGTGAGAGATGGTTAAAGAAAGATGAAGAGAATAGGAAGAGAAATGTGAAGTCAGGCAATAGACTCATTGACTTTAACATCGAAGCTTTAGATGAACCAAACAGAGACTACTTACACAAACATTTCGGTAAGGTTTTCATGAGACTCTTAGAGAAAATTAAAATAAACTCACAACAGAGATGGATGGTATGTTATAAACTTGGTGGAAAGTATGAATGTTCTACGTTAAACCTCAATAATATTGGAACATTACTACATCAGCTCTTGAAGGAGAACTTTATATCAGAGATAGAAGCAAATGCTGCAGGTATTGTTGAAATGCACTATGACTTCTTCTTGACAAACATAAAGAATCTTACTGAAATAAAGATGTATGATTTAACAGAATATGAAGGCTTAACGATGTCAGATGTAAAGAAAGGCAAACCAAAAAAGAGACCATATAGAGATGAAAGCACACTGACAAATGACCAGAAAGCCATTTTGGAAGCTCTTAAGCAAACAGGAAACCCAGCACTTATAGAAAGCTTTTGGAAAGATAATGGTGAAAAGAAGTTTTATAAGAAGAGAAGCGGTCAGTTCTGGAAGTATCTTTGCACATTACCTATAAATCTTGAACGCTACCAAATCTTCAATGAATTGAACAAAAGAACTGCAACACTTATGACAGAAGATAACTGCTTCGTTTATGCTTGCATTCAGGCTGGAGTAAATGAAGAAACTATTGACCACATGAGAGAAGTCATTCGTGTTAGAGACTTTCCTCAAAGTAAAGTACAAGAAATTTCTGACGCAACAGGTATAGCATTTAATGTTACCATTGGTTATTTCAATGACTCAAGACATAATGAAATAAAGAGATACATACCAAAAAATGTGAAACTGTTAGAACTATTGACTTACTTCTTGTTGAAGACCACTACATGCTAAATGAAAGATTACCAATGACAACATATTTCGTCAGAAATTACAAAGAAATTCTCAAAGCTTGTGGTGGAATGAACATTGAGAAACAAATGAAGATTATACAAAGAGAGAAGATAAATATGTAGTTCGTTATGATAGAACAACACCGTTATGGGATGTTATGAAAACATTGTGGGAGTGCAAATATTTCGAACCTATTTCTTATGGAGAACTTTTCACATATACTACTGACTTATATAAACAGAACCTTGCACCATTTAAAGATTTGACATATGCTCCAAAGTATTGTGTACAACTGAAGAAGAAAGCCGAGTCAAAAGAAGTAAATAAAAATAAGTGCAAGTTCATTCCTGAGCACGTTTTCTTTGCTGACTTTGAGTGCAGTACCGATGGCTTTCATAAAGCTTTTAACATATGTTACGACAGTGAAGATGGTTCAGTGAGTGAAAGCATTTGGGGTCAGAACTGTGCAACAGAATTTTTGGAGCGACTTCCTGACAAGAGTTTAATATATTTCCATAACCTCAGTTATGATATAAACTTCATCTTAAGACACATGACAGAAGTGAAAGGAACTCCCATCATTAAAGGTTCACGAACAATGCAAATAACTGGCTTATATAAAGGAAGGGCAATTATTATAAAAGACTCTTACAGTGTTATAAATAAGAAGCTTAAACTATTTCCTGCTATGTTTAACTTACAAACAGGACCGAAAGAAGTATTTCCATATAACTACTACAGCAGTGTTTTGTTAGCAAATGACAACAGAACTGGTGTCATTTCTGAAGCATGTAAGTTTATCCGGGATGCAGATACATTCATGAAAAACATAGATTCCATCAAAGGTTGCAGAATAGATGAGAACCACTTCGACTTAGAAAAGTATAGCACATTTTATTGCAAACAAGATGTAAGAATTTTAAGAGAAGGTTTTGTTAAGTTCCGCAATGACATATTGAAAGAATTTGATTTAAACGTTTATGACTACGTTAGTATTTGTTCTATTGCTAACAAATTATTTGAGAACAGAGTGTACTTCCCGAATGGAAATTTATATGACCTCTCAAATAAACCAAGAGAATTTATTTCGAGATGCATTCAAGGTGGAAGATGTATGTTGTCAGATAACATTAAACAAAAGAGTAAAGAGAAACTCATTGCTGATTTCGACGCTGTTTCATTATATCCATCAGCTATAGCAAGACTTTATACTTTAGAAGGTATTCCAAAGGTTATGAAGAAAGAAATGTTAAGCACAGAGTATCTCATGAGACATTTATTCGATGACGACCAAAAGGAACCCATTGGTGAAAAGTTTATGTCTGGCTTCTTTGTTCTCATTAAGATAACAGAGATTGGAATACATAGACACTTTCCTTTAATAGTTTGTGACCCTGAACTAAATCCAGAACTTAACGTTCCCAGAAGTTCAAACACTTGCTGTTTAATGTATGTTGACCATATAACATTACAAGACCTCATAAAATATCAAGGTGTCAAATGTGAAGTGTTGCAAGGATACTATTACGATGGAAACAGAGATATTAGAATAAGAGATGAAGTAAAGAAGTTGTTTGAGTTAAGGTTAAAGTATAAGAAAGAAGGAAATCCTTTGCAAGAAAATATAAAGCTCATTCTGAACAGTATTTATGGCAAAACTATTCTATCTCCTATTGAGTCAAAAATAACCATAGTAAATGACAAAGATGCTATAAGATATGCCATCAGAAACTACAACCATATAGTGAAGTTCGAAGGTTTGGATGGTTCAGATAAAACTATTTTCAAGCTAACGAAAAGCATTTGCAGACACTTTAACTTCTGTCCACTTGGTGTTAACATTCTGTCTATGTCGAAGAGAATAATGTGTGAAGTATTCTGTACTGCTGAGGACTTAGGAATGGACATCTTTTATAGCGATACGGACAGTATGCATCTCTACAATGAAGATATCCCTCGTTTAGCTGAAGAGTTTGAGAAACGTTATGGAAGAGTTCTCATTGGTAAAAACCTTGGTCAATTTCATAGCGACTTTGCAGAAATCACACCTGGAAAACAAAGTTTAGCATACAAGTCAATATTTTGTGGAAAGAAGACTTACATAGACTTACTCACGAACGATTTAAATGAAGTTGCATTTCACTGCAGAATGAAAGGCGTGAAGCAAGATGTTATTGCTTTAACCGCTAATGAAATGTTTCCTGACTCTGTTCAGTGTTTCTATGATGAAGATAAAGGTTTAATGGTTCCGCAAGGAACATATGACAAAGACTCTGAGTTCAGTTTAATGAAACTTTACAAAGCACTTTATGACGGTCAAGAGATTGGATTTGACTTATGTAAGTCATGTCAACCTTGCTTTGAAGAGAAGTTTAACTTTTCTATTCAGACTAAGACTTCATTCATAAGAAAGCTTAAGTTCTGAGGTCATGAATGAGAAAAATAATGAGGTCATTTATTTTTGTCAGCAATGAGGTCATTCGTGATAAAAATAAAACTAGCGGCAAGGGCGAAGCCCATGTGGTCATTTACAATACTGCGATGGTAGAGTTTAAGAGTTGTGCTTCAATGTAGAGACAGTCCTTATGGTCTGGAGGTAAGAACACTGGGCAGTTATGGTCATGAGTGGAGAACATGTCTATCCAAAACTCACGATTGAAGCCAGTTAATTTATAGTATTTAGGGTTAGGAAGTGGTGAAGTTCTTGTATGACCAATGAACTCATTTTCAACTCCCTTACTTAAGTTTGAATATAATATAGCTTGCTTTCTATCCCAAATGCCTGGAAATCTAATTTTGGAAAAATCATTTTTCCTCGGAAGCATTGCATCATAATTGAAAACATTCTTGAAATCATCACTTGGTTCAGAGATTTGAAATCTTATACGTAATGGATTTTTTTTTTTTTAGCTACTTCATTGAATGGTGAGAATACAATGAATTGACAGTCATGTGTTCCATCTTCATTTGTTACAAACTCGTAATGAAAAGCTATTAATCTTTCTACAATTCCTTCTTCTTTCAGTTCTGCAAGAAAATCACGTAAAGGCTGTAAAGTTTGTACTTCAATGTTAAACTTCTTTTGAAAATTTTCGTAAAATGTAATTATACAGTCTTCTAACGTCGTACTGTCATTGAAGTATTTGTATATGTGAATGTTTTGGGCGCTTAAAGACTGTTCGTCATTTTCTATCTCGACTTGAAGTATAAAGTCAACCTTTCTGAAAGCACGTGTTATATACATAGATGTTATGCCAATGTACTTCTCTTCATTTATGTTCACAATCCAGTCTGTTGGAAACTTAAACGTTACTCTGTTCCCCTTTATTTTGACGTCAGGGTTTTCACTACTGAACGCAACAGATAAAGGTATTTGTCTATACATTTAATTCGGATAAAAATAAACCATTTACTCTTTCTTTGCTTCAGCTTCTTTAGCTTTTGCTTCAGCTTCTTCTCTAGCTTTTTTCGCCAGTAGTCTTGGGTTCTTTTGTCTTCCAGCAGCTAATGCAGCAAGTTGTTTTTCACTAAGTTTTCTCTTTGGTCTCTCTGGCTTTTGTTCTTGTTTTTGTTCCTTCAGTTCGGATAAAATTTGCTCACGAATTTCTTTCTTCAATGCTTCAACATCTATGACCCCCTGGGTCTTGTCCGTAGGACTTGTCTGAGTCATTTGACTGCAGATAAAAAACAAAATTAAAACTTTAACCGATGTAAAATGAGCTTGTCAAAATCAGAGCGAGAGTCTATTATATTAAATGACGCAAGAGGAATACAACATCCTTTCTATTACGTAAGTCAGAGTAAAGATGGTAAAATATACGTAAGAAAAAGAAAGGTTCCATTAGCGAATGCAGAAAGCGACAACATTAAGGTGTATGGCAAGGGTGAAGTCCACGAATCCCATATAAAACCTTCTGTTCAAACTGAAAAGTCAATAGAACCTGAAGAAAAGAAGCCAGATGTACTTTCAATAACGAACCAAGAGCTTATTGCAAAGTTCGTGAATTTCATTGAAAAACAAACCGAGTCAAAGAACCCTGACCCACCAGTGAAAGAAGTTGAGACAAAAGAGAATGTACAGTTCATTGAAAATGTCAAGAAACAACTTCCACCACGAATGCCAAGAAGAAGAGTGAGAATAATGAAGTAAATAGATATTTTTATCTGAAGTAAATACATGCAGAACGAACAGCTAAACGAATTTACTCCAGCAGAGCATATTCATCAGATTCGCTCATATTTCGATATCATAGACAATGCAGTTCAAATTGGTGACACTAATAGAAAATATTCTGACGCAAAGATTCCATCACAACCTGGAACTGCTAAAGATAACACATGGGTAACATTCAATCTCTCACCTCCTGGTGAAAATATGTTGGACCTTTACAATACATTCATTACGTATAAAATGGAAGGTCAATTTATTGTAGATAAAGAAATTGGTTCAGGTTCCAATAAAACAAACCCACCAGGATTTTGGATTGGTTTCGATGACGCTTTCTATGCAGTTGCTGGATATCAAATCCTTGCAAATGGTCGTATCGTATATTCTCAAGACAACGCAAGAGAAGAAGCATATATAACTTCAAACTCACAAACTACCGAACAAATAAAGAAAGTAGATGTTTTCTCAAAGACTCGACATGAAGATGTATGGAGTCATTCGGGAACATGCAGAACAGGACAAATTGTTAGTGGTCCAATTACAGCAGGAAAATCATTTGATTTTAAGCTTCGTTTAAGAATTCCTGTTAGAAGATTCCTTCCATTAGAAGCTATTCGATTTATTCCAGCTTTTGCAGGAAACATTCAGCTTAAAGTAAAGTTCAGTAGCGACGCCTTACAATGCACATCTATATCTGTAAATGATATCATTGCTTTAAATCCAACTCTTAAAGTTGCATTTGCTTCAGATTCAAATCCACCGACAAATAAATTTGTTCCATGGAATGAACCATTCACTATGATAACGAAGGCAGTAGAAGCTAGTGGAACAGTTACTATTACAACTGTAACCCAGCAACTATTTCGAACAAAGATGGATTTTAATGAATGTTTCATTCATCCAAAGTCATTCTCTTTAGACCCTAACATTTATACAGAACTTGTAGAACATTATACAAACGAGGCTTTATGTTTTCCTGTTAAAGTTATGGATTGGATTCCTATGGACGGTTCATTCTCAAAGAATACAGATAGTTCAAGTGCAACATTTACAGCAGCTTATACGCCTATTAATGTTAAAAGTATTTGGGCACTATTTAGAAAGAAAGACAACTATTATGTTAATTTTGAGAACCCTAAGTTTAAATATCTTCAGCTTTCCATGGGAGCTTATGGAAATATGCCTGCAGAACCTGAAAAATCATATGGTCCTGTATTTTATGAAATGGTTGCGAACGCTTGCAATACAAACAATGATATGATAGGATTTAATGAAGATGTTATGAGGTCATTGGTGGATGATGGTAGTGTGGAACATAAATGGGATAGTTATGACAACACACATTTCTTATGTGGTTTTCCAACAGAAGTGGACTTTTGCTTCCAGCAAGGTCAAACATCTACTGCTCCAATAACATACAAATTGTCTGTTAAAGGACCTATTGAACTAGCAACTGAAAATGTACCAAAGCCACTTATTGGATTTATGAGGGATTGTTGCTTTGCCATTCAGGTGCGTGCTAATGGCATCCCCATAATAAGATTAGATGACTATAACTTAGCTACGGACGACAGTGAGGAATAAAGGATGAACGTTTATTTTTAAAGCTTATAAATGAGTTCTTCATCAAGCTCTCGTGAACCTTCACCATCTATGAAACAAACTTTACCAAACGATTATGGAGCACCTATTGAATATTTCTTACGAGCTGCACAATGGCAAAGAGCAGTCTCACCAAGGTTAGGTGTTCCACCAGCTCCTGTCAAAAATAGCATTTGGTCAAGTCCTTATATAAGATATGGTCTCCCACTAGGTTTGCTAGCTACAGCAGGAGCAGTTATGATGTTGAAAAGAAACAAAGCAAATGTTGTAAATAATACTGAAGTAGCTGAAGTTAAACAAACTCCAACACCTTCGCCAAAACCAACGTCAAAACCAACACCTTCACAAGCAAAACCTTCAATGACTCCTGAACCTATGAAAGTACAAACTCCTGTTCAAAAGTCAACTCCTAAACCGACTCCAACATTTAAACCAGAACCTACTCCTCAAATAAATCGTAAAACTCCTGCGTTTCCTTACTGAAAAAATAACGTTATTTTTATTTAATATTAAAATTTTTATTTGATTGAAATGACGACTAAAGTCACTGAAGCAATGAAACAAAAGTTTTTGGTAGAATACATTAAATCAGGAGCGGTTCCAGAAGGTTTTTACGTTCATACTATGAAGGATGGTAGAGTTCAGTTTAGAAAGATAAAGCAACCATTAGATAAAGAAGGAATTTTGAGAAAGATTAAACTTCATGAGGACAACATTGCTGAACTTAAGAAGAAGCTAGAAGAGTTATAAAGTAATGAGAACGTTTATGTTATGAGAAATTTTTAACGTTAGTTTTATTTTTACTGAAAATTTTTATTTGGATGTAATGACGAAAACTATTGAGATAACAAACTACAACGGTCATGAGTTCAAGAATTTGTTCTTCGTTCCTCGTGAAAATACATTCTATCAGATACGAGGGAGAAAGGGTAAAGTTAGTTTGAGCGTTTATGAAGGAATGAAGAATGGAAAGTTTATACAAGCATACGATACAAACGGTAAACGTGTTTCATTAGCTTTGTCAAAACTTACTAACATTTATTTTGACAGTGACTTTGACCTATATGAAGAAGAAAGTGAGTCAGAAGATTATGAGCTGTTATATGAAGCACAGCAATGGGAGGAGTTGCAATACTTTTGTAAGTGAGAACGTTTATTTTTACAGTAGTGAAGTCGTTTGTGAAAACGTTAGTGAGGTGAAGTGGTTGGCGGCTTTGTAAATATTTAAGGTTAAGTTAGTGTTGTCGTTTGTGTTGTAAAATATACGTTAATGGTTTTGTAAAGTGTCAAATTCACATATCAAGGGTAAGGTGGAACGCAGTGCCGTCGTACCCTTGATATGTATACTAACTGTTGTTAGTTATTTATTTACTTTTTTTAATATTTTTTAAAAAAATAAAAGAAAATTCAAATAATTTTGTATCTCCCATGATATATCGACCCACGAGTACTAATGTGGCTATAATTAGAGATTGCAACTCTATTATGATCATAGTCCGGTGATATACAATAAGATTCAAATTTTGAAAGAATTAAATTAATAAAATCCCGGTGAAAAAAATAAAAACAGCTTCTAAAAGTATAGTTATCTTAAAATACGAACTTCAACACAAGTTTTTTGATCCAATAGAAAATTGAATTCTTTGAATAAATAAAATATTTTATGTATTAACATATTAAATTTCCTAATTATTTTTTCTTCTTGGGAAAATTTTTGAATTCGAATAGAAAATTCAATAAATTGAAATTGGGTTGAAAGAATTCTCCATATTAACTTGTCATATATTTCAGATCATATAAATTAAGTTAATTAAATTTTTTAAAAACCTTAATAGGATAAAAAAAAGAATTTACACTCTCTCACTTTGAAAACGTAGAAAATGCCAATCTATTGGTATACATTTTAGTTTTGTTAAGTTTACAAAACAATTACTCTAGATTTTAAAGATTTATCAAGAATTTAGAGAATATCCTTCTCAAAACAACTTCAATAGCGAAGGATTAGTATTGAATCGGATTTGTAACATAATTATAGTACATTACAATACAATTTCTCCGACTTTTAAATTTTTTGAAATATTTACAAAATATGCTCTTTCTATCATCGATACTTTAATACAGAGCAAATTTAGTAAATGTCATCACGTTATTTTTTCATAAATCGTTTTCGAACTTTTGAAATATTTATTTTAAACCAGTTTTCTACATTTAATATGTGAATTATATCAAAAGTAGATGGGCGATACTTGTAAATCTATTTAAACTATTAGTTTGCTATTATTGAAGAACTTTATAATTTTTTTTTTCTTATGTATGGAATTAAAGATAATTTTGCTGATTCCAACTGGTTTTTCTATATGAGTTAAATATGCCAAGTGAAATTGGACTTGCCAATATTGTAAATTGAAGTATGGACTATATATCGATTTTCATTGATTGATGAATAACTCGGAGTAATGTAATTGTTGATAATGAAAAATAGTTTTCAATTGCTGGTAAGGGCCAATGTATGTTCAATAGCTCCGAAAGCAAAAAATGCACGTTTAGAAAAAGACGATAATGATTAAATTACAAAATCGATAACGACGACGATTAAATTACAAAATCAATAATGACCCATAAAATTTTGTTAAGGGTGCACCCGTATGTACGTTTATTTGAGAGGAGGAGGATTGCCCTCTCAATTTTGAGGGATTCGTTAGTTTATTTTCTCAATGAATATGCAATAAAATTTGATTTTTACCTTATCAATATACTTCATATAATATACACATGTTCATGTAAAAACTTTTTTTCCAAAATCCTCAGTAGGGTTGTTAAAAATATCAAAAATTAGCGTTTTGAAGACACCATGGTGTCTTATAATTTTCCCTTCCTTATTGGCGTGTAGAAATAAATGCGCCAATAGATTGAAGAAGAAGAATTGTTTTTCTCTTAATGAACTTTAATCCTTTTGATATAAGAATATTAAAAACATTAATATAATTTCGATTTCGGAAATTAAATTTCCAAATTTTTTGTCGATTTCGGAAATAACAGGATCCCGCATCCAACACGCGACAACAAAACACAAAACACACTTTTTGGTTCTTTCATCGTTTTAATCGTAATTTATGTAATACATGATTTGGATAAATTTTACAAAAATAGAACCTATATTATATTCTTTTCAAAGATTCTTGCAAATCATCAAAAATAATTGTATTTTAAAAAACGATCAAATTATCCTTTCATTATTTTAAACTTAATTAGTTTTTATGATTGACTAAAGCAATCATATTTATTCATCATTAAATAAACAAAAAAATAATATTTGAGAGTTATTTCAAAAAAAAACACATTGAATTTATTAATTTGTCTCAATTTGAGTATTATAAATTTTTATAATTTCAATATTTTGAAATACACTTTTTAATATTTCAATATTTATGATATTTCAATATTTATGATATTTCAATGTATTAAGTGGTCTCAAATTGAGCTTCTCAAATATAAGTTGGCCTATTCAAATAATAAAATTAAATAATATTTAAAATAATAAATAAAAGTGATTGAGGTCATCGCAAAACGGCTGTTTCAGTCATTTATTCTTAAAAATAAAAAGGGTAAAAACTAAATAAAATGGGTAAAATTCAATAGTGTCTGTGCTATCGTTCAATTTCAAGGTGTCTTTTGAAACCGCAAGACACATTGAATTTTTGAATAGTGTATTATGGTTTGACAGACACCAATGAAAAAAATAAAATGATATTTATTTTAAATATATAAGATCCTTATATAAAATATAAATATTTTATCGTTTTATTTTCTTGTTTTAGAAATGTTTTTTATTGAAAAATCAATAAAACTAACTCCAAAATAAAATTTTTGATTTAAAGACACTATGATGACACCAGGCAAATCTTCCAAGACACCTATCGTCGGGAATCTAACAACCCTATTCCTCAGGAATTAAGGGATTTTTGAATTTTAAGAATTTTTTTCGAATTTTTTTCGAAAAAAAATATTTTCAGAACAGCCTTAACGGCTAAGATTTAGGAACAATGTTAAGTATCAAAAAGAAAGGAGGTCTGATATAGACAACATATATCGTTGAAGGTTGAAAAAATCTCTAATATTTGAGCCCAAAATTTCAAATTTTAATTTTTTGAAAAAAGAGGCCACCCGTATATACGTTTATTTGAGAGGAGGAGGATTATATTTTTGAAAGGGTGAAACATTATGAATATGTTAATTATATAATAATATGTATTAATTACAACCATATTAATGTTTTGGCTTTGTTTGCTTACAAAAACATGTAAAAAACATTACAAAAAGATTAATATTGTAAACTTTTCAATTTTGATAGTCTAGTTGGCATATATAAAAAATAAGGTTCTAAATTCTGAAGTTTACATGATCCTCTCGTGTGCACCCTTAAGGTCGTATGAATAAATAACTGATCTGGAGATGCGTTTCCCTTATTTGATTCTTGTTTACTATGTCATTCCCGCCATGGAATTGATTTATTTAAGCAAAAGACTCGATCGAAACTCAATCCTTTCATCTTGCATTCATATTTTCATAAATATTTGGTTATTGTCGATATGTCGAATACTTAACCTTAAGAATCTTCATAGAAATAAGAACTTTAGTATTCCTTTTGCAATATTATTAAACATTCTTCCTTTTATTAAGCAATATATATCAATAAATATAACGAACATCAAGTTCAACAAGCAACCAAAGAGAATAATGATACTAAATAATGTAGAATCAATGATAACGATTCTTTTATTAGCAATTGGCATATCCGCATGCAAAGATGTTTATGAATCTACTGGCCCTCTATTCCATGATGAATGGGTTGCATTACTTCAATCAACCGCCACTTACAAAGATAATACAAAGATTGTAATGCTCTTTGTCGTGAAGTACTTAATAGAAAATTTAATTCTTGCAATTACAGCTTTAGTACTCTTTCATTTTATGACGCGATATACTATTTCGATTTACAAATACAGTTTTAAACCAACATATAGATTCTTATCATTTGTGTACTTGATTTCCTTCATTTTCATGGCTAAACCACTCTACAAGCCGCCAGTAGTCACAAGCAGCAAGTTTTTATATGAAAATTCCGTGCTTCCGAGTTTAGATGAAATTGAGTTTCCAAGAGAAGAAAAAGAACTTGATATTTATCAGCTTAGAAGCATACGAGACAATGTATTTTTCTAAGGAACATGGAGGAATATATGAAACATCTAAATCACCAAATTTGGAAAGTTTTGCGTTCTCTAATAACTCGATTTTCTTTTCTAATCTTAATGGGGATAAAGTCGGTGGTGTTAATGTTATTCCAAGAACTAAATTTACAACGGCTGCTCAGTTTGCTATGGCATGCGGTTATGCCTTCTTGACAGAACCTCCACGCTCTGGCCTTACAAATAATGAGCCATATTTTCCTAAATTTAAATGTCTTTGGGATATTCTTAAAGAAGTTGGATACAACACCACAGTAACTTATGGTACAACACCAAATGACTGGGGAATTGGGGATCTATATTATAGTCATGGTATCAATAAGTTATGGAGCAAATATGATGTGCTTCCTAACTCAAATGATATTTATGCATTGGATCGAGATATAACTCCTTTCTTTATGAAAGCTTTAACAGAAATGAGTCAGTCAAAGGATCCATTCTTTGCCTCTTTTCTTACATTGGATACTCATGAACCAGGTTTTAAATGTCAAGATTGTATCTATGAAGAGAATTCTATGATTACAGTAGTGAAATGTTCTGATAAAAGAATCTCTAATTTATTGAAATGGATGGAGCAACAGAGTTGGTATAATAATACTGTGATTGCACTATTTGGTGATCACATTGTGAGAGGAAATGGGTATCCAGAGCTTGCTGAAAGGCATAATTTTTCAAGGCGCCCATTCAATATGATTATTAACTCTGGCATGAGAAGTAACTATACTAGAAATAGAGAATTCACAAGTATGGATATTTATCCAACACTCTTAACAGCAATTGGGACAAAAGTCAAGAAAAATCAACTTGGCATGGGTATTGATTTGTTCAGTGGTCTGCCAACATTAGTTGAAAAATATGGTATTAAAAAATTCATAAAAGAATGTGAAGGAACAAAAATATTTTATAATCATATAATTCATGGGATAGAAGATGATGGTATTAGAGTTAAAGGATTTCTGAAAGAAATCATCCCAAAATAAAACCACTATTTTTAATAACAAATGTTTGCTGAATATTAATAAAAATATCAGAATTACCCAGATTTTCCTTACTTTTACCACTCCCCATGTAATTTCTGGGGAAAAAGATAATTCATTTTTTTTTATGGATGAATAGATTGTTTTCCTAGAAAGGACCTCATATCTCTGGCTAAAAAGAGTGTCAGATCCTAAATAGATTATTGATCTAGTGTACAAATCCAATAAAAAGCCTATTTTTTTGGCTTTTTTGGTGCTCATTTTTTCGAAGATCTACATGAATATGGGGAAACCATCGGATTTTTTTGGTTAACCCACATCTTCATGTAGTCTGGACTATCTTTCCTCGAAGGACCTCTTTACGGGTGTAAAAACTCATAAAGTTCTCAAAAGATTCATTCTCGATCTCCATGCTGAAAGAATTTACAATAAAAAAGAGATCTACGCATCAAACTACAGCCATAAATGAACTGAACCCCTAAAGCTCAGCTCTTAGTTTATCAAAAACGTCGAAATCCTTCTCATTGCAATCAAATTTTCTCAATAACTCATAAGAAAAATCGAATTTTGATTAAGCCGATGTTATAGGTATCACAAATACTACAAACTTGAGCAATATCGAAATTGCCAGCAAAAGTTTGAAATTGCATTGCTCATATTTGTTTTGTAAACTAAAAATCTGCTTATATTATTCATTAATTTTTTATATATTATTCATATACTTTAATAAAAACAATACTATTTCACCTTAAAAATGAATTTCATAAGTCAATATTATTTTTTTGAAAATGTATCAATTTTCGATTAAAACAACATGAGAATAAAATTTACGCAAAATTATTTTAAAAAATGGTTTTAAAAATTTCCAATTGATGAAGAATAAGATTGCAAGAAGTTTTGAAGTTTAATTTTAAGAAAAAAAATTCGGATATTATTCATGGATCTAAGTAATCTGATATTTGAGTATCGGCACTATGCATAAAACATATATTTATAGTTTTTTTGGATTTTTATGATTTTAAATATATTCAAATTTGGCAATCCAATAGATTTTTAAAAAATAGGTAAATAAAAATAGATTACATATGCAGCAGATTTAGAACATGAAACAAATCTTATAGTGACCCAAAAAAAAATTCATGATCCAAAAAAGAAAAAAATTGGCTAAATGGGAATCAAACCTTGGCATAATGAATCATTATGTCGGATGTTTCCACTACACCAGCAGTTCGAAAAATACCCTTGGTGGTTCTATTTAATAGCTACTCCCAACGATAGGCGGTGTCCCCAGCTTTAGAGAGGTGGTAAAAGTAAGGCAAATCTGGGTATTTGATGTTTAAATCGTAATAAAAGAGAATTTGTGTAATCTCTTTACAATTAATCGATATTAAACCTATATCAATATTTTTATAATTGTTCATTATAAAATCTTGTCTTGATGAAATTCTCCATGATCCTTTTATCAATGCAAATCCTCATTGTTATTTCATGTTCAAGAATATTATTCCGACTCGAATTTTTGTTTATAAATTATATAATATACAAACAATCTTCAGAACCAAATTATTAAACTACACAGACTATGTATTTCCCAACGGGAACCGTCGGATTCCGTCATTGTGGATGATTACGGTAGAGAAAAAAATGTAATTTTTAATAACGAATTTTGAATTTTGCAATTTTTTTGGAAATTTTTGAGGGATATTAAATGAGCATTTATATTTCTTTTCTGGAGAAGCAGCTATTTTTGTTGTGTTAAGGAGAATTTGATTTTTTTGCGAACAATCGGCGCTTCACGCCAATAGTCTATCATCGATCCGTGACCAGAGAGAGGGTCAAAGTTGCAATTTGTCACTTTTCCACAAGAATATAATGGGGAAAAAGTTATCATATAGTTGATCTCATTCACTGAGGTGAGAGATGCATGTAGTGTAATGGGATAAACAGTTGGATTGCTGCTCTAAGTCCTAGGTTCGAGACACATTGGCTTCATTTTTCTCTTTTTTATTGACGTAAACTATTCAATTTTTGTGTTCTCCATTCAAATTTCAGAATTTTTTTTGCAGATTTCACGCTACATTCGAAGTTACCTTTTGTAACAACCACCACTGCCTACGAAAGACGAAAGTGTGTCACGATTTCACCCGGAAATCCGACGGTTGTTTAAGAGTATGCACTTTTGTCACCTACTCTCCGTGACCATCCGTAAATTCTGAGAAGTCTCCCGTGACGGCGTCACTTTTTTACTGCAAATTTGAGAGAAATCTCCCGTAACGGGAGAAAAAATACGTTTTTCTCGTATAATCTCCCGTAACGGGAGATTTTTTACGTTTTTTCTCTCAAATATTTCATCCGTGAATTTTTTTTTGCTCTCTTATATTATCATACCCTATGGATAGATCTAAGCATTAAAACTTTTTTTAGTTGAGTGAGAAGAAATGATAATATGTTAATATAGAACATTAGAATATGATAAAGATACACTCATATCGCGATATTTTGAAAAAAAAATTGGATAAAAAATAAATATTACTATTTATTCAACGAAACAAAAATTAATAGCTTTCCTTGTAAGAAGCACGCTTCAGAGACATTATCTAATACTGGATAGAAGAACTTTGGAAGTACTGCATTGAATGTAGGACTTCGAAAGTTTTATCTATAATGACGTATTTAAAAGCTTCTGGTAACTATAATTGTAAATTTGGGCGAGATGCTCAAAGTACTTCTGTAGCCACTCATTGATTGAGAAGCAATAGAAGAATTTTAAGTGTGGGTAGTATACTCGCATTCTTTGATCCATAATGGACAAATAATTGTATGTTCTATACATAGTAAGGTAAAGTTATTCTAATGTAAATTAATAAATATGTAACATTGGAACAATCTTACCCTACTATGCTAAAGATTCGGTTGATTGCTTACTTCGAATGATACTTCATGCTAATATTGAAATTGATAAAGCTTTATGTGAATACTAATATTAATGATAAGTTAAATTTGAATAAACTGTGCGACAGGTAAAGTAGCAAGCGAAATTATTTATTGTGAAAGAATAGTTTTGAAATACACATGCTCGGCTTACGCCGAGCGAATTAAAGTAACGTACGATTTTTAACGTACAAAAAAAAACGCGGCGGACAGCAATGATATATTCACGGCAAACGGTAGGCTTTTTATAAAAGTTGGGAAATGCATATACACAGATGAATCACATTAAAATATTCAATATTATTTATTCAAATATTTTTGGAAAATTCTGAATGAAAGGTTGCAATTCAAATCAATTCAAATTTTTTGGGTGTTTTTTTCATGAATTCAAAACAAACAATTTCATCCTTTATTTTTAACTAAATTTCTAGAAAACATCTCTTACCATTTTATAACTTCATTCCAGGAATTATTTCTAATGAGAATAAAACAAACCTTGTTTGAAAATTTTTTATTGTCGAGTTATCTAATATTTTATCTCTCTGTATTTATAAATGCTCAACACTATTCTTTAAATAAATTATGCAGAAGAAACAGCACCATGTGTATTAAGAATGTCAGCTATATTTGTTTACTAATAAAATTTGCTACAATATCAAGATCTGTTCAGATTTATCTTTTTCATTGAGATTTGCACAATATGATATGCGCAGTTCGAGTGTTTCCTTTCAAATAAAACATGTTGCATGATGAAGAACAGTTCCTCTAAATTCATTTTTTCATCGTTATTTATTCATAATTTTTGTGGTGTAGTTGGTGAGAAATTCCATCTGCTTTTCTTCCTTCTAGACAAACGATAGCTTCCTATGCATTCACGAAAACATTCTTATCTAATTAATTTGTTATTTTTTTCTTCTTTGCAATGGTGCTCAATCGTGTTATATGTGATTATCATATTCCAAATGATACAATTGTCACTGTTTTCTTTGGTTAATTAGTTAACTATCAAACCGAATGAATCGATAACTTTGCTGAAAAATCATTTTCACTATAACTACTTCTTTTGATTGCTTTCGTATCTGTTTACCTCTGGCCAATGACAATTCGCACTGCTGGAAATCAATTTTGTTTATTGCAAGACATAGCCATGAAATAAGTAATGCATTTATCATTGGTTGTTAATCAAATTTTTTGTATGAATATATCTCAGAATGCATGGTCTTATTTAATACTTTGATGGTGTTATGCACGGGGATACTTCTCAATCTCTTTGTAATTAAAGTTGCTGTCTTAAATAGAAATATTTATCAAAAAAATATCGAGTAAATGTTCTGAAAATATTATTTTACTCAATATTCTGATTATATTTAATAATAAAATATAATGTATTTGACATTTTGGTTAAATTCAAATCATAATAATTGAATTTACAAAACTAAGATAGACAATGAAAGCTGCTAAAACGACTCACGCACTTAGAATGTTATTTTAACTTGCCTTTAAGGCTCTGAAATGACAAAAGATAAAAAAACTGACATTTTTTTCAATGTTAAAAGGCAAGTAAAATGGCTTCAATATGGAATTTCGATTACAGGATAATAGCATTGGACGACCGAAAGTAGATAATGGAACTATTGTAGATTTTTTAAGATATACGTTATATTACCCTTGCAATAATAGCCTCACATGCACGCCATATGTTACGACACTCAAGCCAGGGTACTACAAATTCGAGCTCTACGGCAGCCGGAGGATTTGCTCGTGCAAATAAAGGCGGAAATGGAGGCTACAGTGTTGGATATTACGTAAATAACATCTCTACAGAAGCATATTTCTTTCTTGGCGGAAAAGGTGAAGATAGACCAAAATTCCATAAATCAAATAATAACACGCCAGGAGGGTTTAATGGTGGAGGTTTTGGAGGTTATGACACTCATTATGGAACCTACTCCGGTGGTGGTGGCGGTGGAAGTACAGACATTAGAATCGGCTCTGATAAAATTGAGAGCAGAATAATCGTCGCTGCCGGTGGAGGAGGTGCTTGTGGGTATGATAATGAAAACGAAGGAGGAAATGCTGGTGGACTCCATGGAAGTGATGGAAAATCCTTACGGCCTGAAGGGAGAGTTGGTGGAGGTGACACTGATCAATCAGGCGGAATAGCTTATTCATATCGAGGTGCAACAAGTGGCAGCCTATTTTATGGTGGTAATGCCTCTACAATGCTAGATGCATATGGTGGAGGAGGCGGATACTTTGGTGGTGGCGGTGGTTCTTCAACAGTCGACCATTATCAAGGTTTCTGTGGGTCAGGTGGCGGTGGTAGTGGGTATACAGGAGGTGTTTAGAGTTCGGATAGATTCAAAGTCACTGCTGAAACAAGTGAAGGCTCCAACGAAGGTAATGGATACATGAATATATATTATTTCGGGAATTCTGAATCTAATTATGCTATTAGATGCAAAACAATTGTTTGCAGATGTAGATTTAGACATATATATTTCTGTTTATGGTTTAAATAATCATTGTCGAAAAATAAGCTATAAAAGTTCAAAGAATAATGATTTAATCATTATTATATGACTGTTCTCGATGTCTTCGCTCTGTTATAATCAAAGGCTGCCTGTTCCGGTCCAAATTAATTCTTGAAGATTTGTTGATTTTCAATCAATTAGTACTGAAATAGCCTCATATTGTATTCGTTGTGTCGTTACTTGGATTAGTTTGGTTCCGTATTAAAATTTCTTTTGATTTTTCATATTTTGTTCCGAATAGAATAAACTAGTATATGTAGAGATGTTTCTTCTTTTTTGAGCTAGTAATTATAATTGTAAAAAGAATTTTGTTAAATATTTAAGAAAAAAAATTTCATTTGGCTGAAAATAACTGCAAAATTGGGCTTATTTAAAGATTTATGCCTGATAGTCTTTATAAGTGAATCAATTTGTCTGAATCAAAGTTTCAAATAAGATGGCTGACATTTGTAGAAAGCGCTTGGAAGATGATATTAACTAAGTATTTGAAAGTTTCAATCTCCTGTGAGAGCCACAATAGTAAGTTTGAAGTAGTTTACTGCTCACTCGTTGAGATGACTACAAAAACTGTATAAAAAGTGTCAAAATTAATGTATGGACAAATGCCGGTGATATTATCATGGATATTGGCCATCCCCTTGCAGCGATGCTAGATAGTATATGAAAGAGATGTTTAATTTCTATTATTTTTTTTAACTCGCTGTGTATTATTACAATGATAAAGATTAATTTTCCATATGTAATAAACAACTATTATTGGGTATTTTATCAAAATAGCAGCAGCATTCTTTTGGCTTGGTCATAAATCAAATATACGAAAAAGTAACTGATTGGAAAAAATTTTGAGCGGATAAAGATTTGATCGAAGTAATAAATATTCAAAATAAGATTCTGAGTATATATTTCAATTTCTGTCATGCAACTCCAAATTTTTGTTAAAATTGAATACATCCAGAATTTAGACGATTATTTTTTTTAATGTTGAATTTTAGCTCTTTTTTATCTACTTTCCGCTTGGACAAATTCGCCAAAAGGCTATTTGAAGATCAAGTGGAACCAGAACCAAAAGGATGGTACCTTATCAGTCCTTTAATCCCATTAAAATCCGAAAAATTTGACAATTATAGGCAAACCTATCCAGACATTTTTAGATTTGAACATCGAATTACTCACGAATCATACATATCTTATCTTACAAACGAGCAATATGCAGAATTTTCGACAAATATCGATTTTAACATTGAAAGGCATCGAAGATATGAATTTCTACGCCTCAGGTATTCTCCTATATCTTATTACAGATTCCGTGCAACAGATGACTGGGACTACAACATCAGTTGTAAAAAATTAAGGTATGAGCACTTTTTATGTTATGAAGAAAACACTACAATATTGGACCAGATTTCTGAGGTTCCAGAAGTTTTAGAGTACCAAGTTATTCCATCTTTTTCATATAATCAAAAATTTTCAGATTTAGATTCTGGCTCCATCGATGAAGAGGTTTTACAAGGTAATCAGCTATTCAGGACTTCAAATTCTTTAAATCAATATGGAATTACTGGTAGAAACCAAAAAATTACGTATCATGGTTTTGGAATTGACTTAAATCATTCGTTTTTCTATGATAAAACTGGTGATATGACTGATGCTTTTGATATTCGCTACAATGAAAATATAGATTACCATAGAAAAATTTCAAGATACGATTTACAAACTGAAACCGTTGATTCAACAACTGATGGAACGTACTTTGCAAGCATCATTGCAGGTAAACCATATAATTATGATGATTCTACTGTCAAGGTTACTCTGGAGTTTCATTTGATTCGAAATTACATGTTATTGAGAAAAACTTGACATTTGTCAACCAAACATTTGTAAATGAATCAAATCCGAACGAAACTTACACCAGAGAAATGGTTGCAAACGAAACATTTGTATATGATAATGATAAGTTGATGGATCTCATGAAACAAGCTGATTCCCATATCATTACCACTCCATTAGTGTATAATTCCTTGTTCCACACGAATACAGACGAAATAAATTTATTGGCATGGAAAAACAAGGAAATTTTGTTTGTTTTACCAGCAGAGACGTCAATGGTGAGATGAGTAGTCCATCTGATGCCTTGAATGCGTTAACTGTCGGTTCAATCAAAAATAATTTGGAAGAAGCTTCTGATTTCACAACTCCCGGTCCATCTTATTTCGGAGCGAAGAAACCAGAGGTTGTAGCACCTGGAGAACTCATCCTTGGCGCTAAGAAAGGCGTTCCTTTCGATGATGAAAATTCAAATCCTCTAAATTACCAAAATGGAACGTACGCAGCGGCAATGCAAGTAGCTGGCCTTGCAGCACAAGTCAGGCAGTACTTCGTTGATGGCTATTACCAACTTTATCTGCAAATCCGGAAAATTCAATAAATCCAACTTCATCGTTAATTAAATCCGTAATAATTAATGGAGCCAGGAACCTAACAGAAGCACCCCTGCACAACCCTTATGTCGGTTTCGGAATTCCAAATATCAAAAATTCTCTTGGATTTGGAGATTTCGGAGTCAGATTCCTCGACAGAGAGGAGATATCGCCACGTGATCATATCATGTACAAACTGACCACAGATAGAAGGTCTGATTTCTCAATAACTATGAATTATTTAGATATCCCGTTGTCAACCTTCCAATTTGGCATTTTGTTTGCAGATCTTAACTTAGCTGTCGAAGCAAATGGAATGGTGTATTTAGGAAACAATTTGAATCGTAAATTATCCGAAGAAAAACAAATACAGAAAGAATCATCATAAAAGATATGGATCCGCAAGAAATCATTATTCATATCTATTCCAATGATTATTACTTAGAAGATGATGAAAAAGTCACTTTTTCTTTGTCAATTTTTGGCGGTTTTGACACTCAAAATTCCCTATTAAATCCAATCAAAATTGAAAGGGAAAGAAACAATATACAATGTCCAGGCAACTGCAGTGGACTTGGCCAATGTGTTGACAATGGAATATGTGAATGCGAAGAAGGAAGAAGGAATTTATTGTCAAAACAAAATGAGATTACTTTATTATTTTAATGCTATTTGGGCAACAAGAATTTACGATGTTTACGATGAAGATGTTGAATATCTTTATTTCCAACTTCCTCAACATCATACATTTGATATTGTTTTGTCTACTAATTGGCATACAAATGCTGTTTATAATATGATTGTTTCTGTAACAGATGATAGTTACGGAATATCAGGAAAAGGAAGGAAATTCATGTTCAGATGTGATCCACAACATTATAATGGATGGTATGGAACTGATGAAATAATTACTAAAAATAATAGAACAATTATTTTGGGTTGTTATAATTTAAACAGAGGAGAAAGTCATGGAAAACTGTATATTGATTTACATTATCATGCAACACCAAATCCAACACCAATCGCTACTCCTACTCCTCCTGCTACTCCTACTTTAGCTCCTACACAAACCCCTTTCGTAACTCCTATAGAAACTGCTTATGAAACTCCTTACAAAACTGCTTTCCAAACAGCTTATCAAACACCTTATTACACTGAAAGTTTTACTCCTTTTGTTACTCCTTATGAAACTGTTTCTGTCACTCCTTATTTAACAGCTGATTTAACTCCTTTCCAAACTGTTTCTAAAACACCTTTTGAAACTGTTTTTCAAACTGCTGCAGAAACAAATCATTTCACTGTTTTCGAAACACCATTCAAAACTCCTTTCTCTACAAACTATTTTACTAATTCTCAAACACCTTTTACAACATTTTACCAAACTGTTCATAAAACTGTTTCTAAAACACCTTTTGAAACTTTTGTTGGAACACCTTTTATTACTCCTGATGTTTCTAAAGCTGTTACACCTTTCATTACACCATTTACAACATCAGAAGAAACTCCATTTTTAACAGCTTCAGAAACACCATATGAAACAGTTTTTCAGTCACCATTTGTTACATTTGTTTCTACACCATCATTTACCTTGAAAGAAACAGCATTTGAAACAGCATATTCAACACCATCATCAACTGTTTCTAATACACCATATTCAACACTCCAAAGTACTCCATCAGTTTCACGAACACCAGCACGAACAATCTTTGTTCCAATTGATTCAACATCATCCGATGGTAATGACGACAACAGTCAAAAAGAACATTCAAATAAGAAGAATAATGTTTCATCACTTGTCGGCATTATTGTTGGCTGTCTTGTTGGTTTAAGTCTTCTCATTGTTTTGTCCGTTGTTTTGTACCGTCACTTTAAATCAGAAAGTTCTTCATCAACAGACATCGAAAACAAAACAGAAGAAACTAAAATCATCAACTCAGATGAAGAAACATATCTTCAAACTACTATTGAAACCATCCCTCAATCATTCATTTTCACTACAGAGCTTGATGACGATGATGATGCTTCAACTGACGATCCATTTAATTTCTACATTTAACTTTTATTTTCATTTTTATTTTTTGTTTGTTATTCATGTTTTATTTTAAAAGTATTTTATGTTAATATTTCTTTAACTTCTTTTAGGTGATTTCGAATATAAATATAGTAGAGATATGTAAGTTTCCATTTGCATACTTCATAAGAGCTTCGAACTCGTCATCTACAAAGATTCATAGGAAATTCCTATAGAAAATATGCTTATATGGACTCACATTTATAATCAATACAATTACACTGAAAATATATCTATCTCTTTGAAAAAAAAAATCATATGAAGTTTTCATTTTCCATAATTAAAAAATATTAAATTTGATTTATTCCCACGATATATAATGTATTTTCAATTTTTAGACTCCTTTAAATTGAATATAATTCAATTTTTGAGACGGCTAATTGAAAATACGGGACGATCTTTAAATTGAACGGTCAATTTAAAGGAAGTATTCAATTTTTTGGTCAATTTAAAGCAATGAATGAGAAAAACTTTGAGCTTAGGGCAAATGAAGGTTTTTACAACGTAGATAGATAGACAAACGTATATGTCATCATTTCAATGAGTATGGTAGATTTCTATAAAAAGTGAGTGCAATATCACATTGCATTTCGAAACATGAGAGAAATAAGCATATATATACGTTATTACATATATATTTATATGCTCTTCTATATTATTACAATGTTAAAATAAGAAAAACTCTAAGTGTCTCATTTGAAATATAATCTATTTTATTTTTATATAACAATTATCAATGAGAATGTAAATTATATTTGATTAGACGATAAATGATGAATAGACTTAATTACTTATGATTAGACATGTGTTGATAGAAATATTTGTTAACATTTATGAAGATAATGTGTTTTGATTGAGATTACATTTGTTCTGAGTGGAAGATTGCTATTATATTGGATTTATATGTGTAAATCAGGAAAACTCGCACTTTTTCCAAAGAATGTGAAATATTGGATTTCAATTCAAGAAAGGAGTTTACAAATGCAGGGTATTGTTCCTTTACCCTGCATTTGTAAACTCCTTTCTTGAATATTTCGCACTTTTTCTATAGAATGTCACATCAAGATTTTAATTCGAGAAAGGAGTTTACAAATGCAGGGTATTGTTCCTTTACCCTGCATTTGTAAACTCCTTTCTTGAATATTTCGCACTTTTTCTATAGAATGTCACATCAAGATTTTAATTCGAGAAAGGAGTTTACAAATGCAGGGTAAAGGAACAATACCCTGCAGTTGTAAACTCCTTTCTTGAATATCTTCATTTATTTAAATAATAAATATCACATTCTGTATAAAACTCCTCAAATATCCTCAATTTCCCATTACAATCATAAATAACCATTTTATATATTTCTTAAATTTCTTTAATCCTTAATTTTCTTATCAATTTTGTTATTTTTTCAATAATTTTTAAAATTTTCTATTATTTTTGGAAATTTTTATTTAATTTTGTGATAAATTTATTCAATTCTTATTATATAATAATATTATTCAAATTTATTGTTGTAATTTTTCAATGATTATGATAATTTTTAATTCAATTTTTAATCGAATGTTTTGATGGGACGAGCTTACTGAGCATAGGCTCATCCCATCAAAACATTCCATTCAAAACTCTGGCCTTCATCGAGGCCAGAGCTCACAATTCATCTCCTCAGAGCCAAGTTCCTCGACGGTCGTCCTCATTAGGCACGATCCGAGAGGAACTTGGCTCTTCATTAAAATCACAAGCTCTGGCCATTGCTAAGGCCAGAGCTTCGCAAACCATCCTCGGGGCCGGTTTCCTCAAAGACCGCCCTGATTTGGGGCGGCCGGAGAGGAATCCAGCTCCGAGAGAGTACCCATACGAAGCTCTGGCCTTAGCAGTGGCCAGAGCTTTCAAAAACAATCCTCAGGGCCGAGTTTTGCGATGATCGTCGATCATGTCGACAGTCTCGCAAGAACTCGGCCCTGAAAGACATACATATACAGGCTCTGACCCTAGCAAAGGCCAGGGCTTCGCTTTAAATCCCCAGGGCCGGCTTTCTCAAATGCCGCCCTTATCCCGGGCGGCAGGAGCGAAAACCGGACCTGGGAATCCTAAAATACCAAGCTCTGGCCCTAGCAAAAGCCAGAGCCTGCAAAATTCATCCTCAGGGCCGAGTTTTGCGATGATCATCCACATGATAGACATTCTCGCAGAAACTCGGCCCTGAAAGACGTAATATCACAGTCTCTGGCCTCAGTAGAGGCCAGAGCCTCGCTTACATTACTCAGGGCCGGCTTTCTCAAATGCCGTCCTGATCTAGGGCGGCAGGAGAGAAATCCGGCCCTGGGAAGCATGAAATACGAAGATCTGGCCTTATAAGAGGCCAGAATCTGCAAACACTCCCTTCTCTACAGATTATGATCCAATGTAACACAGAAAGCCTAGAAGGAAGCCCTTTCTCAAGGTTAAGACTTCCTTCCTGGCTTTCTGATACTGGATGGAGTGGGGTTTGGCTTCCATTGCAACTCCTTCCAAGAAGATCAAATGATTACACAAAAGTCATGGCAATTGCATTCTAACATTATAAATACAATTGCCATGGCCTACAATTGCGAGTGCCTGCTGCTTCAGCAGAGATTTGCAGCAGACACTCGCAATGTTAACCAAAATTCGTCTGAAAGTTAGAAAATGGGCTTTTTCTCAAGGTCAAAGTCCATTTCCTAACCTTCTTATATTAAAATGAGCATTTTGACAGATTATTATTTTTTATCCCGGCATCATCAGCTTGTCCTTATTAGCTTATCATTTTCAGCTTATACTTATAAATTCGAAAACAGTGATTATTGAATTCACGAAATAGAACATCACATTAAGAAATATTATTTACTAACTTTTTCAATAATTAAAAAATATCAATGATACTTAAGTGTCATCACATACAACACATTCTTATGATCATCATAATATATATTATAGAATATTGCATAATAATCCAAATTCAATTTCAATATTAAAGTGTACTATCCATTATCTCTTAACATCATAACATACTCAACGAGTACTGATCATATGCTATTGATCAAGCCTTTAAAATAAACTACATATATGATTGCTTTAAATTGACCAAAAAATTGAATACTTGCTTTAAATTGACCGTTCAATTTAAAGTTCGTCCCTTGAAAATACACTAAATTTTAGGCATGTAACAGAAAAAAGTTTTAGATTTTAAACGTGAATAATATTTAAAAGAAAAATTGTGAAGAAATATATGTGACAATATGAAACCATAAATTTTATTTAAGGGTGCACCCGTATGTACGTTTATTTGAGAGGAGGAGGATTACCCTCTCAATTTTGAGGGATTCGTTAGTTTATTTTCTCGATGAATATGCAATAAAATTTGATTTTTACCTTATCAATATACTTCATATAATATACACATGTTCATGTAAAAACTTTTTTCCAAAATCCTCAGGAATTAAGGGATTTTTGAATTTTAAGAATTTTTTTCGAATTTTTTCGAAAAAAAAATATTTTCAGAACAGCCTTAACGGCTAAGATTTAGGAACAATGTTAAGTATTAAAAAGAAAGGAGGTCTGATATAGACAACATATATCGTTGAAGGTTGAAAAAATCTCTAATATTTGGGCCCAAAATTTCAAATTTTAATTTTTTGAAAAAAGAGGCCACCCGTATGTACGTTTATTTGAGAGGAGGAGTATTATATTTTTGAAAGGGTGAAACATTATGAATATGTTAATTATATAATAATATGTATTATTATAAAAAAGAAAAAATAAAGCACGTTAAAATTTTTCTTTCTTGATTTTTTACAAAATCTACTTAGAATTATGCAAAATATGACTAAATAATTATAAATTTCAAGTTAAATTTTAATTTTGATAAATAATTTAAATTTCAAAATATCAAGTTCAGTTCGACTATGTATGTAGTAATTCCTCAATAAAGTGCCAAAACCCTATTAAAATATATGAACATTTTCAACATTTTAATGTTTTTATTTAAAAATTTGTTGGAATATGAGCTTCAAACAATTATTATGTAAATAAAAATAATTAAATATATGTATTTATTCGTATTACAACCGTAGTAAGTCGATTCTTCCTTTCTTCTACTGAGTTTTGAATTTGATTTCGAATTGTAAAGAGATTCAAAGGGAAAATACTAGCGGATAAAAACTACCTCCATGAAAGGGTCATAATGGAGTCAAGTTGTATTTTTTGATATTTTTTGCTTTTCGAGCCTAAATAAGGTAGCCAAGATAATGCCTAAAAATAAGGTTCTAAATTCTGAAGTTTATATGAAATATGGTTTTGAACCAGTTTCTTCATATGTGGGTAATGGAGTGCTTGGAGGAACAAGGCCACCACCAACCTTATGGGGTTGTATTTTATCTGTATCAGTATCAGGGGCAGAAACTATATCTTCATTTAAGAATTGAAGTTTTGATTCTGGTTCAATATCCTTGGGATAATCAATTTCATTTAGTTCCTTCGTTTCTTTACTATCATTGGTATTTGTTGTATCTAAAGGTACTTGTATCTTGCTTGTATCTATAGATTTGAATTCACTTAAAATCTGATCTGTTAATGGTGGTGGAGGGACGTTCCTGTCAATGAATGAGGATTGATGGTTTTTCTCTACTCTAGGTTCTCTTCTATATCGAATTGGTTTTGGTGAAAGAATTTGTTTAAGTTCTTCTACTTCTGATCTAAGGTTTCGAATCTCGTTGAGTAATGATGAAAGTTCATCCTCAACTGTTACTTGCTGACGAAGTGCAAAAATAAAACTAGCAAAAAGTAGAGACATTGAAAATTTTTGTCAAAACCCCCAATATTCACAAAAATTGAAATCATGAAATTCATATAATCATTATAGCAAACATTTGATTTTTCACAAGATGTATTATATTGTGGCAAAATTCAAATAACGATAAAATTTTATCAACGTTCTCCAAAATTAATGAAGAGTCAAATATTCTTATGGTGATTAATAAAACTATACATGGGCAAATGGCGGGTTATTTGCCCGCCACACTCAATTTGAACGATAGATGGCGGGATATAGGTGGCGGGAGGGGAAAAATTGCCCTAACAAAAAGTATAAAATTTTCTGTATTTTTTTGTTTTTCTGAATTTTTTTGAATAGTTTACTATCATTTCATCATGATATTAAACGAGAAACTATACTTTATTATAAAAGTTGATTCTATTTCTAAAGGAATTTGTGTTTTTAAATTTTTTTCTAAAAAATCACTCTTATTTTTTTCTCCGCCACCCGCCACTGGCGGGCTCTCAATTAGTGTAATATAAACTATTCAAAATTTCAGAATTTGAATAGGATGGCGACGCCACCTTCAAAGAAGAATCTTTTAATGCAATAAAAATATTCTTTTGGGCTTCTACTTCGATATACCATTGGAGGATAGACTCCGCCAAATGGCGGTCGTTGACCACTTTGAACGAACTTTCGATTTTTCTATCAAATTCACATTTCCATCAAAAGATTAGCTACAAGTCTTGATTTATCGTATTTATGTAGAATCTAGCCAAACCTACCATTAATATATGAGTGCTAATTATTTATCAATATCGAATTGTATTATCTTAGAAAATTCTCTATAGTAACTATAAACATAACTAAATTGGGGGTATCTGACTTACAAAAACTAGATAGATATCAAAAATAAATAAAAATTTTATTTTTCATCAATTAGAAAAGATTTATAAGCCGTATGAGTACTCGAAAGTAACTTGAGGAGATTCCATTTGTATTTGGGTTCGATTACATCATATTTCTTTCTATGTTCGGGTAGAAAATAAGCTGATTATTTTTTTGTTTGGATTATTGCAAGCACAATGTAGGGATCATGCTGTGCTCCTTTAGTATTTGGTATCTTATTGTTTTCACAAAGTAAAGAACTGTTCATGATTGAAATTGAATTTGAAATTCTTTTTCGTTGCATATTTCACAACTCATTTTGAACAAAAGTTCATCTAGCTTCCATGTGATAGGAAAATGCATTATATTTGTCATCTATTAGTGGGATTTCTTATACTCAACTAGACAACAAAAAGTGTCATCCCCGCCACTACAAATTTAGGTTGTCACTTTTCCCGCCATTTGCCCATGTATAAATAAAATTTTTTCGCTATTTCTTTTAAATATATTCAAGATATTAGAACATTTACTTGCTATTAAGCTGATAACGTGAATCTAGAAGTTACTGTGGTGTTTTAGCGGTGTTCCTTTTTATTGATGGATTCAAGTTTCTATTGCAAACAAATGATGAATTGGAATGAAGATTGATCGCTCTGATTATTCATCATGATAAAGAAAAAGGTTAAATTGATAATGTACTAGGAAGATAAGGTTGATTTTGAAGTCTTTCGATAAATTCTGAATGTAAAAAAATATAATGTCAGATTGACAAAAATAAAATATCATTGTTACTGTTCAATATAATCATTTTTATCGAAAAATCAAGGTGAAAAAAATATTCCCTTCATAATATTTATTTTACAAATGGCATTCAAAGTTGTTATTTTGGGCGATTCAGGGGTTGGAAAAACTAGCTTAATCGAGATGAGAATGCAGAACTCATTCGATAGTGAAAAAATGCCCACTATAAAACCTGATGTTTCCACCTGTGTTGAAAATGTTGATGGAAAACAAATAGAATTGAATATTTGGGATACTGCAGGGCAAGAACAATATTTTTCACTTGCAACAATGTTTGTCCGCGATGCAAATGTAGCTATTTTAGTCGGGGACATTACGAATGAAATTTCGATCGATAATATAGGCAAATGGGAGCACCTTCTGAAAGAAACACAACCAAATGCAGAAGTTATTGTAGCTATTAATAAATCAGATTTAGCTAGAAATAATCAAAAATTGGTAGGTCAAGTTAGAGATAAACTTATACATAATTATACGGATATTATGTTTGTTTCGGCAATTACAGGCAATAACGTTCCACAGCTATTCAAAACAGTGGCTCAGAAATGTCATAATATTAACTTTGAAAGTGAAAATGCTCTAAAAATTACTCCAAAGCAGACTGAAAAAAAGGAATGTTGCTAAGGTGCTTTAATTTGTTAAAATATTTTATAGAACTGTCATATTTCGAATAAATTGTTTTTATATTCTTTCATACATACGGCCAAATGCAATTATTTTCCGCCATTTGTTACAACATAAATTTCCAATGATTACGAAAGTAGCTTGTAAAAGAAATGTGGATTCTATTCAAAATTAATTTAAAATGAATGATGTTACCATAATAGTAAGTCATCATTTAAATGTAGCACTGAAAATTGAGGATGTAGTCTATATCTTAAGATCATGAAACTTTTTGAGATTTTTTTCAAAAAAAAACGTTAGTAAGAATTGAGGAATAAAAATAAGAAATTTTTAACAAAGGAATAAAAGACATTTCATAGTTTACAGCTCAAATTATATATATAAAGATAACTAATTTTCTGTAATATAAACATTAGGGCGTTCGAAAGTCTTAATATCAGCTTCAAGTTGAGCAGCTTCTCTTTCCATTTCTTCCTTCTTACGACGGAAAGAGAGGTTATCTTGTCCGAAAGACAAAGATGCATAGCGTTTCTTATTTTCAGCAAGATTTGCGTAAAGTCCGTTGAGGATTTCTATGCGCTCCTCTTCTGACAAAAGGCGGCAACGTGTTTCTGTATCCTCTGGAACCATTGATTCACGAACGTTATCCCAGTATTCTGCTTCATCTGCTGCTTCTTTCTTAACGCGTTCCATGTAGGCAGGAACCTCACCATAATCTGGCTTATCAGTGTACCATGTCTCTGGTTTAGCTGGATGAAGTTTCTTTGTCTTTGGTGCTTGCTTCCAGTTTTCAAGAATATAATTGCGTTTAGTTGGGGATTTCATTTTGATGGTTTCTGTTGCTTTAGGAACTGGTGGTTTATTTAGACCATCATTTCCTTTTGGAACAACGCGTTCACGTGGTGGTAATTTCTTTGTACGCTCACCCTTCTTCAAGTACTGGCTCGGTGGCTGTTTTAATTTCTCAGGAGGAAGACCCATTGTTGCGTGACCGTATTTCTTGGCAGTAAGAAATGCTGTTTGATCTTGGAATTTACTTTTATGAAGAGGCTCCTTGACAATTTCTGGTGGTGGTTTGGGAATCAAGTTATAGATGCATTCTTCTTCCTCAAGCATTTTTCTGAAATGACTTTGCAACGTATTTTTTCTGAGGAAAAAAATTTCTCGATAAATTCTAGTATAATATTGTTTGTTGATATGTGCACATGAAATAACTCGATTTTCAAAATGTTGATCCCAAATTTAGCTCCAAAATTTTTCATATTTATTATTTTATCATATATTTGAAATAACATGGTCCTTTCCTTTTAATTCATGATGATTTTGTTCGTTTTGTCTTTCCAAAAAAATCTTGAAAATTAAAAAATGAATTGATTTTTATAATAATTTCTCTTGATTTCAGAGAAAATGAATTTTTTTGTGAGATTTCATATCTATAAAATTTATTTAATATTTGACGGGCGTTCAATTATTTATTAAAATCGTGTCATATTTCAAAATTTGATTTATTCAATATTGAATTTTAAAGTAACTAAACCGTTTAGTACTATAATGCTTTATATATAATGAATAGACTGTAAAAATTCAAAAGGATGATAGTTTATTCATAATAAATCAATTAATTGAGGGTATATCCACCCGCACCATCGAGTTCTAATATATGGGAATGGAATTTCTTAAGATTTAGATTATGGGCAATAGTAATTAATGTAATACCAAGCTCAGTTGCTTTTTCGAAAATCTTTTCTTCCAAAACTTGAGGAATTGCACTAGTTGCTTCATCCAAAAGAGCAAACTTTGGCTTACTGAAGAATAGGCGTGCGATTGCAACTCTTTGACGTTCACCTGGGGATAATCCTTGTTGCCAATTTTCTGGAGGTCTATTAACAAGATAATGAATCTCCAGGAATCTTAGAATGCTGTCAATCTCTGTATAATCGGAAATAGCTGATGCATTTGGAAATGTGACACAATCATATAAAGAAAATAGAGGAAGATACGGTCTTTGAGTAAATATCAGTATATCAGATGGCGTTGGCCTTGGGGATCTAATCTCTCCTTTCTCAATTGGCCACAATCTTGAAATTACTCTAAATAATGAGGATTTTCCTGCTCCTGATGGCCCAGTGATGAAAACAGAGTCATTCTTATTGATTGAAAATGTCATATTCCTAACTAATATTTCTCCTGTTGGTCGTGAAAACGTTACATCATTGAATTCAATCGATTCTGATGGAGGCTTATCAAAAAGCTCTTTTTTATAGTCAGATAATGTATTCCAAAGCTCGTAAATTCTATAGTTATAGCCACAGAGCTTAGAAATCTCAAGCATAACATTCAATATTGCACAGAGACCAGAGATAAGCATAATAGTAAGGAACCCACTATAAGAAGCAAATGCTGATATCTCAGCAGGTGTCATTTCTATAGTATTCATTGTAAAATAAATTAATAAGCAGACATACTCCATAATTCCTCCAAAATACGCGAAAAGATTAGTCACCAAGTTGAGAGGAAGAGATTTGTTTGCACGGCTTCGTTGAACATTGAGAACATCTGAAAATCTTTCTGTAATAAGTTTATATTCTTGATTTTGAGCCCTTGAAAGCGCAACAACTTCTGCATTATCTTTTAGTGTTACATGTACATCTCTAAACGATGCATCAGCATGTGAAAATTCGAATGTTATTTTCATTACTGGTTTCATGACAAAATAAGATATAATCATTGACAAAATTGAGAAAACAAAACAAAGTAAAACAGATAAATAGCCTATTTGTCCCCAAACAAGCACTAAATAGTAAAAAATTGTAACTGGAGTTTGAATTAATTGTCTTAATACGAGAGAAAAGCTTGAACTCCAGTTCTGAATGTCAATGGTAATTCTTCCATCTGGATTATCAATGAAAGAGTCGTAAACTAATAAATCATTAAAAGTATTGCCGTGAAGATAATCTTTTTGTATTTTTTGAACTAGCTGATCTCTTAGAACTATGGCCAATCTATCTGCAAACCATAGTTTGATAGCAATTGCAATGGAGATAAGAATAATGAATACACTGTATAAAATTAAGCTTGTTTTGAATGATTTACGATCCATGGAAGCAACGTATCCATACATTTTTGATGGAAATTCTCCAATATATTTTCCAAAAAATACTTCGAAGATTGCTGCAACTGCAAGCAGTGTTATATATATGTATGAAGCTACTGACATTGATCTCTTAAGAATTTGCCACAAATCAATTACGTTAAGTTTTCGCTCATGCTCAACACGTTCATACATATTAAATTTTGCTTCTTAATTGAGCTAGAATACATCTATATCTAATAATATACAATATCTTACTCATTCTCTCAAAGAATGTTGTAATTAATAAAATTTTGAGGTTTTTCATTATTTGTGATCGTCCTAACTTCAATGAGCTCATATTATCCAACAAAATAATAGCGCATTTTATATGCTTCAGATTGAAATATCTGTAAAAAATATATCTTTTAATTAGACTGAAATATCCTTGACAATGGAGGGCAATTAATCATTTCAGGTAAAAGGAGCAATACAGTCAATAAAATACTTATAGTAATTATAAAAACATAATATAATATATATTTAAACAAAACAAAGAGATAAGACAAGTTACAAAATAATTTTCTGCAAAGGAACAGCAGATTTCTTCTTCGGCCCCTTGGTATTTAAGCTAATTAATTCTTCATCTTCAACTTTAGTTTTCTGAGCGCCAACAATGAGAACAACTACAACGATACCTAGTGCAGATGCTGCCTTTCTCATAATCTTGACGTATTGGAAGCTAAATTGTGCATATTTACGAGGAGCTATTGTAAATGTTAAGAAATTTGTACATTGAACTACAACTGGTTCTACAACATAACTTTCTTTTGATAAATATGGAGTGAAATCAACATTAAAAGATTTCCATCGACCGGCAATTACTTTTGTATTTGTATTGTTGTATTGTATGTAACAGTTAGATATAGTGGAATAGTAATTGACGTTTCCGTATATGGCTGGATAATCGCATTTATAAATATAAATTTCATCAAAAGTACAAGCCATCGCAGAATGGATTACTCCTTGCCAAGATACTGTTTTCGTTATATTGACTATGTTAAAATATCTACATGTTGAGTTTTCATTATGACTTTTAACTCTGATTCCTGATCCGCCTTTGGAATTAATAAATGTACAAAATTTCATATGTGACTCCCTTTTATTCTCTGCAAAACCACAAACTGTTGAATCTTTAACATACAGTCTACTGATGTTTAGAGAAGTGAATTTCATAGGTGAAAAAACAATCCATGTAGACTTTTTGCATTGGTCAGATCGGTTAAAACATCCAATGCTAATCATTTCGAGCGTAGAATTGGCGGAAGATGAACAAGAAACGTGAAAAGTCGCAGCAATTTTTGAAAAACAGTCAATAAAGCATAATTTTGAAAAATTCATTGCGTAATATATAGTGTAGATAGCTCCACCATGTTGCTGGGATTCACAATTGAAGAAATATGATTTCTGAATTGAAATTTTGGATTTCGATATATTTGTTGCAACGGCATTTAGTACCCCACCATCGTCTTCTGAGAAACATGATATAAAAATACATGAGTTGAATGAAATTAAACGGGATTGATCGATTATTGGTTGATTTTGTACATAAATACTATGTAAAAATTGATTTGAATCTAATTTTATGGCAGATTTAAGCGTATTTACTACTCTGATTTTCGTTATTTCTAAGAATTTCGGGTCTGTTGATGAATATAATAAATGATACGAAATTTTATGAAAATATGAAGAAGATATCTTCATACTGGCTGCATTGTATCTGTGTGGTAACGAAAATAGCGGGTTTCCTAGAGTATTCGAGATGCGAATACTCAGGATGGAAACGTTCATAAAATATAAACAAAATCATAACATAAACTCAAACCTTATATCATAAAAACCTTATATTTGATCAATCAGCCCAAAATAATATAGTTTTCTCTGACTTCATATCCATTTTATCAGAAATAGCCAATTAAATCTTAAAATAAACAGAATATACCAAAAAGACATGTTTTAGGATATGATAGTAAAATATTTCATAAAATTATAAAAATACTTTATACAAATCTAAAACTTGAATGTATCAACAAGACAAGTATCAGATATGAACAAATTCTTTGCAAAATCAATAACGTAAGATGGGAATTGTGAAACAAATTTGTTGTATAACTTTGAATGTCTATACCAATGGAAAATGACATCAACACTAAATGGTCCTTTTGTCTGCATCTTAATTAGCGCATCTGGTCCAATGGGAGCTAATCTGACAAGTGTTGAATTATCAGATAATCTTTCAATTCTGTCAAAACCATCGATTGATTCAACACATTTCTGTTTCGGATCATCGCACTTAACAATTATAAATAATTTATCAGCTTTTTGGTAGTTAAATGGAATATTAATTTCAAGAATATCATTTTCATCTTTGGTGACATCAACAACCGGCCAATCAGCAATAAATTCAGGCAAAGTATCATTATCTTTCTGAATAAATACAGCAGGAGCATTCGAAATACCTCGTTTGTATTTCTGTGATGATTGGATTCCTTTGACCTTAGAAAGCAAATGAGGGATGGCGTTGGGACCAGAGTTAGGGTAGAATGAAACAGTACTTGTTCGATTCTTATAATAAAAATGAGCGAAATTTCCTCCAATTGTGAAATTGTCATTACAAGGAGCTTGCTTTGAGGTGACAAACATAACAAATGCAGTCGGAATTAAAAATGTGACAAGAGATAATTTGAAATATTTGTTTGTAACTGATAAATGACGTAATGAGAAGAAGCACTTCAAGCCATACAATGAACCTGTTGCAACAATTGCAACTTCTCCAATAATTCCATAGAATAATGAAACATATCTGATTAATGTTCTAAATAACAAAGAATAGACAAAGTTAAATGGCTGAATCAATATAATTTCAGCTATTAATCTGATAGAAACATGAGTGTTGCGTAATAAAATTGCAATTATTGTTGATAAAATGAAACCTGAAACAGTTATTGAAGAATCTAATGAAGCAAAGACAAATGCAAGTAATAAATCAAACAAACCTCTGAATAACAAAGCTGATTCTTGGGTAATATCTAAAAATCCGGATAAATTTCCGATAAAAACGAAAACAGTCAAAGGAATAGCAAGAGATGATAAGAAAGGATAATCAGCATATCCAAGTGGATTCTTCTTATTGAAATCATGAATCATTGCAGCAATTACTAACAAAACAATTGCAAAGACGGCCAAAAGCTTTAGAAATCCCATTAAATTTGTCTTATTAATCATTCTGACCATTTGAATAACTAAAACCAAACATAAAGAATATAATATCCTTGTTGAAGTCTTTTGACTAATTGTAAACACAAATGGTGATATACCAAGTATTATTTGATCAGTTTCTTCATCATCAACCTTGAATTTACGAATGAAATCCAAAATAATTCTTCCTTCGTATTGAACATCTCTTGGATCCTTAAGTAAGTCGTATTTCGTATGGTAAAATGATGGATTTCCAATGTAGACTAATTCTCCACCGCTTAATCCTTTCTTTTCGAAAACTCGTAAATCAGAAGAAGATTTGATCATTCCTGTTCCCATTATATCATTAAAGAAGGTGGCACCGATAACTCCTGTAGTTCTAGACCATGTTCTCAAAATAGATGACGAGTTTTTCGCCTTTGTTGTTAAAGCGAATGGTCTTCCTGAACCAATCGCTTCCAGGTTCAAATTATAGCCGGAAATGGTATGATTAGCAACATAGGACTTTGAGCCTTCAAGACCATATTCTTCTCCACCAACAAAAATGAAATGAAGATTGTAATCAAGGGGTTCTTTTAGTTGTGAGACGGTTGAAACAAGTTGGAGCATTACAGCTATGTTAATAGCATCATCGTAGACTGTTGGACCTGTGGGATGCCCATCAATATGGGCAGATATAAAAAGTGTACGCTTTTCATCAGTACAAAATGTAAAATTAGCTTCGATTGTTTTGATGTATTTACGTATAGCATTGAAATCTCTTGTGTGATAATGGAAATTATGAGGTTCGAACAATCCATATTCAAATTGGTGCTTTGCTGACTGTTTGTACTCTTGTAATCTATCTAAAATATAATCAATTGATGCATTATATTGAGCACTGCCAATATATCGACTGGATTTTGTTAAAAACATCAGATGCTTTAAAGAAGATTCGCCATCGAATTCATTTGCTGGACTTAGATGTAATAAATAGTCGCTACTATAGAGGAAATCAAAAATAGGCAATGTACTAGCCAGTAAAACAAATCCAATAATGTAAATTGAGTATCGCAACATTTAAAATAAAACTAGACAGAGCGAAGAATTTGAATATACATCAATTCAATAACTTTCACGAATGCAAAATATAAAATTTTAATCTTCCTTCTAAAATAATTTTTTGATTTGTCAGATCCACATTAACCTGTTAATCTATAATCAAATCATTTGAGATATATTAAATTCTTTTACTCAAAAGATAGGGAATCAAAAGCAACATGGATCATTTAAATGAAATAATAAAGTTCGAAAAAGCTTTAGATAAGATAAAAAACAATATTTAGTTTAGTTGCGTTCGCCACGGATACGTTGGGCAAGCTGAACATCACGCTCCATGATTGTAACTCTGTTAGCATGGATAGCGCAAAGGTTTGTGTCTTCGAAGAGGCCGACGAGGTAAGCTTCAGAAGCTTCCTGAAGGGCTGCAATAGCAGAGGACTGGAAACGAAGATCACCACGGAAGCCAGAAGCGATTTCTCTGACGAGACGCTGGAATGGAAGCTTACGGATAAGGAGATCAGTGGACTTCTGGTACTTACGGATTTCACGAAGAGCGACTGTACCTGGGCGGAAACGATGTTGCTTCTTAGCACCCTGGGAATCGATTGTTGGTGTTGACTTGCGAGCGGCCTTGGCACCGAGGGATTTACGTGGTGTCTTGCCACCAGTTGACTTTCTAGCTGTCTGCTTTGTACGAGCCATACTAAGAAATAATGAAAAACAGTTGCCCGCCAAAATTGAGAGAAATGCGAAGTTCCTTTTTTGTTCTACCATTTTAAAACCAAAAAATATCAATGCATAAAGATTATTTAGTATTCAATTAATAATAGATTATCCTGCCAAGGTCTAAATAATTGGCGGGTTTATTGAGAAGGCATTGATAAATCATTATTTATAATGTCCGGCAGAGGCAAAGGTGGTAAAGGTCTCGGTAAGGGTGGTGCTAAGCGCCATCGTAAGGTTATGCGTGAGAACATTCAGGGTATCACAAAGCCAGCTATCCGTCGTCTTGCTCGTCGTGGTGGCGTCAAGCGTATTTCAGGTGATATCTACGAAGAAGTTCGTGGCGTCCTTCGTCACTTCCTTGAAAATGTCATCCGTGATTCCGTTACATACACAGAACACGCTCGTCGTAAAACAGTTACAGCCATGGATGTAGTTTACGCTCTTAAGCGCCAGGGTAAGACACTTTATGGTTTCTAAAAAAATAAATTTGTTCTGTTTTATCAAACAACTTTTTCTTTAATCGGGCGAAAAGATTTTTAAATTATGATTAGATTTTTATTAAATTTCTTGATGTTTATCAAACAAAAATATTTCATTCTTCTCAAGAAGACTCAAATCATTAACCCAGAATTTGCTTTTCATGATTTTTAATTGTGTTCTTAATTAATTCCATGTAACAAGTAAGATGGTTATCTCAGAAAGGCAATAATTACTATCTAGAAGCTTCGCACCTCTCAACTGCAATAATTTCACAATAAAAATGTTTAAATTTCGATATAATATTCCTATAACTTAAATTATTTGTTCCTGAATTATATTTAATGCAATTCTCGAGAATAATTTTTGAGACTGTCAGTAGTAGGATATGACGGGTTTAGTGACTTTTTTTGTTACATCTATATATAGACGATGCATTAAAATATATTTATTTATAAATCATTAAAAAAAATTAACATTAATTTTAAAAATTTATTTTTTTTATCTTTTATAAAAGAAGCTATATATATAGATGATGTCAGATATTCCGCGATTAATTAAACATTGTTTAAATCCTGAATGGGTTTAAATATCATCCATGTAAAATTTGAGAACTTGGTAACGAAAAACTTCAGAAAAAATTAAACGAAAGACTATCAAAAGATAAAGTTGAAAGAGTAAATAAACTCGCTAAAGGTAATGGTAATGATGAAGAAGAATTTGATGAGTTCAACATTGAACTTTAAGAAACTAATGATTATTTGAATTTATGAAATCAATTATTTGATTCATTCTTTCTTCAATCTCTTCTATTCTTTTTGTTAAATCATCAATTTTCATTAATGAGGTGATTCTTGATTGAGGAATAGATTTCAAACTAACCACTCCTTTTATTTTTGAAATTTTGAATCCATCAACTTTAAACATTTTATTCAATTTACATGTTGTCAATTCTTCAAATAATTTTTTATTATTAGCATAATAGTCATTAAATTCTTCAACAGATGAAAAAATTTTTATTTCAGTAATTGGTTTAACAACGTTTATTTTTGTTGAACATTTTCACTTCATTTATTTCTTCCTCCTCTGTTTCATTTATTTTTAAAATCGGTTTCATTTATCATTAAATAAAAATTAGAATATAAGTGATGAAATATATTTTTTAATTAATATTAAATCAGAAATGGCGGCAGGATTCTTTAAAAAATTATGGGATGGAATTAAGAAAGCTGCGGTTGGGTTCATAAAAAGATTATTAAACCCGTTGCAAACTTTTTGGCACCAGTAGCGAAAACGGCAGGAACTATCATAGGTGGAGTATTAGGTACTAAAGCAGGTAATCCGGCGATGGGAGCACAAGCAGGTAACGCAATTGGTGGAATAGCTGAAGGAATACTTAATAAAATAGGGGTAGATAGTGGAAAAATAAATTTAAAATTATTTTTATCTTAGTATCGGTTGTAGTCTTTGATAAACTTTTTCTCCTTTATTTAAAACTTCTCTTATTGGGGCAGCTTTTGGTGTTATTGATTCAGCAACGTCACTAATTGCTTCTTTATTCTTAAATATCCAATTTGCCCTTCTTCAATGTTTCCCAAACTTTACTCGCTCCTCTTTTTACTTTATCCCACAGTTTCTTAAATATACCTGCAGCCATAGTTGATTATTTCATTAAAATTAAAAATTCATTTTCATCTTTTAATTTTGATTTTTTTATTTATTAATAAATGACGACTAACTATTTAGTGCCAAACACTAAACCGATTAATGGAAATGTGTTTCATTCATTCGAAAAGATAAATGAAATATTCGCAAAGAATGACGGTAGAAGATATTATAGAGAACTTGAAAGTTCATGCTATGACTCTGATGCTCCATATTTTGATGATAAACAAACTCATTTAAGAATTACAAATCCAGCTCATGATGTGAACCAATTAGGTGACACATATATTAAACGCAAAGTTAAAGCAACTCTAGTTTCAAATAAAGCTTTCACATGTGATGCCGCTTTTAAATGCATGCGTTTATTCGTTGGTTACAAATCATCAAATCAAAGCTTTAAACAATTAGAAGTAGAAACCGAAAGAGGTGATGCCGGTTATCTTCAGATGGATTGCGCCCGTGAATCTTTCGCATTTGCAACATATAAACCAAAATCAGAAAGGAAAGTTAAAAAGTTTGTTCATTCGTTATATAATAATGTTCAAAAATATGATAACTCAGTATGTGGTAAATATATTGACCCTTCAGAAGTTTTCAAGAAAGCAAATGAAGAAGTTGATGTCACTTTTGATATGATTATTCCGGTAAATGATTTGTTAGCATTTCAGGCGTTCGATGATTATCCTAAATCATTTGGTGATATCATTCTTAAATATTATGTTTTCAGGGATACTTTAGTATTTTGTCAGGTTGACCCGTTAAGAGTTGCTGATTTACAAAATTACGTTTATGAAAAGATAACTGATGAAAATTATGAAAAGATTATGAATCATGTTTATAAATATGATCGCAAATTCCAACAAATCGGACTTCCTGCCAAATTAATTACAAGCTTAGCCGCTACATCTGCTGACGCAACAGTTGATGACGTTATTATTTCATGCACAAAGATGGAAGTTTTAGAGGATAAATGCATTACACCAGGATACGGTTTAATTGAAGAATCAGTTAAAGCAATACCACGTTTATTCAGTAAGGAAGATCCATTCATGATTCCAGCTCAACATATTGACGTTCGTTCACTAAATGGAGGTTGCATCACTCCTGAAGGTATTAGCTCAGATTTCTCATACGCTCTTCATAATGTTACAGATGTTGTGTTAACATTTCCGAAGAATGCAATGCAAAGAACAGTTTTAGAAAATCCAATGCTTCGAGGTCTTCAGGTCACTATAGATTCCAGAAACTTCCCCGATCAAGCGATGACCACAGTGGGTGACATATTCTTTACACGTATGCTTCAAGCTTCTGATTTAGATGGAGTGAATGAATGCACGGAAGAATACGAGGACTCATTAACTAGACCACTGAATGATGATGATGGCGCCATTAGCTAGAACATGGAAAGACCAAACTTCATTCTTATGCACTATTCCAGTTCAACGTGATGGAGCGGGTATATTCTTTGATGGATTAGAAACTTTCAACTCACAAGTTACAGTACAAGTGAAAGCTTATCCAATCATTCAGGGTGAAAATGACACTTACTGTTCAAAGGTGACAAATCCTCCTCAGGTTTGGTTTACTAGGACTACATATTGGACATGGACACCGGATGAAGGTTTGAAATATCATCCAACAGGTACACCACCACAGTATAGAAGTTCATATGATGAAATATTGATGAATAGAAATGTTTAAAATTATAAATTTATTTTTGATTAAATGGATTTAAATTCATACACTCCTTATGAAGAATTAGCAGGAGTATATAATACATACATAGATGATATGATTAATGAAGCATTGAGTGATAATAGAAATGCTCTATCTAAGGAAAAATTAATGAAAATTCCATATTCTGAATGTTACTTAAATTCAATCACTGCAGCAATTGGTAAACAGAATAAAGGTAAAACATTAACGATATTAAAACAAATTATCATTATTGCTAACACTTCCCCCATTCACATGTGTTAATTTATATCAACCGTTCAGGTTCACCTTCAGATGATACATTTGAATCTTTAAAGCATTTAATCAAAATTCCAATTATTTATTTATCACAAGAAGAAGCAGAAGATTATTTAAAAAACTTTTTAATGTATAAAGAATTATATAATACAATCAAGAAGCAAGGATTAGAGGATAAAATTATTGATAAACAACGGGATGAATTATTTGAAACACTTTCTATTTCAAATTTTGATAGAGAATTTTTGCATTCACTCATTTTTCTAGATGATGCAGTGAAATCAAAACTAATAACAAATGAGAAATCATATTTTAATCAGTTATTAACTCAATGTCGACACATTCAGTGTTCATTCTTTATGGCTGTTCAATATTTCAAAGCATTAAGCACAAACATTAAATCAAATCTATCAACACTTTTCATTTTCAGTGGGTTTAGTCGTCAACAGTTGAAACGTTATGCTTTATCAAGTGAATTTACCAATGAGCATTAATGAACTTTACACACAATATCAGCAATTAGGTGAACATGGAAAAATAATAGTTGATTTAAATAAAGGAAGTGTTAAATTTGATTAACTTTTTATAATTAATTTTTATTTTTTATTTATAATTAAACATGACAGAAATGGCAAATCTTCTACGGGTTCCATTAAAACAAGGAACAAACAAAAGGGGTGCATATAATAGAACTATGAAAGTTCCTGATGGAATGAAAGAATTAGTTCATATTGTTGCTGGTCTTCAAAAAGATGTTAAACAAATGAGAAACGTTTTAACATTACCAGAAGCTCAAGCATATGCCAAACGTCAAGGTCCAAATTGGGAAGCACACAAAGCAGACATTACGGGTCCAAATGGAAAACCTGATGGTATAAATGAAGTTTTCGTTACTGATGGTCAAGGTAATATTAAAGTCATAAATGGTTATAAATTAACTATATCTGATTATCCTAAACGTAAAGCATATAATGAACGTTATCCTATGCAATTTGATGAAAATGGAAAAGCTGTTAAACAATACATTGGAGAAGGTGAAAATGGTCCAATTAATTCATACCGTATAATCCATATTCTTATTTCAATGAAGAATTAAATGCTATTGAAGAGGGACCGGATGGATTACCACGATATTCTAACCAGTTTGATGGTCAATATGCAAATATTAGACCGAAATTTCAGCTAAGAAATTCTTTAAAGTTGCTTTATTCGATCCAGTTTTTGCAAATGTTAAAGATGAACTTAAACAGCACTTCCAACCAATTATAGTAGCAAGAATTGCATCAGGCGCTTTATCTCAAGCATTCAAAGATTTAATTAAGAAACCATTATATCAGCAACGAGGTTTAACTTATGATTTAGTTAAGGAATCAGATAAAAGAAAATTTGAGAAATCAGATGATTATAAGAATGCAATTAATGAATATATTAGGTCTATTAATTACGATGAAACAGCTAAAAATCAACTTCATGAACAAATACAGGGAATAATAGATTCAAAAGTTCCAGCAAAATAAAAGTTTAAATATATTTTTTTATTCGAATATAAATGAGAAGACGTTTCACTAGTCAAAAGAACACTAACGCAAAAGCAGAAATTACGGTTGGTTATAACGTAAATGATGATAAATCACGAATTATTCAAAATGTTAAAGGTAATGTTAGCCCCGAATTAACAAGGTCAGCAACTCAACCAAATTTATTAACTCGTGACTTACCGAAAAAGGAGGAGGAGCAAAATACAGAAGATGGAGACCCAATCATTTTATCTGAACCCGGTAAAGAACCCGTTGAAATTCCCACTTATCCAACATACCCCCCGCCTCTTTCATCAAACATCGAGAACCCATATAAAATAGACATTAATTCTGAATTAATGAAAATTTACCGTGATATAATAATTAATAATTATGATTCAATAATAAATTTAATTGACCAATCCGGTTTAATTATTTTACCTTATGAATCATTAATTCACATTATCGCCATTCTTTGTGATGTTCAAGATTCAGACGTTAAGATTCAATTTTTCATAGATGATGAGGTTTCATGCTGCGGAACAGTTGCAAAAATAAATCCTATAAAGGATATTAGCACAATTAAGATATCAAAGAATGGAACAACAACTGAACTTCATTTAACATATAATGATATTTATAATAAAATAGTTGATGAATATAAAATATCACTTGAAAAATTCTTTGTTAAGGCTATTTAATATTCAAGCATTAACATTATCGAATAATAATCCTTTGAATCATAATCAATAATAATTGACCTTTCACCAGTTTCTATCGTTTGTTTTATTTCTTTTTGTTCCCCACTATCCGGATCGGTCATTGTAATTGTTTTTGTTATAGTATCAGCTTTATCTTTAACTTCAATCTTTTTTCCATCGGGATATTTAAACCAAAATTCCAAAAAATTCGATATTGTCAATCTGTTCATATTTAATCTATCAATTACATTTTTAATACCATCTGAAAATCTTATGAAATGGTCATTATATGGGTTTGATTGAACTAAATTTGAATGAAGTGAAATATAACCTGTTGATGAATATGACACTGACTCATATTTTCTGAAAACACTAAAATTTATAACATGAATGAATTTCTTATTCGTTGAATTTATGAATTCTTGAGGTAATCTTATTCTAGTTTTATTTATCACTGGAAAATAACGCTTTACCATATTTTTAATCGTAATAAAAATGTCAATTATCAATATTATTTCGAATAATAGCTGTGAATTAAATTTAACAGTTAGCGGAATTTATAATGTTACTCTCGTTTCTGTGAGTGGTAAATTTAATCCCATTCTTTTAGACCCTTCAGATTATATATCATTTATTAAAGATGACCATGAAAAAACGTATGATATGTATATAAATAATGTGATAGCGAAATGGGATATTAACATGATTTTAAGTTATTTAAATGAATCATTTATCGTATGGTATGAAGAAAATTTTAAATCAAAACCTGATAAACTTTTTGAACTTGATGAAATAAATAACCTTATTAAATTCCCACCGAAAATTAAATTTTGTACTCCTCATCTTCGTTCATTGTTGGGGATATTAAATTTTGAAAAAGATGTTGGGGATGTTTTGTATTCTGACACTGGTTCCAATTTCATTTTAATAAAATGTGATAAAGTTAATACCCCAATGAGATTTTCACATCAAACATTAGACCCTAACTCTTACCCATCAATACAAAACATTTTATCCATCAACTTAAACACATTTTCTTTATCATATCCGTTTCAATTATCCGGGAATTCATTTATTCTTCATTCAAAAGATTTATCAAATATTAAATTTAGAATAACTGACCTATTTGATTGTGATTTAGAATTTATGAATGAAATATTATGGCAATTTCAAATAGAGAAAATAGCTGATGAGATAACGGATTAAATATTTATTTTTAAATCATAATAAATGATTAAACAACAGCAACCACAACAACTTATTACATACGCCATATATGCATATAATTCAAAGACGGCAGAACAAACGCAAAGGTTGAAATATGGAGATTTGGAGATAGTATTGAAAAATGGCCATTTCGAATTCGTTTGCAAAGGTGGTGCAATGATATCAAATATAAAAGAAATTTTATTTATGAATTCAAAAATTAAAGGAATAACGGATGATATAACATCAATTCCACCAGAAGAACAGAGATATTACGCATTAAATGCATTTCCTAAAGTTTTGAAGATTGGAAGATTTAATTTAAATGAGGAATTCATAGAAGATTTCCTAAACGACATAATGAAGAAGGTGGATAAGGAATATGTGGATAGTGAGTTAATGAAGAAAGCAGATAAGGAATATGTGGATAGTGAATTAAATAAGAAGGCAAATTTGGTTTATGTTGATGAAAAAGATAATGAAATTAAAGAAAAAGTTGAATGGTATCATGAATGGACATTTGAGACTTTTAAAGTTAAAGCTGATACAGGATGGGTTTTAGGATGTTTAGACCTTAAAGCAGATAAAACTTATGTTAACGATGAGTTAGAGAAGAAGGCGGATAAGGAATGGACATTGGAGACTTTTAAAGTTAAAGCTGATACAGAATGGGTTTCAGGATGTTTAGACCTTAAAGCAGATAAAACTTATGTTGATGAAAATTATGCAAAGAAGTCGGAAGTAAATGATGTGATTACAAGCATGAAAAATGAAATACTTCAAACATTATATCCTGTTGGTTCTATTTATACGTCAATGAATTCAACAAATTCAGCAACAGTTTTAGGTTTTGGTACGTGGAAGCAGATTGTAGATAAATTCTTATACTGTGCTAGATATTCAAAGCAAACAGGAGGTTCGAAGAAAATTAAAGAAGCAAACCTTCCACCGCACACTCATACAGGAACGACAAACTTTTCTGGCGACCATAGCCACTCATTAAGAGACCACCCATTATACAACTCAGACTATGAAGCTGGCAATGATGTTTTATCTCCAGCTTATAACAATTCAGCAAAAAAGACTTTTCGACAAACTGAACCGGGAGGAAATCATGTCCATACTTTCACAACAAATCCAACAGGCTTGGGTAAAGATTACATGCCACCATTTGTGACTATATTCGCATGGTACCGCGTTCAATGAACGCTCAATGTTTGTGAAACAAACTTTAGAACGGACTGAAAGTCCTGAGCTCCAAAAGAGCGAACGGCATAATTTAACATTTTATTTTTATCATAAATGACAAAATTAATTAAGCCAACTATTTCTAAATTAATGATACCAATGAAATCATTTCATGGAGTACTTATCCCAGGTTCTTCACAATTAGCCGGGGCAAGTGTTGTGACTCAAGGTGGAACATTAGCGAATCCATTCAAATTATTAACTAAAGATGAACTTAATAAAATGATGATAAAATAACTGATAACAAAATTTTATTTCACTGCTACCATGTTACCATGTGCTACCAGGTTAATTAACTTCTCTTAAAAATGATGACAACATGACATTTTGACAACAGTTCAGGAGGAAGGCATTTATGAATTATTTTTGAAGAACTGAAGGTGCTACCATGTTACCATGTGCTACCAGGTTAATTAACTTCTCTTAAAAATGATGACAACATGACATTTTGACAACAGTTCAGGAGGAAGGCAAAAATAAATTCAAATCATACTTTATAAAGCTTCATTTACAGGTATTTCATCATCAGTAAATGAATCCTCATTATCGTTTGGTTCAACCTGTTTATATAATCCTTTCATTTCTTCTTTCAAAACATAACACCATGTTTGTTTATCGTCTATTCTTCTATGTTTCCTATCACATTTATCCTTAATACTCATTTGGAAATTCTTGTCTTTCATGTCTGATGATTTGCAGAATAGAGCATTTTTACACGTCATACCTGCACACAATTCATCATAATGTGTATTTATCCATACATCTAAAGGATTTGTTGATAATTCAATTAAATCTTGTTTGGCTTCAGTCATCGGTATGATTCGTACATTAAATGATGAAAGGTCGTAATTGATAAAATACGTCAGTAAATTATCATAAAATTCCTTTGTGCATGAATCCATTAAATTCTTGAAGTAATCAAATTGACCCTTAAATTTACCATTAACCCTTAAAACTACGTATCTTCTGTCTCCAACTTCAATTTTGACAGGGTAAACGTTGTTAGTTACGAAAATGAAGTTTGCAACGTTCTGAGCAGTTCTTCTGGGTTGATTCTTTTCATTAATTCTAATCTCATTATCCGTAATAATTGATTTCAAAGCGTTGAAGTTTGCGAGTCTGTCTTCACCAACATTCTTGAGTTCATTAAGTACAAGAAACATTTTATTTTCAACTACTGAGTTGAAATTACCCGTTAGCTCACCTATTTCAGTAATGTTTTTGCATGAATAACCAGCGAGAAGTTCAGAAATAATGTCTGTGAATCTGTTTTTACCTGTTCCCTGAAGTCCTTTCAAAGTAATTGCTGTTTCATTCTTGATTCCAGGATGTTGAATCATTGATGCAATCCAACCGAGAAGGTATTTATACACTTCATCATTATTATCACAAATGGCTTCTTTAATGAAATTCATAAACATCTCAATTTTTGAGTAATCAGGCTTTTCGAGAATGTTGTATTTATAACCTTGAAACGTTGAGAAAACATCTGGGGAATCAGATTTAAAGCAAACACCCTTAACGGTTAATGAGGATAATTGATTTAATAGTACGTCCCATGCTGTTATGGTTTTACCTTCTTCTTTAAATAATTTAATCATTTTGAGTGACTCTTTCATGTTTGATTGAAGAACGAATGATATTTGATTCATTTTGTCGTGGATATTATAGTCCTTTTGAATGAAATATTTATTTCCACAATCTACAAAACGGATTACACGTGATAAATCCTCAATTACTTCAGAACTGTTTTTATACTGATGATTTTCAGCCTTGCGTCTAATATCTGTTATCAAAAACGAGTCATCAAGTTTTATATCAAATGTTATTTTTGGCTTACGTAATAAAGGCAAAACGTATTCATCATAATATTCCTTTTGATATAGTTTTAGAATCTTCACCAAAACAAATGGAGAAGTCATTAAATGTGCATATCTACTACGTGCTTTTTCAAAATTACTTTTTGCATTTTCAGTTAAATTGCAGAAGTTATAAACGTTATCGTATGCTTCATTAATCAAATGATTAGGTAACGAATTAATTGCTTGAAACAGTGTGAATAATGTAACTTCTTTTTCTAAATTCATGTTTCCACCGTCATTATGTACTTCAAAATCACTGATGCCATCAACTATGCTCTGGGCAAGTTTATCGTCAATGTTTACATCTTTGTTTTCATTCATTATACTCTTTATTTCTTCATTCTTCTGTTCAACTCTTACCTTAATATTCAAATCATTTAATATATCATTCACTGTTCTGGTTAATGTTGAATCGTAACTTCCACGAATGAATGAGTATGTATTGATTGGTTCTGTTGCATTCTTGCGAACTCTTGAATCAGCCATAACCACTAATGAACGCTTTGAATCATCAATAGAAGTCATTATATCAATATCATAATCATTGCAGGAATAACATTTAATCATTCTGTTCGAAACTGCATAGAAGAAATTAGTGTTGCAATAAATGTGAAGACCTCCTGAAGCGGTTTTAACTATAACGTCTTTATCCGAAAGTTTTGATAGAATGTCTTTTCTAACCGTTTCTTTAAGTTCATCATTGTATGATTTATTGATATCGACATCTATAATCGTTAAATTTGATATTTTATTTACTAATAAAGCCATACCAGTTTTCCTTCCTCTTCCTCCATCATGTTTGAGGTAGTTGTGTAAATCAATCTTGTTTTCACCAATTCTTTCGTTGAGGGTTTTAGTTTCTACCACAACTAATTCCTCAACTAATGAATCAATAACTTTTTCATCAGAAACGATAAAGTTGCTGCTGTTGTTTGTTGCTGTCATTTATATAGGAATAAAAAAATAAAAAATAATTTTAAAACTAACTTTATTTTTGGGCTGCATCAAATTTCCTGTGTTGTTGTCAAAATGTCATGTTGTCATCATTTTTAAGAGAAGTTAATTGACATGGTAGCACCTTCAGTTCTTCAAAAATAATTAATTATTGAATAACCTAAAATCATTAATGAAAACATAAACGATAACATTTATTTCCTGTGTTGTTGTCAAAATGTCATGTTGTCATCATTTTTAAGAGAAGATAATTGACATGGTAGCACATGGTAACATGGTAGCACTGAAAAAATTAAATTTGGATTGAGTTTAAAAATTCATCTTTATTAAATTCATCTCTTCCAATCAATTTATTTATTCTATTAAATTCGTTTATTTTTGCTTCACTCAGTTTAAGGATTGAACGGTAAGTTTCTAATTTTTCGATTATTTCTTTCCTCTCTTTATCGTTTTCAGCCCCACCGCATTGCGGCTTCTTTTTGTAATAGCATATTTTTGATTTAATTCTGTTTAGTTTCTTTTTATATTCATCGTCAGGACTCTTGGCTGCTTTGTTGTCACTCATTTCTTACGAAATAAAAAAATTAAATATTATTTAAATATAATGGAGTAATAAAATAAATCGGAATTTCTATTAATTTATTGTCAACTTCAACTAATGCATTGCCGTTAATATATCTAACAAATTCAGCTATTGTGTCAAATCTTCGTCTTCTTTTTGTCATTGATTTATCAGTTTTTCCATAATCGAGATGAATCAAAACTTTATCCCCTTGTTTAAAATTCATGAGCCCGAATTAATTTGTTCACGTTTAACATCATTCAACCTTTCCATTTGCTTTCTAATATATTCCCATTCTTTTGAAATATCATTTTTCATTTCCACTGGTTTCATGTTTATAGTTCTATGCCATGTATTATTGTAATAATATACTAACTGCTGTATGATGGAGTCATGATTTCCATCCCAGTATATCCGGCCGTTAACCCCTAACGCATCTCTAAGAGTTCTCATTACTGCATCAACTATTTTATTATGAAACGTATATGGAGAGGATGAAAAGAAAAAATTAATTTGTGGGAAATAATGAGCCATAGCTGCCTGAAATCCTTTATCACCATCACCCCTGATATTATCTACTCTTTCATGATCTAGTAAGTATTGTATAGCTCTTCTTGTTTCCTGTTCTGTTTTCCCTTTCACCGGAATGCAATATAAATATCTAGTGTTAATGTTAATGGTCAATAAATAAGTAACGTTTCCTTTTGAATATTCCAGATGATCGATTTCGTATGAATATGGATATGGAGCAAATGAAGGGCGACTAAATTTTTCCTTTAACGGTTGAATTTTCGGGTCAATTGGTTTATTTAATATCTTGAAATCCTTTTTAAAATCTTTTTGTTCTTTAATGTTTGAAATGGATATAATAAAGTGAATGATGAAGGATTAACTGAAGGAGGAGGTACTGTCGTTGGAGGTTTTGGTATTGCAAGTGGTTTAATTTTATCTGCTTTGATTTTGGATGATGAAGTTTTGGATTTCATTCCTTCATTAATTCTGGATGTATTCTATTCATTTGTTTTAAATATGTTGTATATAAAGGTTTGATATACTTTCCCGCTTCGAGTTTATGTTGAAGGATGAATTCCAAAAGTTGATCTTCATTTAAAAGTCGGGCTGAATATGGTTTAACTAATGAATCATAAATTAAAGCTTGTGCTTCATTTATGGTCTGAAGGACCTGGGCGTTTTGCACCTTTAGCTGTTGAACATTTGCTACTTTCTCTTTTGGTGTTGTTTTCGGCTTTTTCTTCTTTTGTTTTTGTTCCTTTGGCTTTTGCGGCTCAGGATTATATAATTTATATAATTCATCAATATCTTCTTCTGTTAATACTTTATTTTTGAAATCTTTCAACTGTTTAAGTTGTGATTTAGTTTTTCCCTTTGTATATTCATTATTTTTAATTTTGTCTTTAATTTTAGAAATTATTTTATCATGATATTTCAAAATTTCATTTTTATAATACGAATAATAATAATCCATATCATCACCTGTTATATTTTATTATGTTTTTGGAGATATGATTTTAATTCATAATAATTAAGAAAATTTTGATTAAGTACTAAATCATCAATTAAATTTTCTAAATCTGCGTTATCCATTTATATAAAAATAAAATAAATGTTTTAAGGGTGGCCACCTCTTTGAATCATAGTATCAAAACCATTATTTACATATTGAATCGCATCATTAACGGTTCCTCCTTCTAAAACGGTATCAAATGGTGGAGTCCAGATTTCCTGATGATGATCATAAAATCCAGCAAAATTAACCGTATTATTAGGTAAAATATGAATCTCAGCGGTATATCTTCTATCTAAATTTGGATGCCTTATATGTATACCATTACTGCCCGGATAAAATCTCAAACCTTGATTTTGTTGACGCATCAAATTATTGAAATTTCTTTCTTCAGGGGTGAATGTTCTTCTCCGTTGACGTTGTGGTGGTGGTGGTGGTCGTTGTTGCGGCTGTTGATGCTGTGGTGGGATTTGAAAAATTCGTTGTGGTTGATTATTTGGAATCTGAAAGTTAAAACCATTTGGTATAAATCGATTTGGTTCCTTTTGTCTCTTCTGTGGCATTTTATTAAAAATAAAATTTTAAATTGTATTAAATAAATGGCATACAACATCCATTTTCACAACATACAGCCTTAGTGTGTGCTCCTGTTAATGCAGTCTTACCGATTGTTAAGCGAGTCATTGACCCGTTTTTAAGTTGTAAATTAATATTCTGACCATCAAATATCACTTTATCATTTATTATATCCAAATAATTTTTAGGTGTTAATTGTTTATTTTGTCGTAAACTAACACCTTTCATTTTTTGTGCAATCTTTTTAAAATCACTTCCATCAATTGAACCGTTGAATGATGTATAACACTTAGGGCATAAAGCAACCATGTTATCACCTTGTTTCTCAATTGCTAAACCCAATAACTTCTTTCTCATGTGCTTTTTCTTCAGCTTTATTCTTTAATTTAGGTTTAAATTTCTCATCAAAACAGAAGAAATCAAATGGTGCGAATTTGAAAATGTTTTTATCATAAAATTGTTTATCGGTAACAATTGCTTGAAATGCTTGAGTGTTAGGAAGATTTGGATCGCCAGCGATTGCCCAATAAGATGAATCAGTATCACCTTCAATGAAATGAAAACGATTAACATTCAAGCATTTATACATAAAATCATAAATGAAAACCAAATACCAGTATTTAGCATTATCTAAAGTGAAGAATGCCTCTTGTAAACATGTATCACATCTATAAAATCTATCTTTAAGCATCACTTGATATGTATCTCACCTATTTCTCTTATGTTTTTAAACTTATTTGACATACATGCAACGCGTGCCTTCTGTGCATTCATTATTTTAGTCTTTGCGTAATTTTGTGTATTCATTGCATCGTAACCATATGATCCATTAAGTGAAATCTTGCAAAATAAACTTTTTCCTTTATTTCCTTCTAATTCAGCCTTTTGTCTTTCGTTCATAAATTCGTTCGCAAATTCATTAAAACAAGTGTTTTTAGTAAATGTTAAAATTGATTGAATATCATCGATGATAAAATGAAATCTGTCTATTAGATACCAAAGATAATAAGAAGAAAATGGTTGATATTGGTTGTGTGTTGATGCTAACTGAGTTAATTTCCTCTGTTTCTGGTCAACTGGTAGATTGTTTGATTTCATGTAATTATACATAAAACTGCCAATTGTTTTTTCATCTGTGATAATATCTAAGTTTCTTATTATCGGTAAAAAGTTTATGTAATCATTAATGTATTTTTCATCAATGTGACCCTTTACTTCAGCCACGAATAAAGTATTTTTCTTCTAATTATTCCCAGTGCTTTTGCTTTCTTTGTTGCTGTATCACAAATGATAACACCATTCAATCTTCCCGGCATATACATTTTATGGTCAGTATATTGAATGAAATCATGAGGATTAGATGAAAATGATGAAGGATATAATGAATTAAAATCAACACCAACGAAATGAGTCATAATGTTGGTGGTGTCCTCATTTGATACAGTTTTAGTTTCTGGATTATATGAAAGTTTATTAATGTGCGTGATTCCTTTAAGATTTACTCTATGTTGAACATTTGATAGACCACCAGTAATTCCATTACGGAGAATGTGATAAGCTTCAACTGAATCTAAAGTCATTGGTAAATTATTTTTTAATGCATAATTTCTTAAATTGATTCTTAAACGTTGAACATCTTCATCTTTATTTGATTTTACGACATTGCAATAACAACACATTAACTGACAATTTTCTTTGGTATGTGGTTTTTCATTATCGATTCTATCCAATGTTGGTTTATTTGCATATGTAAACGCTTTACCACACATTTTGCATTTAGATGAAAGGATTAAATCGTGATAGTATTGAAAATCATCCATTGAAACATTATTTTTAGTATCTCTTTCTGCTTTTTCATCTTGTTTCTTATATGATTCAATTTTATATTTCCAATACTTTTTCGTTAATTCAAAACTTGATTCTATCTCTTCCTCAGGATATTTTTCATTAGGATTAAAGTCTTTATATGCTAAAGCGTAACGAATCATTGAAGCATTCGATGATAAAGAAAGATTATGAAGCATGTCAATTTTATAAACAAATGTTTCTTCAATAATTTTATCGATTGGGTCAATCATAATTTCAACATCTTTATTGCAATAATGAATAAAATATTCTAATCTATTCTTAAAATTTTTAGCATCATTGAGATATATTTGATAATCACTATCTGATATAGTTTCTTGAGTTAATGCTGAATAAAATGAATCTTGAGTGAATGGTTCCACTTTATATAATTCTTCTTCGTAATTTCCCACGTGATGAATTGATAAGGGAAAAAGGATTTAACACGTGATTTATTGTTTCCGAAATCTTGAGTGAATTGGTCTAATGTCCCACCCGCTATATAATTTCTGATGTCAATAAATCTCAATTCATATGGAACGTTTGTTTTCTTTACAATGATTTGCTTAAATTGTGAAGATGAACCCAGCATTGATTTTATTTTCCATTTTGCAGTGTTTAAATCACGAAGAATTAAATTTAAATCAAACTTTCCCGAATTAAAACCTATGATATTCACTTTATTGAATTCCTCATCTAGAAGTTCTTTAAATGCTTCCTTCTGTTTTTCATTTAATGTTTGCGACTTCAATAATTCATTGTATTGACTCATATTTGATTCAACAACTAATGAACAGGTTGAAAATAAAAACTCAATCCAATCAGAAATAAAAGAATCACTCGAAGTTAAGCAAAAATTCCTCGTATATGTTTTTATCATTTAATTTAACCGTTGATGATACCATGAATGGTTTTTAAGTAAGCATTCAAAGTTGCACACTCAGAAAGTTGTAATTCTTCTTTAGTCTCTAATGTTTCAAAGTCAAAAGTAATATAATATCTTGTCGGTTTATAAATATTTCTGCAAATTGTGAGCTAATAACCACTGATATATCTTCTGTTTCGTAATATGTGGTGCATATGGTTGCTGTGTCTTTTGCAACTGAACGTCTTGAATTAATCTTCCATTATTTTCTTTACATTTCTCACAATGCTTTAAAAATCTTCTTTGGTTTTTCCTTTCTGGATCATCGCGGATAGAATAAACTTCTTCTTTACAATATGGACAAACTTTATAGCCGGTGAGTGCTTCAACGTCTGTTATTCTGTCAGCGTGAAGTTTTCCACATGGACTCTGTGTTAATAAAATATTTACTGTTTCAAATTCTGGATCTATCATTATTGATTCCACTAATGGAAAGTCTACCTTATTTATGTCCACGTCTTCTGGTTGAGGATCACAATAATAGAAATCAATATTAACATTTAACATTCTCGCTAATCTCTCACTTTCTGATGAAATGTCAAACCCTTCATATGCATCTATTGCTTCATTTAAATAGCTTCTACGAGTTTTAGGATTAGCACCATCAGGAATGTTATAGAAGCGTTTAAATAACCTTCTACCTTCTGCTCTAATTTGATTATCATTCATTTTAGCTGTTCCGTTTTTGTTCATTTATGTAAGAATAAAAAATTAAAAAATAAATAAAAATAAAGTTTATTTTTTAAAACCCATAAAATAAATTAAGAACACATAAATTTTTATCATCTGCGACGTGACGAATACATTTTAATTTACTCAAGAATGCGTACCCTGATACATTAAATCTAATTCCTGTCTTATTTAATTTCACAACTTTGAAAAGGAATGTATGAATAGCTATAAAATGATGAGAAGATGTTTTATGGGTTGCTTCCATTTTTTCTGAAATAAATGAATAAATATAATGCTTATACGTTTTCATATCTTTTATATTCTTAATAACGAATGGTATAGACCTTTCCACTTCGTCTTCCTTCGGTGCTGTTCTTTCATATGAAACATTATTGGTATCTTCAATAATGAAACCACAATCACACAAAATTTTATAGGTTCCAATGGTTTCTTTTGATATTTTATCTAATAAATCAAAAACTTTATCAACACCTGTGCATTTATTTAAATAATAATTTGTGTAAATATCATGATCTTCTTTCTTAATCGTATTAGTTGCATATGTCACGTTTTTAAGAGCTTTTTTGAATTTTTCGGAATCTAAAGGTGGTGAAAGTAGGATACAGGGGTATTCTTCATTATCAATAAATTGTAACTTATGTTTACGAATAAATTTAGTACCTTCTTCTGAAAGTGTTTCGTCTATTTCACCATCTAATAAATTTTGTGTTGATTCTGAGACATAATTTTTATATCTTTCTTCATGAGATTTCTGAACTTCTGATTCTGAAGCTGGGATATTCATTAAACCCTCTACTTCATTTTCATTATATTTTTCAACTTCTCTTAATTCCTTAATTCTTTCATCTATTTCATCTCTTATTTTTTTCAGTCTTTCAATTTCATTGTATTCATCATCTTTAATCCGTTCTTCATAATATTCGGGGAAAACATTAGGTTCTTTAGGTTTTTCTTCTTCAGATGTGGGATATAAGAAATTTATAACATCATCTTTATTCATTTTTCCATCATAATCTAAATCATTTAATAACTCCGCGAATTTTTTACAATTTCTTAAATAATATTTATCAACTTCATAACCTACCTCCTCTAATATATCCTTTATTTCCTCGTTTGTGAATCCTAATTTTTTAACGTTGTTAGTTTTGACGCTCATTTCATACAAAATAAAAAAATAAAATAATAAACATAACTAAGTTTTAATTTTTCGTAAGACATGAATTTTTAAAGTTTATTTTTTATTCATGAAAATAATTATTTCTAATTTCTTTTACTCTCTCGTATATACTAGATTTAAAGAATTCAGAACATTTCCCATAATCTCCTAAATGTTTTCTTATCTTATTGGTTTTCCATTCATTATATGAAACTGTATAAACTTTATCTTTATCTTTGCATCTTTCATCACTTCCAATATATTTATATCTCAGTTTTGATTTAGCATTTTCATATTCATTAGCGTTTAATAATTCACAGTCTTCCTTTTTAAATTGATGTTTAAGATATTCAGGATTAACAATTCTATAATATTGCTTCCCTTTAAATCTTTGAATATAAACAGGAACACCATCCTCTAAAATTCGATAATCTATTTTATCTGGTTTTACTTGTTGGGTCATTTATAAAAGATAAAAAAATAAATTATTTTAAAATTAATGTTAATTTTTTTAATGATTTATAAATAAATATATTTTAATGCATCGTCTATATATAGATGTAACAAAAAAAGTCACTAAACCCGTCATATCCTACTACTACTGTCTTATGAAAAAATCCATGTCTTATAAGACGTCTTATGAAAAATTTCTGCCTTGTAGTTATACATTAATATTTTATTGTTTAAATAAGTGGAATTATTTTGTCTACTAAATCAAAAGTTCTTTCAAAATTGAAAAAAGTATTCAAATTTTTTAGGTCATTTTTTTTATTCATGGACGAAATTGTATTTCCAAAAGATTTTGTACAGACCCAAAAGGCTGTTCAACGATTAAAAAGCATTAGAGAAAAAACACTTGCTGGAATTCCTGTTCTCCTTAATGGTCCAACAGGAACAGGAAAAACTTATTCTGCTAAAATTGCATTGGGCGATGCAATAATTTTCAATTGCAGCCAAGAAACTACAGTAGATCAGCTCATTGGTAAAGTCATATTACAAAGTTCAAGTACAGAAATAACAAAATTTGAAGAAGGCCCATATACAATTGCTTATAAAGAAGGACGTTCCATTATTCTAGATGAACTCAATTTAGCATCAGAAGAAATTTTACAATTCCTAGAAGCATCACTTGATCAGGATTTTTTGGTTATTGAAACAAACAATGGAAATCCTCATAAAATAAGAAGAAATAAGAATTTCAAACTTGTTGCAACACAAAATCCAGCTGAAGATGATTATATTAAAAACAGAAATAGATTATCAGCGAAATTCTTATCAAAATTCAGTATAATCAATTTTGATCCTTTTGATTCTGACGAATTACGTATTATTGCTCAATCAAAATTGATTGATAATGAAACAACTCAAAGATTACTTGAATTTCATGATTCATGCAAAATTAAGGAATCAAATTCATACAGAATGTTCACTGTCAGAGACATTAAATCTACAATACACAATGTTTCAAATCAAATATCATTGCCACTATCTATTTATTTAACATACATTGCAGGTTTCCCATCATCAGAAAGATCAAAATTAGAAGATTTACTCAAAATATCACTAGGAATTGATTCAATTCCACAGCTTCCAAGAGTAGATTTTGATTCAACAAACTATTTCAAGAATCGTGCTTTAACAAATGCATTGTCAATATCAAACTTTTTATGCATTCAAAAAGCCAAACCATTATTAATTGTAGGTGAAGTTAATTCAGGAAAAACAACACTGGCAAAATTAATATCACAGGATTTTCATCCAAAGAGATCTCCACCACGAACTGTTATTTGCACTCCAGAAACAACAATTTCCGATTTAATTGGAAAATATACAATTGAATCTCAAAAAGACAAAGGGATAGAACCTACAATTCCGTTACGATGGATTGATGGTCCAGTTGTAAATTCGATTTTAAATGGAGATGTACTTTTACTCGATAATATTTCAAACATTCAAAGCCAGGTTATCGAAAGACTGAACACTCTTATTGATACTTCATATGCCCAAGGAAGTGAATTTATGATCAACGAAAGACCTGAAAAGCAAACAATTAATATTCATCCAGATTTCAGAATTATTGCAACAGCAAGCTATGAAACAATCAAACAAATGTCACCAGCATTAATTAATAGATTTAGCATCGTCTTTCTTGATGATCAATTCAAATTAGATAACGAAGATTCACAAATATTCTTTGAATATATTAGCAAGAGAATTCCCGATATTGCCTCAGAATTAATAAATCTTGATTTCAAAAGCAATGATAAATTTGTCAAAATCATTGAATGCGCTAATTCTTTTGTTAAATTACATCAGAGATTTCCAGATTTGCCAGGGCATGATATCATCCAATTTTTAATTAATGTTTTAATTGGTGATGAATATGCTTCAATTTCGGAGAGATTTATTGACACAGTAATTTCAAATATTAAAAATGACTCACCAACATTTCATTTCAATGAATCACCAAAGTTGAGAAAATTTATTGCAACTATAGTTAGTTTATTCTATATTGGCAAACATGTGGTTGTTCAATCTCAGACTGGATACGGAAAAACATCTGCGGCAGAGGCACTCGGATATATTCTGGATAAGAAAGTCATCAAAGTATCATTCAATTCAGAAACACAAATAGGCGAATTGTTTGGCAACGCCGTTGTTACTGGTGGTGGATTCCAAGTCAAGAAAGGACCAATTGCAGAAGCTATATCTAATGGTTGCATATTCGTAGCAGATGAATTGAATTTGGCAGAATTAAACGTTCTCAAATCGCTGAGATTAGCAGTAGATTGCAATGGCGGTGATGAACTTGAACTACCAAACAACGAAGGAACAAAAAAAGTTCATCAAAATTATTTCTTCATTGGCTGCCAAAATGACATTTCGATGTTCGGAAGAAAGCGCCTTCCTGGTGAACTAACATCAAAGATTGTAATGATTGAATATCCGTTGCTTGATGAACAAGATTTACAAGGAGTATTAAAATCAATTATTTCTGAAATGTCAGAAAATATCATTGATATCAATTTGATGAACTATCTCCAAAATCTTAGCACCTTGATGATGAACATCCGTAAATCAGAGCTGTTAAAGTCAAAACCATGGTCATTCAGAGAAGTTCGAAGATTTCTTAGGAGAAATATCTCATTTAGAGAGAATAAAACATTAACACCTCACCATCATGCTGCATTTCAATTATTAAGTGTACATGATGATGAAAAACTACTAGAAATCATTAGAGTTGTTTCTATTGCCTTCAATTTATCTCCAGAACAAGAACAACAACTTATAACAGATATGAAAAGTAATGTTCAAGTTGAATTCATTGAAAACAGTCCAAATTGCATTTTGAGAAAAGGAACTGTAGAAATAACTGCTCCAAAACCAGATGTTGATATCAATATTGAACTCAATCAAGTCTGGGAGACATATTTCAATATGAAAATCATTGATTCTCAAGAACCAATTCTTCTTGTTGGCCCATCTGGATATAAAGAATTTATTGCAAAGCACACATCAAATAATCAAAAATGTGTAACTCTCAATAAGGATTCAACAACATCTTCTCTTATTGGAAACATCATTTTAACAGATAGAAAATCAGTAATTGCTTCATTAATGGATATTTTATCTAGAATTGGAAACAATATTACAATATTTGATAGAGCAAATACTATTAAGAAGAAAATCTTTGCACAGAAATTTGAAATTTCAGAATTTGAATCATTAATAAATGATCTTATGCAACTTTCATCAATGCATAATGTAATTGAGCAAATCAAAAGGAATATTTTAGAAGCAATTCAACAAGAAAATGATGAATCAACATTTCTTTCATATTATACAACAGTATTCACACCTGGATTAATCACATCAGCTATTCTTCAACAAAACACTTTAATACTTAAGAATTTTTCACATCCATCTGTTGCAGTTACAGAAAGACTCAATGAACTTTTTGCAATCAATCCAGAGTTAACATTAAATGAAGATTTCACAAACACAATCATTCCTTCTGAAAATCCAACAATTAAGATCACTTCTGATAAATTTAGAGTAATTGCAACATGCACTGTAGATGAAAAGAACAAACTTTCTGATGCAATGCTTTCAAGAATGACTATTGTAAAAACAAAAGAATACAAAAATGAGGATTTTAAGTATATTCTCAATGAAAGCTATATTGAATACATATCAGATCAGGAATCAAATTATACAACAAATCAAAAAATTGTTATCAATCGTCTATGTGAAAGAATTTCTAAAATTGAAAAAGATACTTCTCCCTTCACAATTTTTTCAATGGCATTGTATTGCTATAATATAATTAATATTAAACCAGCATGCGGACCATTGCAAACACCTTTGATATTTAAGGAAGGGAAAGTTATATGCAGTAATCTTTTCTCCATTCCTGATAGGAGAACAGAAAACAGAAAGGGAATTGTTTTTACAGAGTCAATTCAAAAGATGACAGAATCATTATTCATTTCTGCAGTTATTAAATATCCAACAGTGGTACAAGGAGCTAATGGTGTTGGAAAATCACATGTTATTAAGTATCTTGCATCGGTTTTCAATGCTGATGTACTTACGATTACCATTTCAAACTTAACGACTATTGAAAACGTTTTTGGTCACAATGAATTGTCACAAACAGAAAATGGAACATCATTTGGATTTAAACCATCTGCATTTCTCGACAAAATCACAAATAATTCGAATACTGGCAGACCAATTTGGATTGTCTTTGAGGAGTTGAACCAAGCTTCGAACTCACTTCTTGAAGCTCTTGCACAGGTATTTGACCCAGAATCCAATACTGTAACATTACCAAATGGAGATATCGTTCAAAAAGTCGATTACATGGTATTTGGCTTAACATCAAAGCAGTTGATCAATGATACAATCATGAAGCAAGCAATTGTTTATAAACAAGATGATTATCAGGAAAAGGAATTTGTTACTATTTGTCAAGAAATTGCTAATAACAAGAATATGAAATATGCAGTTAATGATTTTCCTCAAGCTTTATACAAACTTAAGATTCAACAGAAAGACAATCAATCTCAGATACCAATAACTATAAGAACATTTAAATTGTATTTGAAGCTAATTAAGTCATTACCTAATTCTACAAAAATGATTCAAAGCAAATTCCTAAATATTCCTATGGATAAAACAGATTCTGAAATTAAAATCGGAATTGAATCTAATAAAATGATGATCAATGGAAAAAGATTTAAATATCACATTGATGATATCAGAACAAAATGTCTTGTTCAAAATCTCACATCTTCACAGAAGGAACTATTCTTAATTTTGAATTCGATTATTTCTCAACCAATTCCTCTTATTGTTCAAGGTAAAACAGCTACAGGTAAATCCCATGCTGTTCAATTATTCGCAGAGGCAGCTGGAAAAGAGGTAACAGTGCTTCAACTAAATGCAGATACTTCAGATTCCATAATATTCGGAGGTTATAGACCTCTATCAGAATTGAAACCAAAACAAAGATCAGAGATTCTCGGCGAAATCAAACAAATAAATCCAGATATACAAGTTACAGGATGGACACCAAGCGCTCTAAAGGCTGTTTGCAAGAAACTTGAACTCGAATTAGACTCTCATGGAGAAGATGATCAGAAGAAAATCAATAATTTAATTAGAAGAATAACGAATGATTGCCAGTTCTATAACATGATAGAAAAGTACGATTCAGTAATTGTTTCTGCAATGAAGTCAGGAAAATGGTTGCTTCTAGATGGTATTGAAGCATGCCCGTCAAATATATTTGACAGAATTATTTCTCTATTATCACCCAAACCAAAGTTAAATCTTTATGAACATGGATCAAATAATATTATTGAAGCTCATAAAGATTTCAGAATAATAATGACATACAATCCATTTGATGCATTGCACAAAGGAAATATTTCTCAAAGCGTATTAAGTAGGTGTTTCATTTATAACCTTCAACTAATTGATGAGTCATTCATCTCTTCATTCATTGTTTTATATGGGCAATTAGTTTCTGCTGAGAGAAGTATCTTTGCATCTGAAGAAGAAATGGTTCAAACTATTGCAAGAATATCAAATACTCATTTGCTCCAAAAAGGAAGTAAATTTGGTGAATTTACTATAATTGATGGAAGAACATTAATTAAAATCGCCAAATCACTGATTTCATTTGTCCCATTAAATGAAGAAAAGATATTAAATGCATTATATGCTAATTATGGGAGAGGACTATCCATTCAAGAAGATCACAAAGAAGAAATCATAAATCAATTTAATACTAAAGTTGATGAGAAATATATGAAACAAATTCCAACAAAATCTGTTGTAAAGAGCACAGAAATCAAAAACCTTATTGAATCACTTCAAAACTTTAAGAGAAGTCAAACACTAAACATCGAATTTATTCTTTCTCATCTAAACATCATCGAATTTGGAGAACTTGAGCAGTTAAAGCCTGTTGTTAACAAGATAATTAGTGATCAAAAAATTTACAGAAGCAATATGAACTTCTATCGAGATGTAATGGTTTTGATTAGCGATTTTATTAGTTTCATTACATGCAATAATGCCGAAATTATTAAGAATAAAACTGTCGAAACAGTTAATGCTAATGAATTTCCACAAATTGATTTATTCAAAAGTCGTTCCAAAGCGATCATATACCTTCTTGAAAATCGAATCTTCAATTTTGAATTGAAATACTCTGCTTTAGATTTAAGATTAATTGGAGAATTAATGATGGAAAATAATGTCAATAAGTTGATATCAATTCTTATCAAATCACCTACAATTGGAGTAGAATTCTTTAAGAAAGGAACATTCTTTGAAATAGTTGCAGAATATTTAATGTTTTTACGGTCAAATGGTCCATTTTGGATGATCGGTACTGGAGATGCTGTTCAGAAGAATGGCATTACATTTGAATTCGAAAATAATGTACTGAAGAAAGTTCATGATAAGTCCACACAATATGAAGTTGAAAACACTCAAAATTCGTTGCTGGAAATATTAATACAAATAACTGGACATGAAATTCAAATAGAAAGTGAACTTGATAACGAATGTATTGATTATGATTTTATCAATTCTATTATGCAGGATTCAAATTCAATTATTTATACATCAATTTTCAATGATATTCGTTCAATGAAAGGATTCCTTAGAGATTTTTATGCAGAAGCATTCAATATTTCCTGTGATATCATTTTCAAGCAAAATTACAGACTATTTTCAGATTGGAGTGCAATTCTGAAATACATTGCGACAATATCAAAACAGAACCACATTTCTCTTACTTCAGAATTTTGGAACAAGATTGCCAAGAGTCATCCTCAAATAGTGACAGCAATTATTAACTTCAATCTTAAACAATTCCAAAATTCTCCAATTTTATGCGATTTTCAGTCAAGGCTTGAAAAAATTAATTTAGAAATTGATGATTCTGAAAATTCAAGTATTCAGAGGAGAAAACGTCAATTACAAAAGATCAACGAGTATATTAATAAGAAAGAACCACACTATGAAGTATTAAAATGGTTCATTGATAAGGGTATATTCAGCACGAATATTTCATCAACTATTCTTGCATTAATGATAGATTATGCCAAAATAGAAATTTATATTCCAAAGAAGTTTAATATCAATGAGTTTGGAAGTCTTTACATAGATAGCGAAAACAATGAACAAACAGATTGGTTCTTTTATATTGCAAAACATTCATACATTATTTATCTTATAAATCAGCTGAAGCAAACAAAATCTTTATATGCTATCAGAGAATTAATGAAACATTACACACAATTAAAATCAAAATTCATGAAGCTTTATAAATTGGATCAAGAAATTTTATCTGAAATTCAACAATCATCGACAAAAGAATTATTTGAAGGATTATCATCATATCCAGAGCTATTTGATTATGAAGCATTATCAGATAAATTTGATATTATGATTGATCTTGAAAAAGCCAACTCTCCAAATTGGAAGAATACAATAGAAAAAGTGCTTGAAATCGTACCTCCTTCAGTTCCAATCTTATATCCCACTCTTAATGATGACACATTTCAATTGTTTATTGAATTTGCTCCAAAGATTTTCAAAGGAGACAAAGATTGGCCAGTACTTCAAAATATCCTTAAAAAACAGAATCCAAAGTCATTTTCTGAATTATGTGAAATCATTGATGATAATGTTGAAGATGATGAATTAATTCTATTGAAATCAATATGCAAAAATAGAAATGAGCAATTCCAAATCAGATTGTATGATTTGGAACTTTTTAAGGCTAATCGAAAAGAATATCTTCCACTTCAAACCCTTCTCTTTGAAAAATGTAAGGAAACAGAAAGCTTTTTGGATATTTCAGATAACAAAATTACAATTGGACTAGTTATTTCAAGATTATATTCTAATTTAACACTTGTTCAATTAAATGGGGATGGAAATAGCAAAGCTATTAAGAATTTTATATCACCACTATATAAATCTGCTTCGAAGTTATTGTTTCAGATTATGGATATTGCAGAGGATTCTAATATTGATAACATTTTTAATACATTCAATTGGAATAAGGAAATTGATGAAGATGATATACATGATCTATCAAAAACAGCAAAATTCCAAATGCCATACTTCTATCAAGGCTTTGTTCATTCAAAAACAAAAGAAATCGTTTATTTATCACAAGAACAACTGCCAGATTTTATAGATTCTTCACTTAAAAGGATCAAAGAGTTGTTCGATTTTATCAAAAATTTCAAAAATGGTCAAGATAATTTGGCATCAACTCTTATTAACGGATGCTTGGTAACAATCGAGAAGTTTGTCGAAAACAGGAAATATCAACAACTTTCAGAAATTGTTGGTGAATTTTATAGATATTTAGTCAGAAACTTTGATATTGAGATTATTAATGAACTATATCATAAACCGAAATCTGAAGAATCTGATATGCTAAGGAAATTATTTTCTACAGTATTTTGGAATCCAATTGGTACGTTTGGTTTTTATGTCAACAATGAATACAACAAGAAACTTCACGAATTGCAAAGTGATATTGAATCAAATGACGAAGAGTTGAATTCAATAAATCAAATTGATTTTATTACGCAGTTTGATACATGCTTGAATAACGATAAAACCCAATTTATGAATAAAATTAATGAAACGAAACTTGATCGAACAATTATGCAGTATTGGATGGTTTATTCTTCTCATCTCCTTTCTTTTTGTAATAATTTACCAACAATTGATTATTTAGAAAATACTGATGAGTACGATTTCAGCCTTTCAGAATTTATTAAGCTTTGTGATCAAAAGCTTGAATATGCCAATTCCATTAGCAGAGAATTCGTAGTTCTTATTAAGAAAAATAAAGATCAAGACTATTTTGAATACATAGATGAAGAATCCAATCAGCATAAAATAAAGTGCCAGAAAGAAATAGTTGCAATTAAAGCGTCAGATACTTTTCAATTTGATGATAAATTATACGAAGTCAAAACTATTGAAATTCCAATTTATAAAGAGGCAATTCAAATAGATAAGTTTGATTACAAAAAATTTATTGAAATCCAGAACAAACTTAAGAATTCTTTGAAGAATAACAAAGAAAGCATCATTCCGAACATAGGCGTTATCAAAGTTCTATTTGGTTCTAAGAATTCAAATGAGTTTCGATCTTTTTTGGAAAAATTCAATAATAATTGTAATAACTACGATTTCCTTTCAGAATTGAAGCAGTTTGGAAAACCAAAATTCAGCTTCGATAAGAATGAAAACCTGAAAAATACATCAAATTTCTTAGAAGAATTGAATTCATATGCCAATAAAATTGAAACATTAATGAACGATAAAACTGATAATTCGAAAGATATCATCAAAATCGAAGAAATTCAAAAAATTAAAATTACAAGTAACCCATTTTCATATCCAGAACTATCTGAAAAAGATTTCAAATTTAATTTTAATAAAATTAACAAAGCGAATCTTTTCATGCCAGCAATTATTGTTGATAATGACAACATTCAGTGCACATTTGCAGACATAGATATATCATTAATGAATATATCACAAATAGAATTAACACCATTCGTATTTGCTATTCCTATAATTGGACATGTTGAAAAATATAAAATTAATCTCCACCAAGATAAAGAATGCTATTTTGATTTGGAATTCGAAAAAGATAAAATCAAATTGAGTGTTTCAATCAACTCCCTTCCAAAACAAATTCCTGAAATAGGAGCAATTCTTCAAATTTACGATATATCTATCCCAATTAGAATCAAATTCAGCTACAGGGATGTAAAACTCTTTATCATGTCGGAAAACAACACATTTATTGAAGATAAAGTTCATGATTGTTACATGATTAATAAACCAGTTATGTTTAAAGATGAAAGGATTAAATTATCAATAACTGATGAAGAAGGTACTCCAATCGAACACTCATTGTGCTTTACCAAATTTACAGGATCTAAACAAATTGAACCACCAACATTAAATTACAATAATTGCATTTCTCAAATTAGCTTTAATCGCCCAATAGATGTTAATATGAGTATAAATGCAGATATTGAATCATTTAGTTCTCAAAAAATATCAATGAAAACAGAACTCATTGAAAGATATATTTCATTGAATCTATATAATCTGAGTTTGACCGAATTCGATGACAAAGAATTTACATATGCAGGTAATTTAGCGTGCACATATTACATTTTATTCAGTACATATAATGAATTTGATGAAGATGAGTTAACAATACAATTTGTTCCTCAATCTGAAAATCTCCTTATAAATGTCATAAATGATGATGGATCTTCAAATACTTCATTGTTCAAATCCAAAACTATTGGAAATAAAATTGAAAAAATTGTCACTTTCAATATGCATTTCAAGGATTGGCAAACAGATTTGAGTCAAATAATTGTTCGAGCTTCTTTTGCAAAAGGTTTTGGTTCTATTCAAAAGGTTATTAATGTGATTCCATGTTTCGTCAATATCGACAAATCGAAGTTCCGTTATCGGATACCTGAAAAACGCCGTGAATATCCATCTCCAAAATGCAATGCCAAAATAATCGATTTGGAATCGAACGCTCAATGCATCATTCATATTAATCAAGCCATTCAATATCAAAAATTCTGTATAGTAACACCATTTTGCTATCATGAAGAGTATAAAATACCAAATTGGAATATTGAAATTAAATATAATGAAAATTCAAAACAGGTATTTATTCCTACTGATGCTAAGAAATATATCGAATATTTTGTAATTTTGGAAAATAGCAGCTATGGTGTTCGAAAGGATCAAATTCAACCAGGATGGAACATAATCTGTTGCAGGCTCAGTGGTTCTCAAAATTCCAACCAAAATAAAAATCATTATCCAATTGATCCGAAGTTTGATGGATGCTGGTTCCCATTTTCCATAGATTTTGAAAAAATTAAGAAAATTATTTCAAATCATAATAATATACATAAATTAGTAGCGCAATTGATGATATTTATTAACGAACAAACAAAAACTTTGTTCAATGGATTAAAACAAGGAAAAGTAGATATTGAAAAGAAAATTAATATCGTTATAGATATTTTTGCAAGAAAAATTAAAGATATTCAAGAAAAAGGAAATCATTTCTTCAAAATATTTGATTATCAAAGTGCCATATATGAAGCTCATAGCATAATTCAGCCGCCAATAATGCAGTACGATAACCAAAAATTAAACGATATTGATCACCAATTTAAATGTGCAATTGCCAATAAAATCATTGGATTATCAGCTGAGAATCAATTCAAAGCAATTAAAAGAATTGTTTTAAATTCAAATGAAAATCTTGAGAATGAATTCTTGGAAAGTTTAGAAGCGTTTAAAAATTATGAAGATAAAGAGGAAATCAATTCATTCATCAAAGAAATAATAGAAAAAGCATATCTTCAATTCCTTAACAGCATTGTTGGAGAATTTTCACAAGATTCGGCTTTTAAATATATTGCAGTTCAAGAAAATAATGTTAATGGAATTAATGAATTCAAGCGAGAAAAAATTAATCATTTTCTTCTTCACTCAACAAGAAATGAGTCAATTTCAAGCATTAATGCAGCATTGGCTGTTATTCCAGCAGAACAAACTTTGGAAAATATCGATATTATTCTTGAAAATTCATATCAGTTATGCATGAATCTCCCACTTTATATTCTTTCAATATTAGAAAATAATGCCACAATAGATAATGCTAAAAAAATATTCAATTATTTAAATGCAATAAATGAGTGGATTACTAAAATTGATCATAACAATCCATTTAAACCTAAGACCGAAAAGTTTAAGAGCTACTTCAACCTTATGAATGAAATTTTATTCGACAACAGCGGATCTTCATTTGAAAACTATATCCTTCCGAAAACAATTAGGCCTAAATCAAAACAAATTTGGAGCTTAGAAAATACAATTCTTTTCAGCGAAACAATAGAAATTGAAGAAACAATCGAGGAGACATCAAAGGAAACAATTGAAAAAGCGAAAGTTCAAATAAACAAAGAAATTGAAACAAAAGAAACTGGGGACGGAACAAAAACAAGAGTTGTCTCAGAATTACAAACAAATGAAGTTCAAAAATGGATCCTTGATATGATGTCAAACCCATCTAATGATATAAAAGTTTGTTTTAGCAAAAATATTCTGCAAGATTACAGTGATCCTCCTAACATGGAGAGCGCCAAGCTTTCAGTGCTTCCAATCATCAATGAATCAATTCAATTGGCCCAAAACATTGTGAAATATGCTTCAGACAAAATGGATATATTCGAAAAGAGTGATGCCGTTATCCTTTTGGATTCAAGTTCAACAATCAATGAGACACAAAGAGCTCCATTTTTCACATTGTTCACTGCAATGGCTTACGCATTAGAGATGTTGCATGTTCCAACTGCATTGGTTGTCTTTTGTGATAATGGATTTCAATTTTTAGCAAAAGACAAGAATAGTGAATTAAAACTATATCATATACAAATGGCTCTTGATGCATTCTCTGTTTATAGAAAGTTATCCGATTTAGGTGATGCACTTGATAAAGTTAAACAAATCCCAATGGATATAAATACAAAAAGAACTATTTATGTCATTTCTGATGGATTATTCTACAATTTACATGATACTAATTCATATGCATCGTTATTAAAAGATCAGAATGTTGTTGTTTCAATGATTCTCCACACTTTGATCGAAGATGCTGATAAACAACAATTAATTGGTTATATTTCAAGCAATATCAGGAAAATCAATGACAGTTTTATGGATGTTATCAAATATCAATTTGGATTTTATGAAGATCCTAATACAATCTTCCATGATTCAACCAAAGTAGCCGAATTAATTGTTAATGCATTTAATCAATTCGATATGGGAAGAGAAGGAAACAAACAAGTTATAGTTGAAAGATATACTGATTTTTCGGTCGTAGATTTCAGATTAGAAGAAATCAATTCTAATACTACAGAGTTTTATTCAGCATCGATTGAATCTCTTCTCCAAGAATCAGAAGGTTTTCCGAATATAAGATTTTGCAGCGAAGAAATCTTTATAGCAAATTGTGATAATCATCAAAAACTTCCATTAGATATTTTCAAGAACATTAAACAGAACCAATTAAAGATTGTTTCTGCATTTGAACCAAATAAACCAACGCAGTTTTCGCAGAGCACAAAAGGAAGCAATATTTCATTGAAAGGTTTCATACAATTTTATATTACTCAAGGTCAAGATCAGAGAATTTACCTGGAAAAGAATTCAGGATTCATACTTTCTCATTCTTTGTTTGTTGTTATTGATGCGAGTGAAAGCTGTTTCAATCAATTTACAGCAAACTTTTCATATCAAACGATTGTTTTCACACTTTTATCTCTGAGAAATGCTGATTTCGATTCTGTTTCAATCTTCATCACAAAAGGAAATAAAGTTTATCAAATTTGCCACGAATGCTCTTCATTAAATGCATTTGACGAAAACTCCGATATCTGGGCAGCAATTTATTCTTTATGCATTAATCCTGAATTGAAATCGGATATCTCAAGTGCAATAAATGCTGTCTATGAGTTGAGATCAAAACAAAATACCAAGAGTTCAATTTGCTTATGTTTCACCGATGCATTAATTTCTAAAAATGAACTAGGCAAAGTTGGAACATTAATTACAATGCTCGAACAAAGAAACACTCCAGTATTCGGAATAGGAATTGGATTTAATCCTATTAATATCAAGAGGGCATTTAAATACCCAATTATATCTGCAAATCCTTTCAATATTCCAATAGCTCTTGCTCAATCATTGAGAGGCCAATTCAATCCTTCAGTGCAAGTTAAACCATTTGAAGCTAAAGATTCAAACGGAGATATTGTGAAAGTTATATATAATATAATTGATTCTGATAGCAAAAATCCAGTTTTCCGCGACATTTTTAATTTACTTGATAATATTCAAAGATCTGAAGAAACAAACTCTATTTATTATAATCAAAATATTCGTTCTGTTCAGAAAGATAATTCAAATAATTCAAACTCTGGAATCTATAGATATGAAGATTATGGACTTACAAATATTTTAGGCGGATATAAATATTCAAACGTTCAAAAATCAACTTCTACAACTATCCAAACCAAAGAAGGTTTGAAAAACGAAAATGATGAAGTATTTGATTTAGGAAGAGGAAAAATCTGGAACCAGAATATTTTGATTTGCCAATTTTGGGATTACTGTATGATGAAGGCTAATACTACAGGAGAAAGCGATCACATTACTAGAAAATCTCTTGAAAGCAGAGATGGAATTATTGCATCATTGTCTGGACTTGGAATTAAATGCAGTATCGTGCAGAATTATCTCACTGCAATTCAATACCTTCAATCAGGAAAGTTTTCTCAAGCATGGATAATTTGTGGCAGAGGTGAAGATAGAAAACCAGATGAACTTTATGAAGGAGGTTCATCCAAATATATAGATATTTTCATTGATATACTTATTGAATTCCAGAAGCGAGGAGGATCTTTGTTATTCTCTGCTGATAACAATCCATTAACTTATGAGTTGAACAAATTCCTTGAAAAAGTAAATCTCGAAGGCGAAAAGATCAAATTCAGATTTAGTGTTGATGAAAAAGGTGGAGAAATGCTTAGATTCGGAAACATTGATGGAGATGAAGCGAGAATATTCGATGAAAGATCATATATTGATGTTCCAGGAAGCAAGAGACCTTTGTACGGATTCAATGTGAAGACTTTATATGAAGGTACAACTATTTCATGTGTCCCAGGAGATGCCGATCTTGGTCCTTTCCAGCCATTCATTGTCACAACACAAGGTAATTTCAGCAATCTCTACTATATGTCGCCACCAGAAAGTTTGGCTGGTGATATTATTCTCGATGGTTCTTTCACTAGATTCTTCAATGAGCTACACAAAGAAGGAACTTTGAGATTGGTTCGAAATATTGCTGTATGGCTCCTCTCTGTTGAAAAGAGAGAAAGATTATTAAGGAGTTATAAACTTGCAACAACATGGCAACCAGAGAAATTTAATATTGATTTACCAATGGCTGTTCCTTCACTCAAATTTAATGAATATGTTGATGGCAGTGTTATTGATATTTGCTTTGTTGTTGATGCAACTGGTTCCATGAGAAATTTACCAGGCCGAAATGGATTAGTATTAAGGGAAACCACAAGCTCAATGATAACTGGAGCAAAAAGCATATCAAAGACATTGATAAAATATATCAACGACAATTATTCTGATTGCAATGTTCAATACTCTGCCGTATTCTTTAGAGATTTAGCAATGGCAAGATACGTTGGGCATATAATGCAAAATAGATCAGATATTATTAGATTCCAATCGGCAAATCACTTTGATCCAGATAAATTCGATTATATATCATGTGGCGGCGGGGCAAATGATGGACCTGAAGATTGGGTTCAAGCATTTGACGGAGTTCTAGCAATGGATTGGAGGCCAAAATCAAAGAAGATCATGATTATGATTACAGATGCCAGTTGCCATGGAACTAGCTTTGATTCAAAGACAAATAAAAGAATTAATGATACGACCATTGATAGAGAAGAAGAACCTAAAATGCTTGATAGAATTCAAAGAATTGCCCAAAAAGGAATTGATGTATGCTTCTTTTACACTCATATGAATGCATACAAGGCAGTTAATGCATTTGAAACTTATTTCCATAGATATGGTGGAAAAGAGTTCAATACAATGTATGAGCAATTTGATAACAGTGGAATTTCTCTTAGATCTCAAGTCACCAGAATGCTTCAAAGAATTATTGATGACGCTGTTGCTTCTTTCAATGTTGGAAAAGTACAGGAAACATATTCAAATTCAACTGTTCTTAGGAAGCATAGAGCCCAAAGAAGAGAAATTCGAACCCAATTACTTGGTAATCACGATTCTTCTGAATTTATCACTCCAAAACCAACTCAAATGCCTAAGTTTGAGCCAAAGGATGAAACTCCCAAACAACTTAGTAAAAAACAAAAGAAAATGAAGAAAAAACAAAGGAGACAAGAAAAAAGAGCTCAAGAGGAACTTCAAAGAGCTCAAAACAAACACACTGAACACAATGAAAGAATAGATGAAGATGATGAAGACATAAATGAGAATTAAAAAGATCATAGACAGCAAATTAAGACATTAATTCAACTTATTTTATTTATTTTTATATTTTATAAATATATTTCTTATTTTAAATCCTAACATCTACTTTTTCATATGTTGCATTAAGGATGCAGCCTTGGCAGTTAGGAGACCATTCTCTTCACTTTCTAATTTTCAACCAAATTCTATCCAAATTTCATGTTCCAAGAATTGTTATCCTTGGCAATTCATGAGAAAAAAATGTGTTTTGATAATTTCGACATCCTTAGCTATATAAAAAATGAATTTCTCAACCAATATTGAAAAATGCTTTGTATGCTTAAAAGACATTGACGTATCTTTGTAAATTTCTTATTACAAACTAAATGAGAAATGTGTAACTTTGCGCAACAAAATTTGCAGAAATGATTTTTGTTTATTCAGAAAAATACTTAATCTTTCATTATACAAAATGATAGATTATAACATTGCTTCATAGATGAATTTTATTTACAAATCTGTTTTCCTTCCTTTTACAGTAAATTAATTCATGGAATACACAGATACACCAATTCTTCATGAATATTATCCTGTAATTGGAATCTGGGTAGATGAATCAATTTCAAACAAATTACTAAAATATAATATCAAACTTAATTCAATCTTCCGAAGAATAGGTTTAGCACATGCAACAAAGCTTCCTGGATGGAGATATCTTAATCTCAATAAAACTCACGATGATAAATCCGAAAAAACAATTCGAAAATGCGTTGACATTCTTAAAACCTACGGAGACATATTTATTACACCAGATTACATGATGAAATTGAAAGCATCTTGCTTAGAATCAACTCCAAAACATCTTCAAGATTTTTTCAAATTAAAAACTTTTAATTACGAGTTTCTACCATGGTACCAAGATACATTTAAAGTATTATCGAAGTCTCCCAGGAACAACGAGCTGGTTTTTTCGGATATTCCGCGTTATATAATTGCATTTATCGATAAAGCAACGAATCCGAAGCATCTATTAAAGAATGTTCCAATTAGTTTTCAAAATAGATTACAGAATATATTGGAAGAGATCACAATGCCAATAATTACAGATTTTAATGAAGATAAATCAGAATTAACATTTTCTGGAGAAAAATTCCATCATGTTGTTGATGTAAGCCAAAATTCAGGGAAACTCAATACAATTTTAACAGATTTATTATCAGATATATTAATCACTCGAATTCCTGAAAATTCAAAGAAAATAGTACAATTAGAACGCAATGCAAAGCTCATGCAAGCAAAATCTTCAAACAAATTCCTAGGTTTATTCTCAAATAAATCAAAAAATGAAGGAATTAATGATCATATCTTTAGTTTGATATTAGCTTTAATCATTGTTCGTCAATTCGATGAAGCTCGGCAACTTTTACTTGAATTACTTTCGAAAAATGATTATTCGAAATATCGAGAAGCGAAATTCTGTTACATTCACTTACTTCTACTTCAGTTGGCTCCAATTGAAGATATTTCAGTCCATATTAAAGAAATAACAACAGATGACAACGATATCAGATTATTTTCTTTGTATCTCTTAATTATCCACACATATACCTCAAAAGATCATTTGATACAATCAGAGCAACATCTTCTGCAGCTCCTCAAAGATTTTCCAGCAAATTCCTTAATATCCCGCGCAATTATCGCACTTTGCTACGAGAGAATGGCCTCAAAATCGCTAATTGTCCAGAGAAAGCGCCACGCAGCCCGTTATCTCCAAATTGCGAGGTCTTATTACAATCGACCAAATGGAGTTAATCCGATCAGCGGAAATGCTTATCGCTGCTCAGTCTTTCTTCAGCATATACTGACTACTCACGACGATCCATCCAAAATCTTCCGCTGCGGAGTTTCAGATTTAGATGTTCTTAAGCACCAATCCACAACATCTACGGCTTGTTGGGAGAGATTAAACGCACAAGCTCTTAAAACCATAGCCAGAGACTTAGATAAATGTGGTCTTACCCAAAATACGCCTTTAATTTATTTTTATTTGCTTTGCCACAGCGGCAACGTTGTTTTTGCCGAGAAAGTCTTACGAGGAATGTTCAATTCGTACAACAACCTCAAAGACAAGTCCATTGTTGATAATTTAATTTTACCGTATTTTATTGTCCGAAAAGGAGCCAAAATTGTCAAGTACGGATCTCCCGAGTACTTCAAATACCAAAGAGAACCATTCCAGCCAATGATTGACCTCTGGGAGAAGAGTAACAGAGCAATGGGAAACATCGAAAAAATTTGGATAAAATCCAAACAAGAAAATCCAATTGAATTTGTTGTTTGCAACGAGCCAATCAAGTTCCAGTTCGAGATTGATGTTGACAAGTGCAATATACCTATCCACATGAAGAAAACACATGTCATTGCTGAAGTTTCGGAAAACAAAATCGAAATTCAAAAGCAAAACAAAAATTCTTTGGCAAATAAGGTTCAAAACGATAAAGAACCTGAATTTACCAAATCCGAAATCACTAAAAAAGAATTGATTGTTTCAGATGAATTTATCGAAAACGATTTTTGTAAAATGTTTACAAAAGTTATCGATAAAAACCGCCAAATCAAAGAGCTTGAAATTTTGCCATTAAAAGAGAAGAAATTCCAAGTTTCTAAGATCCAATTCCAGTTCTGGGAGACAGCACAAATGTTCATGGACTTTCCTTTGTTTAATTTGCAGAGTTTATCAAAACAACCAACATTGTTTGTTAAAATCAATGATGAAAAAGATATTTCTTTGAATGACGGCGAAATCAAAAAATTTACGATATCTATTTCTAACATTGGTGATTCTCCAATCAAGAAGCTTTATTTGATGCATGATAATCCATATTCTTTTTATTTTTCTGACAACACGATGACAATTAACGGTTTTTCTGTTGTTCCAATCATAACTAAGAGCGAAATCAAGGAAAATGAAGAAATTATCCTGAATTGCTTAGTGAAAGGTTCGACAATGGGATTTGTCTCTCATTTCGTTTGGTTCTATGAAGCAAATGAACCTTTGGCGTGGAGACATTTCGTTTCTCAATTGAATGTCTTGTCAAATTCAAAGGAAATCATTGATGTTTCTGTTTTCAATGATCCTAGGGATGGCAGAAAGAATTTGTTGTTTGTTCACAAGAACTCTGATTACACTGTTCTTCGAGGAACATTCAATGGAAAATGGTTCGAACAACTCAATATTCCAAGCACAAATAATAATTCTGTTTATTTGGAAGAAACAGATAAAAGTGACAAAATTGAAACATGGAGAGATACATTCACTGATAAATCGATTTATGGCGGATATGTTTTGATCTCTGCTCCGGATAAAAATGGAGAGATGGTTGTAAAACAGTTTCCTATTAATGCAAAGAAAGAAATCATGAAATTTGATATAAATTGTGTTGATTCTCTTTCTTTGGAAGAAAATGATGTCATAGAAATCGATTTGATCATTAAGAACATTTCTGATAAATCACTCACGAATGTAAATGTGATTTGCGCAAATGAAGAACAGAATTTTGTGTTTATTGGAAAGACTATTGTTTATGTTGATGAAATTGGATCTCTTGAAGAAAAGAGATTGACATTTACGGCGTTCTTTACTGCGCCTGGTGTTGCAAATATTGCAACATTCTTTATCAAAGCAGAAGGTGTTGAAGCTATTTCAATTCCTTTCAAGAAATATATAACTGTTTATTAAAAGTATTTTTATAGTTACTTTTATATGTTTTTATTTCTTAAATTTTAAAGTATCCGTTTCCTTAAAACTGGAGCTTACTGAGACCTTAAATTTGAAAATTCGATGCTATTGTATTTCCCAATTTCGATATTTTATCGATAAAATAAAAATTTCAAAAATATTCTTATCGAAAATAGGCTATTGATTTTTTTAAACAAATAGCATTATGCATTTAAGAAATGAAAAATATTGATTTGTTTCAGCTCCATCATTATTATTAGATGAAAAAATGATAATATCGTTTCAAACTATGACATAACATTTCAAAGCTACAGTATTTGATATTGCCTTAATTATTTTTGCCCAATATCACTTCGAATTATTTCTTGGATTTTTCAAATTGTGGAAAAAAAAATTGAAATGTGGGAAAAAAATTGAACGTTGGAAAAAATTGAATTGTGTATAAAACGAGTGTAGTAGCAATTGCTAGTTTTTATTATTTTTATTTTTTTATTTTTTTTTATTTTTTTATTTTTATTTTTTATTTATTTTTTATTTTTTTTATTTTTTTTAAGCCGGGAAATAAATAGCGCAGATAGTTTCTACATATAGAGGCATGCTTATACTTAGAGTTTGACAGTAATGTAATGTAAAAATGAACTTTAACTTGTGCATAACTTTGATAAATATGCTTAAGTTTTATCAGGAACGTTATGGGCTATACACAAGAGAAATTACGAAAGAAAAGAAATTTAACTTTGATAAATATGCTTTCTTCGTCGCCATATGTGAGCTGGAATATGGATCTATAAATACCTCGAAATAACAAACATATGTTTTAATTTAATCAACACTTATTAATTCCTCCGTATTTCCATGAAAATAATTTCCAAAAATTCCAATGAAAAAACTAGAATTGCACCTACGTTCTATTTCCAAACAATTTAATTTTGACTAATAATCATTTAAAATTGTGAAGAAAATGTAAAATGTAAATTAAAATTTTTGACTAAGAATCATTTAAAATTGTGAAGAAAATGTAAAATGTAAATTAAAATTTTTGACTAAGAATCATTTTTATTTAATGTCCGATATTAACCAAACTAAATACAGTGAACTGCGAAGTATCTACAAATACTACATAGATTCATATAATGTGTTGTATCGACTGAAAAGTGATAATGAAGAAGAATTAAACAAGATTTACACAATGATCACAATGGAATTGATAGATTCAAATAAATATCTTCCCCAAAAAATAATGGAAGATATTTTATGTATCATTCAATATAATAATCGCTATACAAAGTCATATTTATATCTTGCCAAACTAATTTATGATGATTATCATGTAACAGAGTCATCCAAAGTTCCATTAGATGTTATCTACCTATTTTATAAAGAATATGGAATTAAATTAAACAAATCTTATGATTTCGAAGAAATTAACTCAGAAAATCTCGATATTCATACAGAAGATACAATTTACAAAGCAATCATGTACAATGACTTAGAAAGATTCATCACATTCACGGAAAGTGATGAATTTGATTAAAATCAAATACTTGAAAGCGATTTATATCCAGAAAATAGATTCGGATATTCATTACTTGAGTTATGCTGTTACCATGGTGCTGTTGATTGTTTCAAATTATTAAGGACGAAATTTGACTCAGAAATAACTCAAATATGTCTCGATATTTCATTTTTAGGAGGAAATCAAGAGATTATGAGTGAATGTTTGAAACATCAAACACCAAGTGAAGAATCCATGGAATATGCAATTGTGTCACACAACATTGATTTTGTTACATTCTTGATGAATGAATACAATATAGAGATCAATTTATTCTATTGTGGGGTTCATAATAATCTTGATTCTTTTTAAGTTTCTTTTGATCAAACTGATGATGTTAACACCTGTTTTGTTTATTCATCTCTGTTTAGCATTCCATCTCTTTGCAAATATTTCATTTCACATGGTGCAAATATCAATGAAAAAGATAATGACGGAAGAACTGCTCTTCATTATTCAGCAGTAAATGATAGTCAAGAAATTGCCGAGCTTCTTATTTCACATGGTGCAAATATCAATGAAAAAGATAATGATGGAAAAACCGCTCTTCATTATGCAACAAAAAATAATCATAAAGAAATAGCTGAACTTCTTATTTCACATGATACAAATATCAATGAAAAAGATATTTACAAAAGAACTCCTCTTCATCATGCGGCATATTATAATAGCAAAGAAGTAGCCGAATTTCTTATTTCACATGGCGCAAATATCAATGAAAAAGATAATGACGGAGAAACCGCTCTTCATAATACAGCGAAAAATAATAACAAAGAAATAGCCGAACTTCTTATTTCACATGGTGCAAATATCAATGACAAAAATAATGACGGAGAAACCGCTATTCATATTGCAACAATAAATAGCAGTAAAGAAATAGCTGAGCTTCTTATTTCACATGGTGCAAATGTCGATAAAAGGGATAATGACGGAGAAACAGCTCTTCATATTGCAACCTTAAAAAACAGTAAAGAAATAGCTGAGCTTCTTATTTCACATGGTGCCAATATCAATGTAAAAGATAATGATGGAAAAACCGCTCTTCATTATGCAACAAAAAATAATCATAAAGAAATTGCCAAACTTCTTATTTCACATGGTGCAAATGTCGATAAAAGGGATAATGACGGAGAAACAGCTCTTCATATTACAACCTTAAAAAACAGTAAAGAAATAGCTGAGCTTCTTATTTCACATGGTGCCAATATCAATGTAAAAGATAATGATGGAAAAACCGCTCTTCATTATGCAACAAAAAATAATCATAAAGAAATTGCCAAACTTCTTATTTCACATGGTGCAAATATCAATCTAAAAGATAATTATGAAAAAACTGCTCTTCATTATGCAACAAAAAATAATCATAAAGAAATAGCCGAACTTCTTATTTTACATGATGTAAATATCAATGAAGAAGATCTTGATGGAAGAACTGCTCTTCATATTGCAGCAAATCAAAATTACAAAGAAATAGCCAAATTATCTATTTCACATGGTGCAAATGTCGATAAAATAGATGATTTCGGAAGAACTGTTCTTCATTATTCAGCAATAAATAATAGGAAAGAAATAGCTGATTTTCTTATTTCTCATGGTGCAAATATCAATGAAAACGAAAATTATACTACTGCTCTTCATGATGCAACATTTTCTAATAGTAAAGAAATTGCCGAACTTCTTATTTCACATGGTGCAAATTTCAATGCAAAAAATAAAAATGGAAAAACCGCTCTTCATAGTGCAGCAATAAATAATAGCAAAGAAGCAGCTGAACTTCTTATTTCATATGGTGCAAATATCAATGAAAAAGATAATGATGGAAAAACCGCTCTTCATAATGCAGCATTAAATAATAGCAAAGAAGCAGTCGAACTTCTTATTTCACATGGTGCTAATATTAATGAAAAAGATAATGATGGAGACACCGCTCTTCATGCTACAACAAAACATAATTATAAAGAAATGACTGAATTTCTTATTTCACATGGCGCAGATATCAATGAAAAGAATGAAAAAGGAAAAACCGCTCTCCATATTTCAGTGGAAAATTATTATCAAGAAGTAGCCGAACTTCTTATTTCACATGGTGCAAATATCAATGAAAAAGATAATGATGGAGAAACTGCTCTTCATATTGCAGCAAAACATAATCATAAAGAAATTGCCAAACTTCTTATTTCACATGGCGCAGATATCAATGAAAAGAATGAAAAAGGAAAAACCGCTCTCCAAATTGCAGCAGAAAAAAATTTTAAAGCAACAACTGAACTTCTTATTTCACATGGTGCAAAATAAAATGATCATCCTTAAGACGATTTCTTCTCCTAAAAATTAATAAAATGATTTTTCCTTGCCATCTCTCAATTTTTATCACTTATGCACATCAATTTATATGCATATTAGAATGATTATGTAAATCAATTGCTTTTTACATTGTCGATGATTTATATCCTAAAAAGTAGTTATTCAAAATAACCTTTTCTTTCAGTATACAATAATAGTTTTTGAATGATGTAAATGTGTCTAAATTCAAAATCCAACTAGTATAAATATAAAGGTTTTTTTACAAGTGCAAAAATCGCCCAAAAACGATTTTAAATTCAAGTTTGGCGTTTAAAAATATATCCGCGTAAAGTAGTCAAAAGATGGATTGCAATTGTTTTTCTACTTTGTTAATAGATTTGATTATATATAATAGTCAATTCCAAACTTTTTCAAATACGCAATATATGTGCACATTTAATTTTGAATAATCATTTCTGCCCTTTTTTGCCAAAAAAAGTTTTGTCAGGGGCGCGAAGCGACCCCAAAAATGCCCTATACTGGAATATGATTTTTCCACACATCAAAAATTGAGATTCTATTTACATTCAATTAACGTTTCAAAGATTTATAACTTCTTTGGGGTGGCAATACACTTATTTTTATTCAAATGTGCATAAATCAGAAGGTTATGATACGTTAGAATATATATTAGACGTTATAATATTGGGACTACTCATGAAATGATTAAAAAGGAGTTTTTTTTTAATTATGAATTGTTTACAAAATTTCACTTTGGTCTGATATTAATTTTTAGTAATTCTGGTAATATTGAGGTTCCATTTATGTATCATTACTTATGCAAGAAAATTCAGGCATTTTCTAACAAAGTAATTTTTGTGGATTATTTGAAATAATACCATCAGTCAAGATCGTAGGAAATATACAATGAAATTTATTATATGTATCCATTAAATATAGAATAGTTATGAATAATTTTATTGAATATTTTTTCTTTTTGATTCGAATGACTTACAAATATCATTTACATTACTGTATTTTAGCTGTAATTACTTCATAATTAAAATGAATCAAATTTGAATACATGAAAGAATGAACTATTTCATCAAATTCTAATTACTATGTGATAAAGATTTAATGTAGTTTTCTAGTTTTTTTTTAGATTCTATATTTGCATTTAATGTCTTTATCCAATTCCAAACAGTGCTTCTTCACCAACAATTAGATCAGGAAATCTTGAATTTGTAAAATATTTATTGTTCAATTCAAAACAATAAATTAAAAATATACTCTGAACTTTTGGGCATTACGAATTCATGAAAAAATGGGACCAAAAAAATTTGAATTGATGATTCTATCATAAGAAATCTATTAATAGTTGTGTATGGTCCTACATTATTTTGATGAGAAGCCACAATGAAAAAGTTTCTTTATGAAGTTTCTTCACGAGGCCACAATGAAAAATAACTCTTCATAATATCAATTTATTATTAATTAGTATATTTACTTGCCTAAAAGTAATTACAATCATATGCATAAAAACAAAAAATCATTCCAGACATAGATTTTTAATCTACTTGATACCATTATCAGGTATTTATTAAGATAGACATCCTGTGAATATTTCGTGCATGCATTCGCGCGTCTTCAAAATAATTGAGAAATAAATCATTATTTGTTGAAAGAAAATAAACAGTTATTTTTTTATAAATCAACAAGAACATTATCTTCTTCGATATAGTAAATTTTTGGCGCAGTTGGAGTAGCGTCGTCGAAATCAGATGGACTCTTCTTCACAGACTGTTTCGGTCTGTTTTTCAGGCGACTTTGGCGTTCTTTTGCGTACTCAGCCATTGCACCGTCTTTGAATGAAAACCATCCCCTGCATTGCTGCACAACTCTTGGATTATTAGCACATATATTAGCTAGTTCGTATATGTATCCATTTAATTTCTCTTTTCCGTAAACTTCTGAGATTCTGGCGTATAATTTTTGATCTTTTGCGAAAGGAACCATATCTTCTTCAGCAATCTTCCTCAGAACAGAAAGAATGCACTCGTTAAGATATGAATGTGGTGGTGATTCAAAGAATTTGTCCATAAAATCTGGAATATGTTCAGAAAACACGCGAAGAGAAGCACATGTAGCACAATCGAGGTTGTTTGGATCGAACTTAACTTTGTTTTCGTATTTAGGAACCAATTGGAGCCTTAAATTCTCTTTTTGGTTGAATAATAACTCAAGAAGTACGTAAATCTCTGTTCTGATCAATGGAGTAAATGGAGACGTCCTTTCTTGAACAGCTGCATCCATGATCGTTGTAAGAATGTCCCTCTTTTGGAAAGTTGCCGCTAACGACGATTTTTCTTTAATTGCGTCTTTAATCATTGACGCAATGTAGTAGGCATTATCGCTCTTGAGAGCATCAACAAGACTGATAGCCAAGTTCTTAAGATCATCAGGTGGAAGATGTTGCGAAAAATCAGTCAAAACGCGGGTAAGCAATTCACGGGACGCCATGACAATTACATGTTCGGCAAGGAATGGGAAAAGGCCATCGATTTGCATTAGAAATGATCCTTGAGTGTATCTTGCTAAAGTTTCTGTAATTCTAGCAAAGTTTCCGAAAATTAATGTGTTATTATATAGATCTGGTGATTTAGGGAATGCTTTGAATGCGTTGATAAATTTTTCGTTTTTCGTGATTATATCGTGTAATTTGAAGCAAACTGAGGAAAAAACTGAAACGGTATTCCTTTTCGCTTTCACAATTGTTGGATCTGTATCTTTGTCATCACTAAAAATGTATTTAAGCGCTATTGTAAGATTTTCATCCGTTGTTAAGTAATTAACAAGCGGCATTGCTTCATTTCGAACTGTTGGGTGGATATCGGTGTGAGTAATAACTGTGTTATAGTCTGCATTAGGATTCTCTGTAAGAAATTTCGTTAAATCGTTCTCAAAAGGTTGAGGAGTGAATGGAAACATTTTTGGCACTTTTTTTGATAACAGAAAAAAAATTGTTAACATGTTAATTTTACATAAAATAAAATACTTTAACATGTTAACATGAAATAACTTTGATGCAAAAAGGCCTTGTAATAGATTAGATACAGCGGCATACTATGCATTGGTGATGAAAATGCAGCTTTATTTGCTTTGGAATAGGCTTGACTGAACCATTTTCATAGCAGTCCGAAAAAATTAAAAAAAAATTTAGGCTGGTACAACTTTTTACTTATTCTTCATTTATGAACCATAATTCAAATTCATTTCCAATGTAAAGTCTCTATATCAAACTAATCTCTTCGGTGTTGAGTAAAACCCTTTCAAAAAATATGATTCTGAGACTTGCCGAAGGATAATGAGTTTAATTATGTTCAATTGAATCAGAGTAATGCTGTAAAATATCAGTATTATTCATAGATAATATATTTTTAAACAAGATATATAAATTACACAATTTTTTTTCATGATTTAATTGAAGTATGATCTGCAAGGATTCCATGAAGTTTACATTTTCGTTTAATTTGCGTAATATAATAGTTAGTTCTATCAAACTGGTGATAAATCACAGGAACTTTTCCATTAACAGACCAATTTCCGAATTTTTGGCCTTTAATTTTCTTTGGATGATTCATATAATATCTAGATCCCGCAACCATGAAATCGCTTGAGTAATTAAGAATTTGATAATTTAATATTTCATCAAATTTCTTAAGAGCCATACTAAAAGTCAGGAAATGCTGATCATCTTCTCTTCCTTTATGAGTGTGCTCATCTCCATATTTTCTCATAAACTGCGTAAATTTAATAAAATCTTTAATATTTCCGACTTGCATGCCTGCATTGACAGAGTATAGACTCATTAATAGTTCAGTGTAATTAATTTTAGAACATTCATGATCTTGAAGTGTGTCACAAACATTATCAAATTCATACTTAACCCAAGGATTTCCTTTGAACTCTTTGTAGTAATTTGCATCTTCATAACAAAAATAAAATGTTTTATTATCTTTGAAACGTGCAAAGGGATCTGATTGAAAGATTGAATCAAATAAGTCAATATGAATGACATTATCAATCTCTTTCTGGTGTTGAATGAGATAATTTCCGATTAATACCCATCTATAAAACCAAATATCTATTTTACTCTGAAATTCATATGGAAATATTAAAAACTCAATTCCACATTGAGCATAATCCAGAAACGTTTGGGCAATTCGAAATGCTTTTTCGTTTGTAAATACTAATACCCTACATTCTTTATTAAATGCTCGTAAAGTATGGATAAATGGAACTAAGTTGTTGATTTTATTAAAAGCAGTTGTAACTATTATATCTCTTTTTGAAGATTCGTTAGTGATCGATTGTTTAAGATCGCATCTATTGCATTCACCTGTAATAGGAACATAATCTAATTTGTATTCGGAAAAATCTATTAGTAAAGCAAAAAATATTCGCGGGCACATGAATAACAATTTATAGATAATCATATTTATGATCGGTACGAATCCTATATAGTATTGAAAGCTGAACATAAAAAAAGAAAAGAGAATAAAACTTTTGACTTTATTACATTTTATCAAATTTAAGAAAAACAATTTAAACAGCATTTTGTAGAACATATTTATGGAAAAAAATTATACAAATTGAATGAGCCAAACGGTTAATAGTCAGCATTTCGGATTCATAGTTGATGTTACGTGTAATTGAAAGAACTTTGGAGGAACATATAACTTTGCAAAAATCTCATTAGCATACAATGTAATGCATATGTTTAGTGAAATTAATTTGGAGAAAAATTGAGATCGTGATTTTTTGAGTGGGAACATAAGCTTGCTAAAAACGGGAGGCGATAAGGAAATTGAGAGTCCTCTTTCTCATTTCAATGAAAAGGAATATTCACGATAAATAGGATAAATAGAATTATTTTGGAAATTTCATGTACAAGCGCTTCAAAAATCCCACACACAATGTGATTAATAATAATAATTTGAGTTTTAATTATTGACAATAAATATTAAATGTAATGCTAAATAAGACAGCTTTTATGGAAAGAAGATGAAAGGTTTTTACTATGTATAAGTATTTAAAACATTAATTGTAATATATATATAAGATTATCTATTAACTATTACTAGTTTTCAACTTAACAACATGATGATTTGTTATTTTGATTAAGTGCCATTATTTCTATCGGTTCAGAGGTAGTAACTCTGTTATCAACTTCATTTAATGTTGCAATTTTTTCAAAAAGTCGTATAATTCCATCACCACTCTTAGCAGATACTTCAGCAAAGTAACTTGCTTGATGTGCGTATGCAAAGTCTTCTCCTTGTGTCGTTTGAACGGCTCTTTCATCTGCAAGATCACATTTATTGCCAACTATGCATATTCTTAATCCTTGTGGACCTTTATCTTGTAACTCTTTTGTCCATATTTCTAATGACCTAAAAGTATCAGATTTTGTGATATCATAAACAATTAAAGCGACATTTGCTGTTCTATAATACATCGGAGCAAGAGTTCTGAATTTTTCTTGTCCGGCTGTATCCCATATTTGCATGGTAACACTACCAGTTTCAGTTTGTACAACATATTCTTGCAACGCTGCACCAACTGTGGCAGTTGTATTCTCCGCAAACCTGCCTTTCTTCAGGCGAGTTACAATTGATGTTTTACCGACTTGAGTATCTCCAACTAAAACAATTTTCATTAAATTTTAAAAAAGTGCCATCAAATAAGATTTTGATTGATATCGGATTTAATTGTAAATTTTCCATCCAATGCTATATAACAGATATAATTAAAATCAAACCGAAATCTGTCACTTTTAAATTTTTGAATTGAAAATTTGCAACTCTGGCTTGAAAAAAAAAATTTTAACGGCAGACATCATATTGATTTTTATGTCTTTATAAATCTTGAAATTTATTGGCTTGGAAAAACATAAATATTTGGATTTTAAATTCAAACACAATAAAAATATTTACAAAAATAACAATAATAGCATATTAATAAAATGACTGTCTTCCACGCTTTCTAGGCTTTGCTTTAGCGTCTTCTTGAACCGAAACTGAGAAAGATTCATTCTTTTTATCGGCAGAAGAAAGTGAATAATCTTCTTCTTCACTATCAATATCAGTTTCTTTCCAATTTGATCCTCTCATTGAAGTATTATTTGTCGATGACTTTGGTGGAGGTGTAAATGTAAATTTGATTTCCTTTTCTGAGCCTTTATCATTTTCTTCGCTATCAGCAAGCTCGCTAGACTGGAATTCAACTTCATCCAGATCAACATCTCGAGTTGTTGCGTGAACTTGATGTTCTTCAGGATCTTGTTCAAGAATATAATCATCAGAGTTTTCGGCATCAGGTGCTTTTGTTATTGCAACTGGTTTTTCAAAACTATATTTTTTCGAATTTTCATTGTCTAATTCTTTTGGCTTATTATTCTTTTGATCTTTCTTTTTGTCAGGTTCTTCTTGTTTTGGTGCAGGTTTTGGATCTGGTTTAGGATCCTCTTTCTTAGGTTTTTCTTCCTTTACTGGTTTCTTTGGTTCCTCTTTAATTTCTTGTTTTTCTTCTTTTTTTGGTTCTGGTTTCTTGTCTGATTTTGGTGGTTGATCTATTTTTGACGGTTCAGAATCTTTTTTTGGTTTATCATCTTTTTTACCTTGACTATTTTGTTGATTATTTGATTTTTCGCTCGGCTTAGCTGAATAATTCTGGGATTCATCTGAATCGCTTAGTATGATAACATCTTGCTTTGCTCTTCTACGCATTGATCTTGAATTCTGATCTTTGGAATGATCATCATCAGAATCTGTGATTTCAGATAATTTAACTGGTTGTTTAAGAATTAAAGCAACAGATGAATCATCAGATGATTCAGAAGATAATGATTGAGCCTTTTGAACTCTCTTCCTTCGAGAAGGAGGACTTGCACTGATCCTTTTACGAATTGTAACTTTTTCTGGAGAAGCTTCGCTAACTAGTTGCTCAGAGGATGAAACTGGTGGAGGAGGTGGTGGTGGAACAGTCTTTGCTAAGTCATCAAAAATTAGAAAAGCGCCTGGTTTCTGTTGTTTGGTATGTTTACGAGGTGTATAGGAAGGTTGTAAGGTATTATTATTTTGCCCATAGTCATTGTTTCTCATTGTCTGAGCCTTTTGGACTTGATCAATTTTCGATTCAAGCTTAGCAAACTTTTTTTCCATCCACATTGCCATATCATCTTCTGCTCGTTGTGTAGCATCAAGTGCTCTTAAATTGAGCTGATCCAAGATTGTAACGGTTAAATCGTCGTTTACAACATTTGGTAAATTTTGTTTTGGTGATATCTCTACTGTGTGGGACTTTGGTTCTTGGGTATTTTTCTCGATTTGCTTTGTCATTGTTCGTAATTTTGCTGATTTTGCTTTATTTTCTGATTTTAAGTCTGAAATTTGCTGCTTTTGGGATGCTGCAATTGAATAAACAGATGCAAGCTTTTCATTTGCACGCTGGACGCGCTTTTGAAGATCTTGTTCTCTCGCAAATGAAAAACCTATTGTATATTGGAGAATTGATATTAACCTTGAGACTTGATCAACATTTTGAGGTGCAAAAACATTTGCAGATAGGAAATTTACAAGAAAATCGTAAAATTGTTGATTTTGTTCGTTAAAAGACTGTGAAGATAAAGGGAGAGAATCAGATAATACCCAATTAAATGGTCTTTCATCTTTTTCTTCGTGAAATTTTAGTGTGTCTTTCATTGGATGTTGTTTTGGTGATTGTTGTTTTGAAGGATATTTCCACGGAGGTACCTTCAAAAAACTCATCTTAAAATGGCGCCAAAAGTGACAAAAATTTTATAAATTGGAAAAGCAACAGCACATCAATTGAATGATTTAATCACATAATTATTATATTGCAAAACAAGTCAAACCGAACTAGAATCTCAATGTTATACAAAAATTGATAATACACTAGATTTTTATCAAAAAATTAAAATTTAGTTTTGAAAACATCCAAAATTGATATTTTTGAAATATCATCCTTCAGCAATGCTAGTTCCTATTTGTATTTTGTAATGATGTAAGCCCAAGCCTGAAATCTAAATTGTTGTGATGTGTTATTGCTAACAATGCTCAAGATTATTCAAATTCATATCTGCGTTCCGTCACTTTTTGAAAATGAAAAATTTGGAAAGCAGGCCAATTCCGGACTTTGATAATCCAAAACTGTTTCACACAAAAGGTTTAATCTCATATGAGCAATGTGTGTTTATGGGATGTTTATATATCATAATATAGATGGTCATCTGTTTTGAATTATTTCATTTCCAATTGCCTTTTCATCTAAGAAAAAAAAAGCACCCCATGAAAGACACACTAAGATTTCATAAGGAAAAAGATTATTGTATAATAACTTAATTTTGATATGAAAGAAAATACGTTTTCCCGGCGATCGAGAACATTCAATAAAAAAACCTTAATTAGACTTTAGAGATATTCTTAATTAATGGAGACATCAATTCTATGATTCTTGACAAAAGATAAATGATTGTAAGGTTTAGAGCTCTCAAAAATGATCAAATTTAAAAACTTTTCGGCTCAGGGGATCACTAAAACCGTTACTACCAAAAATATCATTAATAATGAGTGAGTCTTCTACAAGTGTCATTATTGCAAACCTCCCAATGAACACAACAGAGGAACAACTCAAAGAAACATTCTTCCGGGCTGGTGAGATCAAAAGTATTACATTGGAAATGAAACCCAATGGTGAATTCAAAGGATGTGCCGTCATTGAATTCGCATATCATGATGCCGCTTCAAATGCTGTAAGGTTCAACGAAACTCAGTTCAGAGATCAAACAATTACGGTTGAATTTTTGAACGATATTCATAAAAAAGATCGTGATTGTCCAAATCATCAGAAGCTTGGACATTATCATCATAATCATAGATCATCATATGATTCATCTTCAGATAATTATAGAGATGATTTCGATTATGGAAAGAAATTTAAGAAAGGAAAGCGTCATCACTGTTCCCATCAATATATTGGTAAATATCATTGGCATCATTGCAAAAAGATTAATTCAACCTCATCTGATGAAGAAGAGTTGAACGAGAAAAATTCGTTGGAATCAGATAATTCTTCTGAGTTGCATGTAAAAGAATCATACAGTGATTCAGAATCATATAATTTGTCAAGTTCTGACTCTGATGAAAAGAGATTCAAGAGATATGAAAAGAAACGTGGAGTGAGAGATTGGAAACGTGTAAAACAACTCTTGAAAGAAGTGAAAAAGGAAATTAAAAGTTGCATAAAAGGAAAAATGAAATAAGAAATTTATACTTTAATTTTGACACGGAGAAGAAGTAAATTAAATTAATTATATATTATATTGAAAATGATACTAGCAACACTTTCATTTGGAAAAATAGAAGTTGTTGATAATTTTTTAGATTGATAATGATTTAAGTTTCGTATGACTATTCATAATGATATATTTTCCACTATATTTCAATTACTATTTCTGATTAATAGGATGTACAACTCAATTATATGAATATTTGTCTGATATCTATTCATAATATATAAAATACTGGAGAATATATTATATTTATACCCATACCACACACTCAATTATAGACTGCTTTTATCGTTTCTATTATACCTTTTCATTGGAATTTATTTATTCCAATTGTTTGAGTTTTATTCTTCTAAATTATAATGTAAAGTGAACTCTAGTTTAATGTTTAATTAAATAATCAATTATTCTATGATCTACTTTATGTTTCCTTGCCATTTCAAGTAAAGTTTTTCCCTTTCGATCAACTACATTTAAATCTGCTCCGTTTTCTACTGTAGCTTGAAAAGATAGCCAAAAATTGTGTTTAATACAATGTTGTATAGTGTATACATCATATGAAGATTTACCCGCGAATTGAGGATATTGTTTTATCAAGAATTCTATTAATTCATCATAATGGAAATTAAAAGCATGGAAAAATAAATTCTTATTCATCAGATTATTTTGAACAAAATAAAGGAATGCAGAAAGGTTGGAATAATATGAAAACGCATGCATTGCTTCAAGACTTAACTTATTATCCGAATTGTTAATTAAAAATGTAAAAATATCAATGTTATGCGAAAGAATTGAGAAAAAAATTGTTTTTTCATTTGGTTTCACTTCACGGAAACATTTGTTAACTATAAATTGATTGCCACCTAAGAGTGAGAAATTTAGGGCTTTTTCAGTTAGAATAAAGTTGTTATTGAGAATCAAGAATTTAAAGCAATTCTCAGCACCATAATATGCACACCATTCAATTAAATTTAAATTTACCTCATAATTCAGCATCCTGACTTTTGATTGGAAATTTATATCAAAATTAGAGTCATTTATGATTTGTTTGCATTTTTCGAAATCATCATTCAAGATAACATGCAAAATTGTTCCTGGCTCATAAATATATATGTAAGTTCTGAATGATGGCTCTCGATTATTACTTAGATCGCAAAGTGTTCGAAGTTCATGTGAAAAAATATCATTACTATAATGCTGTGTGAGCAATGAATAAAGTTTCCAATAAGCTTTCAAATGTTTATTTCTTAAGTATGATGCTCGTATAATTGAATCTTTTATAAAATCAGGACTTTGTTTATACTTTGTAATTAAAACTGACATAATATCTTGATAAACTTGTTGCACTTTGTCCTCAGTGAGAAGATAAATACCATCAAAGGCTCTGATGAAATCCTGATTAGATTTAAAAAACTCAGATACTAAATTACCATTCATCCAAAAAATAATGGAAAATTTTTTGAAAACCGTTTCATTAATTCATTGAAAAAAATTGTAAAAAAAATTCCAGCATAAAAAAAGAACTTTGTTATATTAAAACTTCGACAGGTTTGTCATGTCTTCGACGGCTTTGTCACAACAGCGACACCTTTTTGGCGGGACCTTAATTATTTATGTTTGAGTGTGATAGCAAAGTGTAGATTGATATCTGCAATTTGGTTTGTTCGGCATACAAATTCTTCTGAACTCTGAACTGAAATTTTATCGTTCAGGATTTTTAGAAATGGGTTGTCTCTGCTGTAAGCCTTTAGATCCTGATGAATACAAAGGTCTACTTTCCGGAGACAATACTGCCAGGAACACTCTTATGCAAGCAATTGTTGATAATGACGAAGATTTACTTCAAGATCCAGAAATAAAAGCAATTTTAACAAACAAAACCTCGGATGATGATATGGATGAACTAGAACTTGAAAACTACATTAAATCTTTATCACATAGTAATTAGAATTTGATGAAAGAGTTCATTCTTTCATGTATTCAAATTTGATTCATTTTAATTATGAAGTAATTACAACTATAATACAGTAATGTAAATGATATATTCGTAAGTCATTCTAATCAAAAAGAAAAAAAAATATTCAATAAAATTATTCATAACCATTCTATACCTATAGGATACATATAATAAATTTCATTGTATATTTTCTACGATCTTGACTGATAGTATTATTTCAAATAATCCACAAAAAATGCTTTGTTAGAAAATGCCTGAATTTCCTTGCATAAGTAATGATACATAAATGGAACCTCAATATTACCAGAATTACTAAAAAGGAATACCAGACCAAAGTGAAATTTTTGTAAACAATTCATAATTTTAAAAAAAAACTCCTTTTTTAATCATTTCATGAGTAGTCCCAATATTATAACGTCTAATATATATTCTAACGTATCATAACCTACTGATTTATGCACACTTGAGTAAATATAAAAAAACAAGTCTAGTGCCACCCCCAAGATGTTATAAATCTTTGAAATGTTAAAGGCGCACTTATCACTTTCTGATATTCTCTTTCCAAATCATTATATCTTTATTAGAATAGCAAAAAAGTATAACAATTATACTATGCATTATATTAAAAATTTATAATAACTTTTCCCGACAAAAAAAAGATTAACATTTTACCATAGAAAATTGTGATATAAAGCTTGGATATAAATCATCGACAATGTAAAAAGCCATTGATTCACATAATCATTCTAATATGCATATAAATTGATATGTATAAGTAATAAAAATTGAGAGATGGTAAGTAAAAATCATTTTATTAAACTTCAGGAGAAGAACGTGTCTAAAGGATGATGATTTTATTTTGCACCATGTGAAATAAGAAGTTCTGTTACATGCTAAGATCAGTCATAATGTAAACCTCTCAATTTTATTGTCGTGGGAAGTATCTCAATTCCTTCAAAAAATTGAAAAACTATTTAATTTTAAAAATATAATACTTTTAATTAGTTAATTAATTGGAGATATTTTTAAAAAATCACTTTTGATAATACTTTTGAGAACTTTAATTAAAAAAATATATTCAAAAATATCCAGGATATCAAGAGGGAATTGTTCCTTATGAGGTATATAGTTATGATGTATACCTCATAAGGAACAATTCCCTCCTTAAAATGAGAAAACTTGTTCGAAATTGTTTATCATTTCGAACAAGTTTTCTCGTTTTTAATAGGAAACTAAAGGCTATGAGGCACTGATTATATATTAGTGCCTCATAGCCTTTAGTTCCTAATAGATAGCTGGGGAACTTTCTCCAAATGATAAGTTATTCAGAGAAAGTTCCCAGCTATCAAGAGGGAATTGTTCCTTATGAGGTATATAGTTATGATGTATACCTCATAAGGAACAATTCCCTCCTTAAAATCGTAGACATTTTTATACTTATTAATCAACCATTCAAAATCATATTCCTCTGAAAAGTTATTTTATTAAAAATTTAGAATTTTAATAAATAGAGAGTTTGAATTTCATACAATACCTATATATTTTCAATAATGGAATTTGAAAACCATTCTCAAAAGTTCTCAGAAAACCCTTTTTTCATTAATTTTAAGAAATCTAAAAAAAAAAAAAAAAAGGAAGTGGGGCTTCCAGGCACTTCGTGCCCTCTAGCCCTGAAGATGTTTAGTATAAATGAAGTTTTTATTCGGTATATTCTGAATCTTGAATGTCTTGGAAATTTTCTTCTTCTTCGCTCTCTGAGGTGAGGATTTCTTCGACTTCTTCTTCGTCATCTGGTGCTACGTGTCCAGCTATAAATACTTTGTAGAGTCCATCTGGAGGTGTCTGTATTATGAATGTGGTATCGTGTAAGAATACAAACTCAACATCCTGTTTGAATTGGCAATTTGAATTAGTGAATTCTGCCAATTTTATAGGATGTCCTTTGGTAGCTTTCGGGAAGCTTGAAATACTAACTTTGCCACCGTATGGAACTCTTTCTGGTGTATCTAACGCTATAGTGGATATGACATGGAAATTGTCTTGAAATTCTGGTAAAGGTTGTATACAATATAACCGTTTTGACTGTCCTGGTTTGGTAAAAAAGTATACGTAAAAGGACCTTTGCCCATACTCATCCAATTCTTCGAGATAGTTGTAGGTATTGGGATATATGCTGACATACTCAGCAATTTTCACATTTCGCAAATAAGTTTGCATATTTTTGGGGAAAAGTCTAATAAATTGGTCGATGGCTTGTAGTGCAATTAGGTTTGCTGTAACAGGCAAGTATTGAACAAACAAGTCCACGAGAACACCTGGGTCTTTAACTTCATTTTCAACTGGTTGCAAACTATCCATAACAGACTGAAACACTTCCGAATAATCGGTGTCGTCTTGAATTCCCCATTGGTTTTTGAGTTTTTCAGGGAGTTGAAGTCTTTTTTTAGCATATTGCCTGCGAACACGTTCAGGTATGGTAGTGTTTTCTTCTGTATTTTCTGTATCTCCTGATTGAAATTGCTTCGCGAACGCGAGGTATCTCATCTGGGACCTTGTCGTCATCGATGACGCGCTTGGTTGTTCCTCTGTTGTTTCGTTTGTTTGTATGGTATTTTCTTGAGTAGATTGTCTTGAATTGTTGGACAATTGGTTTGCAATTGGAGAAGACTGTAAAACTTGTCCTGTTGTGTCTGGTACAACTGTATCTGTTGTTTCGTTTGTTTGTATGGTATTTTCTTGAGTAGATTGTCTTGAATTGTTGGACAATTGGTTTGCAATTGGAGAAGACTGTAAAACTTGTCCTGTTGTGTCTGGTACAACTGTATCTGTTGTTTCGTTTGTTTGTATGGTATTTTCTTGAGTAGAATGTCTTGAATTGTTGGACAATTTGTCTTGAATTGTATGAGGAAGTTGCTTTGGTATTATAGGAGGTCGTAAGGGTTTTGAGAATGGTGAGACATAAGTTGTAGGAACTTTAACTGCAGAGGTAGTCGACGAATTGTTTGCAATTGTATGAGGAAGTTGCTTTGGTATTATAGGAGGTCGTAAGGGTTTTGAGAATGGTGAGACATAAGTTGTAGGAACTTTAACTGCAGAGGTAGTCGACGAATTGCTTGCGACACTTTTTCTTCCTTCCATTAGACAAAAATGAACTGTTTTTTTCGGACTACTCATAGAAAAGTTTAAAATAAACCGTTTTCGTCAACGGTAACCCCCTCTATTTTTTTATTTTATTGAAAAGTCTCCGTTGGCAAACCGTTCCATCTCAAATATTGAATGAACTATAAACGTTTTTTGTTTTCTATATATACTTTTTTTGTCCAACGGTAAAACTTTTTACACAACGGTTTTGAGAGTCGTCGCCGTTGACTTTTTTGTAGAGCACTCAAAATAGTATAACTTTGTCCGGACAAGTAAGGGTCTATCGTCGCTACAGGAAAAGTTACAGGCGTTCCAAGGAAGTATACTTTGAGAAGCCTTTTCCCCTTATAGAATGAGATAGGACGGTTATTTTACAAAACTGACAACACTTTGACCGAGTAGTTTTTTGTGCTGAACAAAAAGTGTCATATAAACATCTGGCAAAAACCGCTTTTTAACTTCACTTAAAATGCCACGTAAGCTACGTAAGAATATACGTAAGAGGAAGAGAGCATTGAAACATCCAATAGTAAGACTAACACCACAACAACAGTTGCAACAACAAATGCTGAATGACCCCACTATGTTGCAACAAATGTCAAGCAACCCTATGCTTTTAAACCGAGTTATTGGTGCACAGAGTGGAGGTTTAAGAGCGGCACTTTTAGCGAAAATGGCAGGCTATGGTGGAGCTGCAGACGGAACAGCTTATAACCCTCAAAGTCAAATGAATTTGAGTTCACTCAAAAATCAAATAACAGATGTCAAAAAGTCAAACATAGACATACAGAAGCAAATAAGTGAAAACGAAAAGAAACTAGAATATGACAGACACACAAAGAAACTCAATGAGTTAAACGTAGAAAAAAGAAGAAAGAAGAACAACTGAAAGAACTAAGTACAGAGGAATATGCGAAAAAAGTGTCAGAAAAAGCACAGAAGTAGCAAAAATGGAACAAGATGTCATAAATTTGAAAAACCATACTACTCAATATAAAATACTGAAAGATGAAGAGATAAAACAAAAAGCCCTGAAGACATATATGGATAGCGATGAGTATAAAAAAGAAGTTGAAGCAAATGTAAAGGCAGAAAAACTTTTACAGTTGCAAAACCAAACCGTACAGTATGAAAACTTAGCACAAGAAAGTAAAAATAACGACGCGGCTATGCAAAAGGCAATGAAAAGCGCAGAATATATAAAAGCTAACAATGACTGGTTAGATGCCCAAGCCAACGCTAAAGCAGCCCAACTATAGGGTCAATAAGGACAAAAATACAAGCGGATGAAGACAGTTCAAATGAAGCTTTAACAAATGCTGACTTTAAGAACGCTTCGAAGCTCTTCATAGTAAGGTGAAACAAGTGAACGACTTCTCATCTGGAAAGAAACTGAAGTCTGAAGGTTTCGACAAGAGTTAAGAGAAGTAGCACAAAATATGACGAAAATAACAGATGCAGCAACGAGACAGGCAGTTCAAAGTGCCTATGACGCCGTTAGAGCAACTGTTGTGAAAAGTCAAGAAAAAGAGTTACAACAGACCAAAACAGACCTAGTAAATGCTTTCTTAAAACGAAAAGTCAGGTAGGACATTACGCTGCAGATGGAACATATGTGCCAGCTGGTGGAACTTATATACCACCAAACCCTCCAAGAGAAGCACCTGCACCAGGACTACCTAAACATTTACATCGTCACATGGACACAGACACAGGCATGCACAACAACCACTCCAAACCAGCACAACAACCAACACAACAACCTGCAACAACCAACAGTTCAAAACCCTGCACAACAACCACCTCCACAACAGAGCAAGGACATAAAAGAAGTAGAGAACAAGGAAACCAAGAATTCTTAAAAATGCTTAAAGAAGAGTGTGGTTTCCCAGATACTGTTGACTTTAGTGACAGATATAAAGAAGCTATTGGAAAGTTCAAGGATGGAAATACTGACCCGAACCTATTTAGCTTTATGGCTCAGCACCAAAACGGATATAATCTCAAACCTGGAAAATACAAGCTCGCTAAGGGATATGATTTAATAGCATATCATCCAAATGACATGGATGAATTTACTCCGAGATATTTGATGTCAGAGCTAAATGACAATTCAACTTTCGTCATGAAACGCGTAAAAAATAGAGACGGAACGAAAGAACAAAAGCTTATGAATGCGGATGACGTAGATAGGGAAATTGTTGAAAACGGTCTCGGAATATATGAAATGCCAGCAGATGAGGTACAAGAAACTCCACAGGAAGAAGTTCAGATACAACCAGACATGGAAGAAATAGTTCAGCAACAACAGCTAGAAGAGCCTGAAGGAAACGAACAAGTCACTCCTTTGGAAACTAACTTCACAGAACTAGATGAAGATTTGGAACAGCCGAAAAATCTTGACCCTCAACAAGAGTATGCGGAGAATATGGAATATTTCCAAGAGTCTAAAAAAAATTCGGCTGACATAGTAGAAGAATATCGAAAAATGTTTGCCGACATACAAAAGACTCCAACACCAGATGAAAATATTCAGCATAGAATGGAAGTACTGAAAGAAAATGTACACAAATACAACAACCCTTTTTACTTACGAGCATTTAACGTTCAATCTTCGGATGAACTCGGTGAAATAAAAGGTTAAATTTCAAGAAAACATATAGAAATGAAACATTGTTTAAAGTTCATTCAGAACCTAACCAAGATGGAAACAAACCTACTTTTGTTTCTGCAGACGATGGAACTACAATGAGATGGGGTCATAAAGCTAACCCGGATAGGTGGTTCATAAACTTACAACCACAATTCCAAGAAGTTGTAGACGCAATGGAAGTCAATGGTGAACCAGATATAGCTGGTATTTTCAGCGCGGCTTTAATGCCATTGAAAGATATGAAACATGCAGATATTTTGGACCAGTATGAAATGAACATGGCTGATGGAAATATAACACCTGACGTTCTAAACATTTATCTCAAAGAACTACACAGAACCATAGAGATGGTATATTTGGTGAAGAGTTTAGAAAGAAAGTTAGGGAGGCGAAGGAAGAGAACCTATTGTACATGACCTTGCAAACGAAAGTTTACAAAATGTCATAAAAACTTACTTTGCAGACAATGAATGAGAAGGGATGAATATTTAAAAAACTCAAATGGACAGTACCAAATGAAATGTTAGTATTGAAAAACATGTTCCTTGACAAAATAAAACCAACTACAGAAATAAACGACGCAAGACTGAAAGATTGGGTAAAAGCTTTCCCATTCACAAAAGATATAGTTGGTAACATGGAAAGAAAACCAGAATGGCTACAAAAACATATATTTGGAAACGAGCTTATTCCATATGGACAGGCTCTGTTTGAAGAGCTTGAACCGGAAACTCAGGAAAGAGTCATGCAAACAATACGCGAAGACTCAAATACAAACTATGACAAACTCTTTCTAGGATATAGGTACCTGAGATGGGCGACCAGAGCCCAAAGGCAAAAAGGACATGGGAAATTTACAACATACTAGGTGAACATGAGGCAAAGATGCAACAACTTGAAGCAGAGGGCAAGTTACCAAAGCGACACCAAAGAAGAAGAGTTGTAGAAAGTAGTGAAGAAGTAACTTCATCTAGTGAAAGTAGTGGCAATGAAGGAAAAAGAAGAGTTAAAAACTCAGTCAGGAAGAAAGTAAAGCTTGGTCCACGTGGGTTCTATTATGACATATAAATCCAACTATTCTATATTTTTACTCATATGAAATGTACGCCGCTCAGAATATAACGCCAACAGTTTTGGATGCTATGAATGGAAATGTTTCCGAATGGTATAACGAATGCGACAATGCCATTAGAAGGTCAGAAATAGTTCCTGGAACTTACGAATATACAACTGCTGTTTCTTATGGAAACGTAGGTGAGTTTGGAGAAGGTTCTTCAACAACAGTAGATATTGCTTGCGACAGGTTTCATATTATTTCTATTGACAACTCATTCTTATACGTGGAACAAGACATTGAAATAAAACCTTCTGCCAAGTTGTCTGACAAGAAAGGTTGCAATGGAATTTTCTATGTCGGATACCAATATGCTCCAGAAGTTTTCATGGGATATAAGATATATTCTAACTCTGACTTAGTTCAAACAGTAACATGGGCAAACTATGAATGGTTCGCTTTGAGAAACTCAGTACAACCACAAGCTAGAGAACAAACAGACCAGTATGCAACTATTGAGAAAATAAGAAGACTTGACCCTAACGTTCCAGGAGTTTATGTTAACCTTTCTGGTTCAGATGGAACTGCTGCCACTAAAGTAAAACTGAAACTTAGAGTTCCTTTGTCATCTTTCCTCATCTTCAGGTTTTTAAGATACTTGCCAAACTGGGCAGGAAAAATTTCTATTGAACTTACTCCAAGCAAAAATAACTTAGTCATTGCACCAACACAAGACCCATTCACATTACTGTAGCTGGAACTGGTGGAGCCAAGTTCTGTGACTTTTGCAAAGACAAAGTTGACTTAGACTTTGGTTTCTCAAACCTCAACACTGAAGTAAACTATTATTTCAATGCTGCTGGAACTGCTTGGGACCCAGTTAGTTCACATGCGAAAGTTTGAATGCAAGAGAATAGAAAGCAGACTTGCAGTCTATATGTTGGACCCAGATATTTCAAATGCTTTAGCTGCCAAATATATTGCAGTTCCACTTATGTTCCCTATACACCAAATATCTGTCAAAGACTTTGCAGGTGAAGTTGGAAACCAAAGTGCTGACCCAGGTGCAAGAACAGATATTGCTTTAACAACTGCAATGAAACATGCAGATACTATGTTTGTACTGTTCAGACGAACTATAAATGACTATTCTTGTTTCTACAACCCTGGTATTAAATATCATATAAACATAGATGGCAAATATTATCCAAGAGAAGAATATTCTACAGTTGAGGATATGAGGTCATACAACTTGACATTAGATGCTATGAACTTTAACAACAACTTCACAACAACCATTAACCCTGAAATGCAAAGTTCTATTATGCCATATGTGAAAGTATGGACTCATACAGGAGGTCAAAAAACTCAATATACAAATGGAGACCGTTCAAACTTTTGGCTTGGCATTCCATTTGCTGACTCAGAAGACTTTATGGGTGGTATTTCAACTGTTGGTACAGTTCAAATACAATATACTGGTGACAGAGACGGTCCAGATGAACTGAGAGCAAAGAAGTTTACAAAACCAATAGCACTTTTCACGGAAGATGCTCTTTTGAAGATTCGTTCGATGAAACCTGCTGGGGCTCCTCAGATTGGCATAACGACAGCTTCCATCGAGCAGATTTTGGCAGCAGGTCAGTAAGTTGTTCTTGAACTGACTTCTCTCCGTCAAATATTGACAGTACGCCAGTTTTGACATAAATTGTATTATAAACTTACCTTTAGAAATATCTGTAAGTTTTGTTGTTATATTTTTGTCTGCTTCAAGAACTTTCACCATTTCTTATACCAACTTTCTTTGCTTTATGAAAATATTTTGGTTCAGCAAAGACTGCTATTCTATAACATTTTCCATTGTTTGTATAAAGAACTATTCTGTCAATGTATTTGTATTGTTTGTGTGTGTAAACTTTGTTCTGCTTCAATTCGAAGAGATACTCAAATACGTCCATCTTTTTATTCTAAGTAAAATGTCATTTCCGAAAAATAGAAGCGTAAGTGTTTCAAAAGGTTTAATGGCGGTGGCAGATGTGAAGTTAAATTCACCAACTCAAACAAACAGTCAAAGTGTTGTTGTCAATGTCAAAGAAAGAGATGTTGAAGTGGGGAAACCATACGAAGACGAAGATGGTATAACAATAGTTCCTGTAAAAGAACAACCAACATATCCTGAAGTTAGCAGAGACTTAAGTTCTGTTGCAGATATTCGAAACGACTACCAACAACTGAAAGACAAACTTCAAACTCAGGAGAAGATTTGTCAAGCTTTAAGTATAATGTTAAACTTGGTCGAACACAACCCTGTAAAAGTGAACTCATATGTCATTGCACCTCATGAAGTTTTGAAAGAACTATTGAAACTTTTGACAGAGGCAGACGATATAAACATCAAAGAAATAGAACCCGACATTAGTTGCTGTGGTGTTTCATATAATGTCATTGACAAGATATACGTTATGAAAGGAGGTGAAACGTTGAACTTAAAATATAGTTTCCCAGACGTCATAAAAATATTTGACGACCCACACATTTCATTAAAATTTACTTGCTAAGTAAATGGCAGAAGACATAGTGGTTTATACTATTACGACTAAAAACCCTGAGTCATATAATTCTATAACAACAAACTTACAAAGTCCTCAAGGACGATATTGTAAACTAACCTTAAACACAATGACGACTAAAGCCTGTTTTGCTCTTTTGACACCAGAAGACTTTGTTGTTGTGAATGGTAAAAAATACTTCTTTGAAGATACTTACTCAGATATACCACCAACAGGTTTTGTTGACTTATTTAATACTTTAAGGACGGATGTAACATGTGCTGCAACTAGAGCAGGTTTCATTATGTTTGGATGTCCGACTGAGTTTAGTATAAACGATATGAGCTATAATACAAAACTTATATCTGGTTTTTACTACCAACAGTTTCCTATAACAGGAAAAGGTGTCATACAAGGTTTGTCTGTTCCATTGACTTTAAGTACACCTATTTTATATATTGTTTCAAACTTAGGTTCAAAGTGCTATTCGAATGTCGACAGAAACTACTATGACCAAAAGATACTCATGCGTATAAACAACACTTTCTCTGCTGGTTTGCCTATTGTTCATTCGAATGCAGAATTTTCAGCTTTAAGTAAACTCAAACACTTTAGCAAACATAAACTTAACCTTAGTTGACGCAAACTTTGTTCCTGTAAAACTTTATGTCCTATATTTGTCAATGACGGCAGAAAGTTTCGAATTGGAAGATGCACTGGTGAAAGTATTGTACTACAAGAACAACTTCAACAACAACAAATAGCTCAAGAACAACAAATGCAACAAATGGAACAACAAAGTCAAGAATAAAAAAATAATATTTTTTTATTTTTATAAAAATGTACAGAATAGATGTTCAGATTTTTATGACTTCCAAGCATTCAGAAATATGTGTCCATTTAGAGACTATAACAAAGCAGTCGAGAATTTGAAACGTTTAGTCATTTATGTTGACTCTGCCCCAGAATGTTATGTCATGAAAGAATGGGATGTTGTCTTTAACAAACCAAGAGCAACAATAGTTTCAGAACAAGAATGTAGACAGAAACTTAAGAAAATAAATCGTACAAGTTGGTATGAAAGAGTTAGATGCTTGGGATATCTTATTGTCAAAACTTGAAGATTTTTCAGTTCGAGGTATAAAGTTCTATACACCTTCTCCAAACTTCTATTCTATCTTCACTGGATATAAATACGAACAAGTAGAATGAAAGAAAAATTATAGAAGCTTGGTTAGACCATGTCAAAGAAATTATATGCAATGGAAACGAAAAGGTTTATGAGTATATCTTATGTTGGTTTGCAAACATCTTACAACATCCAAGTGCTAAAATGAAAACTGCTCTTCATTAAATTGGAAAACAAGGAACTGGTAAGAACACATTCTTTACAATATCTTATGCAAACTATTAGAAGGTTATTCGAACCTAATATGACAAACTTAGAAAACATCTGTGGCAAGTTTAACTCCTCAATAGAGAATATGAAACTTATAAGTTTGCAATGAACTTCAAAGTATAGATACAACAAAAGTTTTGAACTCAGATGCTTTGAAGAGTCTTATAACAGACAAAGTTGGAGTTGTTGAAAGAAAGTATAAAGACCAAAGAGTTTGTGAAAATGTTGCAAACTTCATTATGGTTTCAAACAATACGTTCCGATGAAGTTAGAAAGTTCTGACAGAAGATATGTAGTTGTCAGAACGTCAGATTCTCATATGCAAGATACAGAATATTTTGACGACTTAGCAGAAACTTTGACATCTGACTTTTACAACCACTTGTTCTCATATTTCATGACATTAGATATTTCTAAGTTCAATCCAAGACAAATTCCACATACCGAAGAGAGACAAACATTGTTAGAAGCAAACAAGAGTGTATATGAACTGTTCATAGATGAACTGACTTTGTGTCATAGATGAAAGGTCATTGTACGATTCATATAAACAATATTGTCAAGAATATGGTTATATGCAGCGTCTAAACGAACATTCTTGGCAAATGTCAAAAATCTTTTAGATGTTCAGAACGGCGTATATACAAAGAAAAATTTTTCTGAGTAAATTTTAAAAAAAAATATATATTTTTATCCGATAGAAAAGATGGCAAAATTCATCTCAGTAAATAAGTACATGACAGAAGTCAAAGATAAGTTAGCTCCATTCGCATATTTGAATGTTTACTTCTACAATTTTGAAAAGTCTACATTTGACAAAATTTGGAACATTGCACCAGTTAAGTTTGCTGTTGTTAGAAAAAGTGGTGCAACTTTTGAAGACTTAGACATAGAAGGTTTGTTAGCAGTCAAAGAAAATTTTGACAGAAAGTTCTCAAAACTCGAAGAAGGCAAAGCATACAAACTTGTTATACCTTATGAACCAAAGAAAGCAGACGACTATGAATATTATGAGTCTAAGATAGTTGAAGTTCAAGGTAAATTGGGTAAAAAGATTTTAGAGTCTAAGCCAGTGTTTGCCCCTAAAGAGGAAGAGAACATTGACATTGACCCAGAAATGTTCTAAAAATAAAATTTTATTTTTACATGTCAAATTTCTTTTTCTCTGGAACTGGTTCAGGTTCTTTCTTCTCTTCTACTTTCTTTTCTTTCTTTTCTTTCTTTTCTCTCTTCTTCTTCTTTTCTGGTGGAGTTATGTCAAATTTCTCAGAACCATATTTATGTAAAAGTTCTTTGTCCTTTAATAGCTCTTCTATTCTGTTTTCTATTTCATCTTCAAGAACAGCGCATGTGCCTTCTTTGCATTCTAAGAACTTTTGTTGGACTTCATCTTTCCAATCGGCGTCATCTCTGTCAACAAGTCTGTCATTGACAAATTTTAAGACTGCTCTTTGTAATGTTTTATGGTTCTTGTCATATTCCCAGAAACAGAACTTTAGAACAAATTCACCTTTCTTGTTTACACTATGTAAGATTTTATGGTCGACAGATGTTTTGCTGTCGAAAAGTTTGTCTCGAATATAGATAGCGAAATCGCTAGACATTTTCAAAAAGATAAAAATTTTAATTTTTCTAAAAATATGTTAGAAAAAAAGTTTGCTGACATTGACAAAAAATTTGAGAATGTTTTAAATAAGAACAAGAGGAAGTTGGAAAATGCTCAGATAAAACCCATACATGACAAGTTCTTATTTGCTCAGAATGGTATAACAGGTCTAATCGCACCACCTGGGTCGGGTAAGACTTTCACTTATCTTAAAATGGCTGCACAACAACAAGAACTAGATGAGAAGAACCCATTCTATGAGTTAGTTGTTATTTGTAGTACTTCTGGTCAATTTGACCAAACCGTCAATTCGTTCAAAGATATTATAAAGAAGTCTAAGTTAGTATGTATAAAGGATACTGAGTTGTTAGATTGGATAAAGAAGTACCAAAGAAGAGTTTTGAAGTATAATGCTATAAATGAGTATATAAATTCTAAGTTTAAAGACCCAAATGAGGAAATGCAGAGAATATTAGAGAAGAAACACTTCAGAAACAAACAGAAAGAGATAGAATACATTTCGAAGAAATTGCAATCGTACGATTGGAAAACGTACCCTCATAGGTGTCTTCTTATCTTAGATGACTTTGCTTCTCATCCTTTGTTAAAGAACAGAGAACAAGACATGTGTCGAATTCTTAAGAAACTTAGGCACTTTAACATCTCAGTTGTCATTTGTGTACAGACAGCAAAGAGTTTAAGTAAGGATGTTAAAAGAATACTTACTGACATCATACTTTTCCCTGGATTGTCCGAAGACGATTTCATGGAACTTATGAAAGAGTCCATGGCAGGTAAGTTTGACAGACATGAACTATGGAGAAGTACAAAGTCATACAAGACCCTCATACTTCTTTCAGAATTCACATCTACGCGAACAAAGTTCAAATTGTAAAAAGTCAGCAAAAATAATGTTTATGTTAGAATGTTAGATCTAACATGTTTTCTAACATGTTTTCTAACATAACTATTTACAAGCGTTTTACATGGTATATGTTGCGATGGTTCATGACTCTAAACAATTTCGTGGCTTCAATTTCTTCTTTTAGTACATCGAATGTTTTAACGATACCGAAAGTTTCTTTATACTTCTTCTTGACGTCAGATAGAAGGAAATCGTCAGCTGTTGGATAGTTTTTGTTTAGAAATGTCAACATGTCCATTTTATCTTCTGCTGGTTTCTCTGCTTCTTTCTTTAAATCTGCATAGTCGTTTCGCATACGTTCTATCTCTTTGACGGAGTAGTTATATTTCCTCATTGCTGCTTTACATTTAGAACATTGTGGGTTCATTTTTGCGTTATATTCTGAAACCTTACCTGCTAAAACAACTAAGGCGTCAATGGTTTTCTTCATCTCGAACATAGCGGGTTTATTTGTTCGTTCCATACCTTACCCCTACTATCTTTATCTCTTATTTCCCAAACACATTTTGCAACTAATGAAACAAAGTTGTCGTAGGTCTTAAATTCTTCGGATTTGTAAAGGTCAGAGATGTTCTTATATACCATGTCGCAGTCTTTGTCCATGACTTTGTGGTTGCAATGAAATCCAAGAAACTCATAGTTAACCTTTCGTATGAACTTCTTTATTTCTACTGAGTCAGTCAGTCCGACTTCTATTTCATCGAATTCTGGAATAGTGAGTTTTTGTTGTTGGATTTCAGGAAGTTTAGGTAAATGGTCAATAATATCCTGCATTTCATAAAGATACTGTTCATTTGTTTCATCTTTCGCACTACAGTCTAAATTACTTGTTAAAAGTTCTTGCTTTATCTTCTGGATTTTTGTTTCGAAAGTATATGAAGAAGGAATGAAGCTTTTCATCTCTACTAACATTGAAGTTGGGTTCATGACTAACGAGTTTGGTGCTGTTGTTGCTAACATGTTCTTACAATAAAAATAAAAAATATTTTTTTAAAAAAACCAACTTTATTTTTTATTTCGGGAAAATTCATGATTTTCGAGAGTTTTAGACCATGTTAGAAAACGTGTTAGAAAACATGTTAGATCTAACATTCTAACATAAATTATATTTTTGGTGTAAAATTCATGAAAATTCAAATTGTAAAAAGTCAAGCTTGAAAAATGTAAGTGTTTAGTCTTAGTAAGATGGTAGCTTCTTAAAGCAAATACCATTGCTGAGTTTTATGTACGTGAAGAGAAGTACAATGAATTCAATTACGAGTACAATTGCAATGACAACTAAGGCAACTATTTTTGTCTTTTTGCCAGCAAGGGTACTTCTTCTCTTCCAATGGTTCGGCAGAACTATACTCACTCATGAGAAATGCCAAAACGGTTTAATAGAAAAAGTGTCATTTTTTCATGTCCGAAGACTCGAAGGTGCAACACTTCCAAAATACCGACGAACTCAGAAGAGCAGCATGGCAGTATGTTCTTGACAACTTCTTTGAGTTCTCCAGGTACACCTTGGAAAATGCTGAAGAACTCCGACACAGAGAATTTGGAGAAATTGCACTCCAATACTACCTTGACAAACAAAGGGTAAACAAAGGGTAAAATAAGACTAAAAAACTTAACGTTTAAAAAGTGACATTTTTATGAGCTCCGAGTCACCGAGAAAACTTGGTCAGATGTTAGCAGCTTACTTCCCTGAGGAGGATGGAAGCGTTACATACATCAGGTTCAAAAACAACGAACCTGGAATTGCGTACCAAATTCGCAATTACATGACCATGGAAGAGTACGAAAGGTTCCTACAAGAGAAACCAGCTCTAAACAACTCAGAAAAGAAAGAATAAAAAGTTTAACTCGTAATTGTTTATTTTTTTACTTGTATGGGCAAGCTGCAAGAATGAAGTCGACTATCTCGTCTTTGTCTTGACCAGTTGGACTGCTCTTGCGAGTACGTCTGTTTTGCGGTCTCCAGCTGGTGTCTGACCTTCGTAATTGCGCATGTTCTTGAGAGCTCCAACTGTAAATGGTTGTAGGATGAAGAGTCTCTCAGACTGCTTGAGGTAGTCTTCACGGTCACGAACCGAATCTGTGGTACGAGTCGAATCGGTCGATTTGAGGGAAGAGAGTGAGAGCCTGTCTTCTTCCATTGGGGTAGTAGCATACTCTTTGCGTAAGCGGTTCAGACCTTCCTCGAACTCTTGGTCTCTCTTGGATTGAGATTGGAATTGTGGGGCAGGGTTTTGCATAAACATCCAAGGGTTGGGGAAGTAAGGCATAGGCTGAGGAGGAGGGTAGTTCGGGAAGCCTTGTGGTGGGTAGTAACATTGAGGTGGAAATTGGTAGTAAATCGGAGGTACTTGCTGGAACTGAGGTTGCTGAGGAGACTGTTGTGGTTCTGCAGCTTTCGGTTCTTCTGGTTGGGATATGGGCTCGGTTGGTGGGACGTCGGACATCTGTTTGTGGCTTAACCGTCGGAAGGAAAAACCTTTCCTGTCGGAAGGAAAAACCTTTCCTGTCGGAAGGAAAAACCTTTCCTGTCGGAAGGAAAAACCTTTCCTGTCGGAAGGAAAAACTTTTTCTGAAGTTCGACCAAAAGTTCTCAATTTTCGAAAATTTGAATGGTTTACGGACGGACAACTGGAAGAGTCCTTCCTGTCGTCGGGAAATTTTTTTCCAGTTGTCGGGAAAATATTTTCCTGTCGGATGGAAGGACTCGGAATACCAGAAGGATTTGACGAGGCAATTTACCTTATAGAGATAAATGAAGTTGTTAAGCAGTACTTGCGCAGGGTAATGAAGCCCAAGGTCAAGTTCACCACTATTTCTGGAAGGTCTACACTTCAGCTCGAGACTTCGACTGGAATTCCAATTCAAATACCAGACGGGACAGCCTACGATGGCATAAAGGACGCCAAAAGAGAAGCTCTTGTTAAGTTCCTAAACAAACGTCCTTGGATAAAAATACCAAACAAGGAGAACCCCCTACCCCATATGAAATTGGCAATTCAGTCTCTCCTTCACTTCTCGGGTCAGCCGTTCTACATAACCTGTGAAGGCGACATCCAACCAGTTCAGTCAACCTTAACGTTTTGAGTAAAAACATTTTTTTTCATTTTTTGAATGAAGCAAGTTAAATTCGTCCCACACCAATCTCAATGGACCGATGAAGAGTTTCAAGCTATGGTTGAAGGTGTTGAGAACGACATAGACGGCGAACTTGAAGGAGCTCAAATCACAATTGCAACCAAAATTGCAGGAGTCAAGGAACAGATAGCTCCACTTAAAGCTACCAAAGCTACTCTTGACCTCATGGATACTTACCGTTTAGATGTCAAGAGTGGAATAAGACATTTAAAATTAAAACTTCTAAACTACGAAGCTATACTCCAAAAGTTAGCAGAAATGAGAAGACTTTACCAGAGCTACTTACATGTAAGGGACTTACCTTCATGCAGTCCGACCAAAGATGAATTTTCTGACATTGTCCCAATTTTGTCCGAAAGTCAGCTCAGATGTTTTGAACTGCTCCCAACATATCCAGAATATGAACGTTTGCCTGAACTCTTCCGCAATCTCAAAAAACGTTTTTTGGTTCTCATGTTCGAAACTTTTATCGGAAGAGACAACAAACGTTCAGAAGAAGAACAAGATATTATTTTAAACTTGTTGTATGACATAACTGTCATAACAAGCTTTTTGAAGTAAAACCGCCATTCTCAAACCACTTCATTTTTTCGATGTCCGAACAAGCACCGAAGCCGAACACAATGGCAGATGTCCTTTCAATGTTGCCAGACAAGCGCCCAGTTCAAATTCAAATTTTGAATTTGAAAGCTCATCTGACAAACACCGTTAAGACTCTCCAAAGTAGTCTTATGGAAGAGATGAAGGGACTTAAAGGTGAGTTCCTCATGAACCAAGCTTCCAATGAGAAAGTCCTGAACGATTTGACGGAAACCTTGCGCATTTACGCGAGAGAGAACCGAGACCTTGCCAGACTCATCTACCGTTTCTTCGAAGAGATAGACGCCATCTGGAAGGTACTCGGAAAGGACAGAACATGCAACACCGTACTTCGTGAGTACCAAATTGAAGAAGGAATTGTCGAGGAAGAAGAGGAAGAAAAGAAACACGAAGAAGAAGAGGAAGAAGATGAAGAAGAGAAACACGAAGAAGAGGAAGTTTGGGCAACCCTTGTTGCCGATGACGCTTACGAAATTTCCCAACCCTACCCATACCAAATCCGCAACAAGGAGACAGGCAAGGTTCTTACCCCAGTCCTCAACAACTTGGGACACTTGAACCTTAACCTTCGGAATCGCGGTTCAATCTCCATGGGCAAGCTTGTCGCAATTCAATGGGTTCCAAATCCAGACAAGAAGACGAGGGTCAGACACATTGACGGTGACAAGCTCAACAACCGTAAGGAGAACCTCGAGTGGTTCTAAGAGTAAAAAAATTTTATTTTAGGGGGAAACCCCAAGTAAATTTAGGTGTTTATTTGGATAAGTATGTTAAATTAAGGGTAATTTGCAAAATTAGTTCCTGACCTCTGAATTGGACTCTTTCGTCATCCCAGTTGCGTAGGAAGTCGTCCCAGAGGAGTTGGTAGAATTGCCATTCCAAGGACGATTTGTCCTCCCAGGCATTGAGGATGTACTGCTCGTAGAGTCTCATGACCTCTGCCTTGCACCAGACACCCTCTCCCTTGGAACGTAAGGCTTCTTCGAAGTGCTCGAATGCGATTGGCTGCGGGACCATCTGAAATGACACTTTTTGTCCGTTTGGTCAATGTTCGTGTCTCGTGTCATAGTCGACGAAAATACAAACAAACAGGTTATATATGAGTTTGAGACCAAGAATGGTGTAACTCGACCTGTCCGATTCAAATTCGAATAAAAATTTTTTACTTCATGCAATGTTTTATTTCTGTGCCGTCTTCAAGTATGCCCCAGTACTTACGCTTGGAGAGGACATGAACTTCGGTGAAAATTTTGTCCAATTTGAATTGACCCATCTTTTCACCGACCATTCCCATTTCAATGAGTTTGTTATAGCCTTCTTCGTTCGTCATGAGTGCGTCAATGTTCTCATAGTAAACCTTCACTTTGGATTTGACTTCGGAGAAGAATTTGTTGTAGTTGTCAAGGACTGCCTTTGCGAACTGAGGATAGGACCAATGTTCGACAATAGGTTTTAATGTGGTTACTAAGCCACTTTGACCTTGAGTGAATTCGTACTTCAAAACAAAAGGAGAAAACCTTTCAACAAAGTTGTCGACCTTCTCATAATGTTTACTCTTCATCTCTTGAGGTTTCTTAATGGAATATCCCCATGTCGAATTCATAAGCAATTTGAGTGTCATTGCAAGTTTGGGGTTTGAAGCTTTCCTAATATCATACAGTTGTTGTATGACTTTTCCAACTGTATAGTTCCTTCCCGGGAACTCACCATCTTCGTTTGGAATTCCAGTCGGGATATATTGGACAAACCTCATGTATGCAGCGTTAAGGTCGACATAGTATATCTTTTCATCTGAGTCGAACTTGTCGCAACCAATTGGTCCAGTTTGTGGAAATTCAAGTGAGTCTCTTATCTTCTGAGAAACTTCTCCTGTTATCTCATAAACATCGTCGAAGCAACCTGTTTCATATAAAACCTTCTGACCTAACTCAGATGCTCTCCAATACAATTTGACGTCAATTGGATGTCTCAATGGAAGTTTGTTTATAGCATCTTGAAGTTCTTGCAACCTCATTGGAAGTTCTTCTGGTTCAGGTTGGTATCCGAACAATCCAACTCCTTGTGGAATTGTGTACTTCTTTTGTACTAGAACTTTGTCTGGAACAACTTTTGGTCTTGCTAACAGTGAAAAGTTTGTTTCGTCTTTTGGTACAAAAGTTTCTGTCAGCTTGTCATCTGGAATTGGTTCCAACAAACCTTTCTCGAAAAGAATGTTAACAGCTCTCTTATATACGAAAAAAAGAGATCTGACATTGTGTCAGATCTCAGTAAAAGTGACATTTACATGTCAAAAAATAGAATGAGTTTAAGTAATTAAAATTGAGGGTGAGAGTAGTATTGTATGAAATAATATCTCTCACCCTCCAATTCATCCAAAGGCTAATATTTTCTACATTTCCATAACATTCATTTCAACGGAAACTCATTCAAAATTCTATATATTTAATTTTTCAATCTTATTCAATTTCATATTCAAAATTAATTTGAATTAGATTCAAAACATTTATACCTTATTAATAACATAATATCATTTGTTATCAATATACCAATTCGGCTGTTCTAATTTTGGATTCCCATTCATAAATTGATCAATCTATATTGAAACCTATTCAAATTATTTTCTTATTGATAACATTTTATTTTTATTTGTCTTCAACTATTCATTTATTTTATCATTATTTTTTGATTTTTTTTAGTTTCAAATTTTTTATTATCTTTATTGTTTTTTATTTTTCTAATTTTTAAAAATTTCTGCTTAGAATCTTAATCTCATTTTATTTTTCAATAAAAATTCATGTTTACCAATATTCAATCACTTTTCTCGTTCCCCAAATTTTTATTTTATCTTAATCGTTACTAATTTCTAACACATTCTTTTATAAAAATTATTCTGATCGTAATTTTAATTTCGCCATTGTAGTTATTCACTAATTTTTAATTCATTGTTGTTTTCTCATTGTCCAATTTTATTTTCTTCACTTTAAAGATTTTTTTAAAAAATTTACAATTTGAATTCAACTTTTGTGAAAAATATTTTTTCAATAATATCTTTCAAAATTATTTATATTTTCTATATTTTATTCAATTGTTCACAATTTATTATTTATTCAAAATTCATTCTCTTGGATATTTATACCCAAATAGACTTTCACTGGCTAGAGCAATCTCTAACCAGGTTACACCAACATCAAAAGCTATCGTTGCTATTGACTAATGTTCCACTCAGCGATGGTACATCACGTAATTGCATTAACAAGTTAACTACTACAAAAGCCTTCTGTGCTTTCGTCTTATTACTATCGAAGAGTTTTACAAGCACTCGTCCAGAGAATTTACAAGTTTATACATATTCCATAATGGAAAATTCTACAATTGCATTGAAGTCTTACCAACAAAAGATGAGATCTTGTTGAATCGATACTTGGAAGAACAAGAAATTACACAGAGTAATGGTTCTACTCCTCTTAATAGCGCACAACAACAGCTCAGACCCAGCAATGGTACATCTCCTCTTAGTAGTGCACAACAACAGCTCAGACCCAGCAATGGTACATCTTCTTAGTAGTGCACAACAGTTAAATCCTCAAGCCACTCCTTCAAACCAATCATCTGGTACATACAATCAAATTGCTCCTAATCCCATCAGTTCCGATCAATCAAGTCAACGTGCCAATCCTCCTAATCCTCAATCTCGTCCGCACGACCAGTTTGTTGATATTCCACTTTCCTGTGGTAGACCCAAACAACCAGTTCCTGATGATCTCATGCAGGCCATTCTCAATTTATTCGAACAACATGGGCGACATGGTATCATCCCCACTTACCTTAGGCTTAATAAAGATATAGCATTCGCCCATGAACATGAACAAGATTTTGTTCGAATGAAAGATGGCCTGCTTCCAGTTATGAGCTCAACACAGGACTGGTTTCAGAATGTGCGACGTGACAAGCCTCTCAATCTTATCTCTAAAGAAATCCCCGCTGACATTAATCAAGATGATAACCCTACTCCATATGCTATAAATTTACAAAATATCAAATATCTTCCTCTCCCTCTACCTCAGGCTCCATCAAGGCATATGGTCGAAAAGGCTTTTATCATTCTTGGATTAACACGTCCACGGGGACCCAAGAGACCTAAAGGGAGGACAAGATACGAGGCTTTACTTCCAAATCAAATCTGGCACGTTGACATTCACTTTCTCAATAAACGCAGAAGTGAATTATTGTATGGAGTAATAGATGATTGTACCAGAATGGTTTTGGAGTGGCAGCATCTCTCCTCCAAACATGCAAATCAGACCGTTAAGGTAATTGAGCGGGCCATAAAACGTTTTGGTCCCCCTCATACCATATGGTCTGATAATGGAGGAGAGAATAGAGGTGAATTCCTACAAGCGATGAGATGCAAAGGAATTCGAAATGTCTATATTGTGCCACATTGCCCTTACCAAAACGGTAAGATTGAGCGATTGTGGCCCAATATAGAAAACCGCAATCTAACATGGAGTAAAATTCAGAGTTGGGTCAATTCCTATAACTCCAAGCCCCATGCCGCACTACCGACACGTCTTCTCAATGGAAGGAAAATCAATTATAGTCCAAATGAATTATGGATGAAGGGGCCCATTTGGAGACCAGGAATTCCTGTCAAATGGGTCGTTGATGGAGTTACCCAAGACTTTCTCCCAGGATCAGTACAGGCTAGAGAAATACCAGAACTCCAAGATGAGGAAGAAGAAATCGATAATAAAGATGGTAAAAAAGAGAAGGAGGGACAAAGTGAAGAATATGAAGGTGGATATGAAGAAGAATATGAAATAAATTATGAAGAAGATAATGATGAATAAAATGCCACTTTTTATATTTTTGACACGTAAAGTTGTCACTTTTCTGTCAAACTATTTTTATCGTTTTCGTATATAACAGCTCTGACAATGTTACACTTACCTTTTCCGAACAATGGGTTTGTAAGACTTTCGTTCAACATGAAGTGGTTGTGGACAATTACAATCTTCAACCATGGTAAATTGAACTCAACAACATAGTCGTCATGTGAAGAACCTTTAGCTGTAGGTATGTTGACTCGGATATTGACATTTGCCAACGGTGCAATTTTTGCCAATTGACCTCTGAGAATGTACCTTGTCTTCACACATGACTCAAGATACTTCATCTTCTCTTCTGTAACAAGACCAGAGTTCCTGAGACATGTAAGAATGCAAGGTTCATTGACAATTGTTTCAATTGAATTGTAAATTCCATACCTTGTCAAGTCAATGTCAGACTTATTTATGAACGGGAAGTATCCAGCATGTTGTCTGACTGCTTGAGGGTTAGGTTGGTACCATTCAAATTTTACACTTGCAATTCCTTCAATTGCATTCAAAATGTCTGAGTCGGAGTCAACCATTTGTTCTCTCTTTGTAGTCTTGAAAGCGTCAAGAAGCATTGCAGCTGTTGTGACATTGCCATGTGCATAGTAAATGTGACCGTCCAAATCTGTTATGGTTAGTCTGAGATTGTATCCTTTCTTATTTCCGTCTTGTATGGCAGCAAGTACACCCATGAAGCCTTCTTTGTTCTTTCCTTCGTCAAAGTTTACTGTAAAGGTTCGACCAGATGTAATTTGACTTCTAACTTCACGGTACTTTTCATATGCATATCTTGTTCTTTCCATGGGAGCATGTTTGTCTTCACCTTTTCCTTTTTTCCTTCTCAAAGGATACAATTGTTCGTCATGTTTCCAATAGAATCTGGCAAAGCCGTCGTGTCCTTCAACTTGCGGTTCAGAAACATCGAAAGGCATGTCCATAAGACGTTCTTCTTCTAACCTCTCTAGTCTGTTTGGATAATTTGCGCGTGCTGTTTCCAATTCCATTTCGTAGCGAAGACCAGACAATTTGTCATAGACTTTTATGGGTCTTCCCTTCCTATATTTAAAATTCTTCGAAACTTTCCAACCATATCTTTCTAACTCTGCTTTTATTCTAGCAGATTTTCTATCCATTCTATATGGGGGCATTTTTATAAAAATAAAAAAATATTTTTTTTCTTTACTTTACATAACCACCTGCTGCCATAAGTCTTTGACGCCAACCCATACCAGCTAATGAAGGTTGAGTTGGTTTAGTTTGGAAACTAAACTTTGGTTTTGGTTTATCTTCAGTTTTTGGTTTTTCTTCTTCTATCGGTTTTTCGTCACTTTTCGGTTCCTCTGACTTTACCTCACTTGCAGGTATGGTTGTGTCGTCAACATCTTCGTAAATATCATATGCCATTTGTTTTTGTTTTCCTTTCAACTTTTTGTGTTTGTTGTAAAGTTTAGAATATTTCGACTCTAAGTCAATGAGATGTTCTATAATGAACTGTTGGTCAGTGAAGTAAACTTTTCCATCTGTTGTCTCGAAAGCTCCTTCAGACTTCAATATTTTATTTGTGAGAGTCTGTTTCTTTTTTGAGATACTAGCCGTTCCATTTCTATGAAAAGTGACTTTATAGTTAGGGTTTGTATTTCCAGACCTGGCACTTTCTATTATTGAATTTTTCTCTTCATCTGTAAGTTCTTTGACAGGTTTTGACAATGGTTCTGAACTTTTTGTTTGTGGTGTCAAATCTACCGTTTCAACTTCTTCGGTCATTTCATCTCAGTAAAAAATTTTAGTTTGGTTTGTTTTCAACTGGTTGTTGTTGTTTTTTAAGTCGGTCTAAAACTTCTTGAGGTATAGGAAGAACTTGACAAACACGTGGTTGTGTAACTGCTGGAAGCCGACAAATCCATCTTGAGCCCATTTGTCTCAATGCTGTATTGTTCATTTCATCTCAGTAAAAAATTTTACATTCCCCAAGTTTGAGGCGGTTGAGGTTGGTTATTGTTTACCCACTGTTGTGCATGGTTATATCCTCTGTTAAAGAATCTTTCACCTTGGTCCATATAGTGTCCTGCTTGGTTATAGTAGTCATTTGCTTTGTTATAATAGTTTCCTGCTTCTCTTCCTACATTGTCCATCCATCCTTGAACTTTTCCTCTTGTTTCAGGATTTGGAATAAGATTTGCTGCATCTCGTGCTACATCCCAACCTTTCTGTACAGTTTGTATAATAGGTTGTGCTTTCTCTTTAAGTATACCTAATGTACTCAAAATCTTCCTTCCAACTCCAAATACACCTCTGGCTATTGTTCCCACTGCGGGCAAAAATCTGGATGCAACTCCTGCTAATGCGCCAAATAAACCCATTTCTTATAGGGTAAAAAATGACGAATCCGAACAAGGACCCCTATGTTTCTAAAGCGACAAAGAAAGCACTCATGATAAAAATCTTTAGTTCAACACCAAATGCTTGGTTTATGGATATCTTGGAAAACATTCCGAGGTATAGAGAAGATGGACCACCATACTGGCTAATATTTGTCGGTCAAAACACAAGATACTGTGAAGCTATACCATTACAGTCCAAAAATATTTTAGATGTAAAAACTGCTTTGACAATATTCGTTGACAAATACCATCCAACAAAACTGACATCTGACTGTGAAAGTTCTTTCAAATCAGACGATATTAAAAACTATCTGCGTTCAAAAAATGTAAACCAATATTTCATTGTCGACCAAAACCATTCTGCTCTTGGTGTCATTGACAGTTGTATAAAAATCTTAAGAGACTTAAACCAACCACAAGGTGGTGAGGTAGATGAAATGTCATATGACGACAAGTATAGACACTTCTCCCAGGCAAAGATGAGACAAGTTTTAAATATTTACAATAGCCGTAAACAAAAAGGTTTGGGAAACCACTCCCCCGAAGAAATGAAAAACAACCCTGACTTAGAGAAAGACTATATATTTAATAGTTTAGTCAAAAGAGACAAACAAGAAAGAATGCCAGGCTTCAAACTTAAGAAAGGTGACAAAGTAAAAATAGAAATACCTAAACGCGACCCATATGAAAATACTATTGACTATGACAACAATGGGAACCCGACAGGTACTCACATTCGTGTTCGTAAAAATAGAAGAAAGTATACAAGAGAATATTATGAAGTTTTAGGCAAACATGGCAAAATGTACAGACTGCAAGCAGAAGATAAAACTACTATTGTCAGACCTCGTTTCAAACTTGTCAAAGTTCAAGGTGGTATACTTTCAAAGACAGTTCCTAACAAATATAAGACAACTCCTGACGAATATGCTAAAGAAGTTGAAAATGACGACTAAGCAATTCTATACCATGCGTAAACTGTCATGTAAGGTGGCATGTAGTCTTTACTTTGTCCCGTTGTTTGTGTATATCCTGTAACGCGATGTGTATGGTTTCCATCTCCCTGAGTGTCACTCCAGTAACAATTTATAGCAAACTGAACGTCGTCTTTAACATCATATCCTTTACCTTTTTTCAAGGCGTGCCAATCCCAAAATTTATGCTTATGCCAACCTGCTTGAGATGTACTTAAATCTACGTAGTGACTGTGTGCAGGTAGGTTTTCACCTGAAATCGTTTTACTTCCGCCTGTTTCCTTTGAAGAGTTTGCACAATACAAAAACCTGTCGACTATTTGAGTCCAAGTTCCAAAACCCAGAACTGTTTCTGGTCTGGTAGAGTTCATTGACGTATAAATAGAGCCTATAGGATATACTGTTTGAAGTATTTCTGTCTTTAACGTTTGAAGCTCTGTTTTGTCAGCTTTCTTATCTAACTCATCGTTAACATATTTTTGTCAGCTTTTTATCTAACTCATCGTTAACATATGTTTTGTCAGCTTTTTTATCATATAAATCTTGAGCAGTGAATTTAACTTTTTTCATCCTCCATGACATAGACATTTCTACATCTAGTGTATTTCATCGTCGTTATGTCATCCTCCGATGTTAAACCTTGTGGAAAGTTAGGAGGTTTCCAATTTAATACATCCCCACCAGTTTCTTCAACCGTTCCTTCAATATTTTCTATACCAACAGTTGCGAAGAAATCGTGTGTATGAGTCTTTTTAGAATATTCTTTGTCAGCTCTTGTCACTTCACTTGACATTTTATTGTCAACATATGTTTTATCTGCTTTGTCATCTAACATTGCTGGTAGTTCATCTACGTCATAGATGTTATGTGTATGATGTTTTTGTGGGTATGTTCTATCTGTCCATGCGAGAATATAGTCTCTTGTTGCATCTACATACTCTTTGTCAGCTTTGTTGTCAATATCTGCTTTCAAAAGAAGTTCATCTATAGGTTCTCGTTTAAAGTTCTTTTTGTTGGATTTATACAAACAGTATGGTTCTTACTGTCTTGAAACAGAAACTCGTCTGTCAATGGTTTATCGTCAGTTTTAAGTTTCCTTCTTTCAATGACTCAGATATCTTAGAATAGTTTGAAAAGTTTTTGTGTTCTTATTTAGAGCTTGTACAATGAGTTGTCGGTTGTGTTGTATTTCTCTCATAGACGCTGTTTCTTTCGACATTTTTATTCTAGAAAATATGCTTTCAATAGAAAAAGAAAATTCAAGAGTTGCTACAACTAAACCATTAGATGAACTTTTTACTAACGTCGGTCAAAAGTTTGAGACAGAGACCGTAAAGCATGAAGGCTATCGTTTTGACTACCCGTTAAGATGGTTAAGAGACCCATCCGTCACAAAAGCTATTGGCTTTCGTAGAATGAAGTTCATTTCAGAAGCCATACATGGTTTCCCATTTACGGTCGCTTTTGAAGTTCGATACTATAACAAAGAAAAACGTACGTATGAGAAATTTGAACAGGGAAAACTTTTACAAGTGAATTTGCTTGTAAACTTAGAAACAATCTTCAAGCTTTTCAAGAAAAAATAAACGATATCTATCTCGAATATGCAAAACAGTACAACATTGACGAAGGAGAGTACCATCTCGATATTATATATGACAGGAAAAATGCAACTGTTAAAATCAATAGAATAGAAGACCTTGGAGAAGACGTTTATATTTCTACAAAATATAACAACTTGCATGGTATAGGTTTCTGAGGATGTTAAATCAGCCTGCAGAATATCCAGTACACCCGGACTTTTATGAAGTCGAAAACCCTAATGGAACATATGAAAATGTTTTCGACTCAGATGCTATTATAGTTCATGCTTCATTTTCTGGCGCCCAAAACTCTTTTTTATGCTTGGCAAATGACTTTTACGAAAAACCTACAAAGCTATATGAACCACCGAGTGGAAGTATTTCAGACTTTCAAGTATGGTTTACAACAGATGGAAGAAAGAGAATAGTTCCATTATACCATGCGTTTTACTTAGAACTTAGTCTCATATACAACTACTATCGAACAGTAAAAATATAATTTTTAATACGGTTGAGGTGTTGGATTTGGTTGCCAACTAGACTGTGGTGCAGGTTCAGGCTGTTGTATAACAGGAGCTTGTTCTTCTGGTTCAGGTCTTTAGGTATAATACCAACGAACTGACCTACTCTTTTACCAATATTTTTGACTCCGTTCCAAATTCCTCTTCCTACGGTTTTTATTCCATTCCATATACCTCTTCCAACATTTCGAAAGAAGTTTCCAATACTACTGAAGAAACCCATTTTACTATATGTAAAAATCTAATGTCCACCTAGTCTCTTACGTTTCCTTCTGAGTTCCATTGCATTCTTTAACTGGAGCTCATACATTCTATTTCTCCTCTGGTAGAAAACATACTCTGGGTCAACTCCTGTGTTCGCGTCATCTGCATAGAGTTGTTTATATCCCACTTCAGGGTTTGTATAAAACTCTTTCCATCTCATATTTGCATACCATGTGGCAAACCTAACGCAGCGTCATTTGACATGGCAGTTTGCATTTGTACATCTGTTGGCACTTGACCATAGTTTGCCATTGCAGTTTGTATTCTAACTTCATTTGGAATATTCTCTGGGTTTGGTTGTCCAGGTTGCTGTGCATTCGCTAAGTTCTGTGCGTCCATTTAATATTAGATAAAAATATCTCTTACGAGTACATATACTGAACATTTGCAGGCATTGGTTCATCTTCATATTCTCTGTACTTTTCTGCCACGTCAAATAAATAAATGACACAATGGAAAAAACCTAAAACAAGTAGTCCTATTTCAAACCACATTTACTTACTAATAAAATTTCTTTATTGTGACACTTTCTCCAGTTTATAGGACCTCTCTCATATTCTATCTTGTCATATATAAACTCATAGTCATGTATGTCCTCTAACCATCTCATAACGGTTTCCAAACCACTTTTATCGGATGTAAAGTAAAAGCATGGATGGTTATGTAAAACGTCTAAAGTTTCTAAAGAGTCTCTCAAAGTCCAGTCTACTTGGTATTGAAAATCCCATGTGTTATAGAACGGTGGGTCCACCATAAAGAAAACATTTTCCTTGTCTTTATATTTTTCATACAACTCTGTCCAATGACATCTCACAAACTCTATACCCTCAATATATTTTTCTATGTCCTCTTTGAAAACATTTGTATAGTTGAGATATAAAACTTTTGACATAAGTGTTTCAATGTCATGAACTCTTATAGCACCACTATATAATAGTCTAGCAGATATACTATTCCAGTCTATATATTCTGCTTTTTTCAAAACCTCTCTCACAATATTTTTCTTATCTAATGGTATACGTTCCATCTTACCTATAGGTATCTTTTCTTTTAACTCTTTCAATATATTGTTTGTGTCTGGTATATGTTTGAGACGGTCCATATAGTTGTCGAAGTCATTGCATATAATCTTTGAGTCTGGGAATATTGTATGGCACAAATGGGATATATAGAAACTTCCACCGAACAAATCTACAAATGTTAGACCATTCGGTAGTTTCTTAAGTTCTCTCAATATAATATCTTTACATTTACTCTTATTTCCAAAGAACGGTAACGGTGGTTTTGTAAAATTCATTTATATATAATAATAAAAATGTTTTTACCTGAAAAGTGACAGAAAAGTGACAAAACATGAAAACATATATAATTTGTGAAAAGCGACACATTATATAATGTTTTCGACCCAGAAGAAGGCTTCTTCCCAGAAGCAATGGAGGAAGAAGAAGAGTCCTCCGAATAAAAACTTCATTTATACTAAACATCAACATCAGGGCTAGAAGGCACGAAGTGCCTGGAAGCCCCACTACCTTTTTTTTTTTTTTTTTTTTTTTTTTAATCTGAGTATTAAATTAAGTGATAAATTCGTTTGACACTACTTTAATTTTTAAATTCAAAAAATTATATGTGCTTCTTAAAATGACTCAAAAATTTTTATTATAAAATAATATATAATATTAAAAATCCCACAAAAATTTTTACTTTACATAATCGTACTTCCTCGACGATTAATTTCCACTCAATTTCTATCGTTGACCGAACTTAGCATGCAACAGTTCAGATGTTTCTTTAAAATGTTTTTCTGCTGCAATATGGAGAGCAGTAGATCCTTTTTCATTCTTTTCATTGATATTTGCACCATGTGAAATAAGAAGCTCGGCAATTTCTTTATTATAATGTTTTGCTGCAATATGGAGAGCGGTAGATCCTTTTTCATTCTTTTCATTGATATTTGCACCATGTGAAATAAGAAGCTCGGCAATTTCTTTATTATAATGTTTTGCTGCATTATGAAGAGCGGTAGATCCTTTTTCATTCTTTTCATTGATATTTGCACCATGTGAAATAAGAAGTTCGGCAATTTCTTTATGATTATGTTTTGCTGCAATATGAAGAGCGGTTTCTCCATCATTATCTTTTTCATTGAAATTTGCACCATATGAAATAAGAAGTTCAGCCGTTTCATTGCTATTATTTATTGCTGCATTATGAAGAGGTGTTTTTCCATTTTTATTTTTTACATTGAAATTTGCACCATGTGAAATAAGAAGTTCGGCAATTTCTTTACTATTATAAAATGATGCATCATGAAGAGCAGTAGTATAATTTTCGTTTTCATTGATATTTGCACCATGAGAAATAAGAAAATCAGCTATTTCTTTCCTATTATTTATTGCTGAATAATGAAGAGCAGTTCTTCCGAAATCATCTATTTTATCGACATTTGCACCATGTGAAATAAATAATTTGGCCATTTCTTTGTAATTTTGATTTGTTGCAATATGAAGAGCAGTTCTTCCATCAAGACCTCCTTCATTGATATTTGCATCATGTAAAATAAGAAGTTCAGCTATTTCTTTATGATTATTTTTTGTTGCATAATGAAGAGCAGTTTTTTCATAATTATCTTTTACATTGATATTTGCACCATATGAAATAAGAAGTTCAGCAATTTCTTTGTTATTACTTATTGCTGTATAATGAAGAGCGGTTTTTCCATCATTATCTTTTTCATTGATATTTGCACCATATGAAATAAGAAGTTCAGCAATTTCTTTGTTATTACTTATTGCTGTATAATGAAGAGCGGTTTCTCCGTCATTATTTTTTTCATTGATATTTGCACCATGTAAAATAAAAAGTTCAGCAATTTCTTTGTTATTATTTTGTGCTGTAATATGAAGAGCAGTTTCTCCATTTTCATCTTTTTCATTGATATTTGCGCCATGTGAAATAAGAAGTTCAGCTACTTCTTTGCTATTATTAAATGCTGCATTATGAAGAGCGGTTTTTCCATTTTTATCTTTTTCATTGATATTTGCATCATGTGAAATAAGAAGTTCAGCAATTTCTTTGTTATTATTTTTCGCTGTATTATGAAGAGCGGTTTCTCCGGTATAATCTTTTTCATTGGTATTTGCCCCATGTGAAATAAGAAGTTCAGCTACTTCTTTGCTATTATAATATGCCGCATGATGAAGAGGAGTTCTTTTGTAATTATCTTTTTCATTGATATTTGCGCCATGTGAAATAAGAAGTTCCGCAATTTCTTTGCTATTATAATATACCGCATGATGAAGAGCGGTTTCTCCGCTATCATCTTTTTCATTGATATTTGCACCATGTGAAATAAGAAGCTCGGCTACTTCTTTACTATCATTTACTGCCGCATGATGAAGAGGAGTTCTTTTGTAAATATCTTTTTCATTGATATTTGCACCAAGTGAAATGAAATATTTGCAAAGAGATGGAATGCTAAACAGAGATGAATAAACAAAACAGGTGTTAACATCATCAGTTTGATCAAAATAAACTAAAAAAGAATCAAGATTATTAAGAACTCCACAATAGAATAAATTGATCTCTATATTGTATTCATTCATCAAGAATGTAACAAAATCAATGTTGTGTGAAATAATAGCATTTTCCATGGATTCTTCACTTGGTGTTTGATGTTTCAAACATTCACTCATAATCTCTTGATTTCCTCCTAAAAATGAAATATCGAGACATGTTTGAGTTATTTCTGAGTCAATTTTCGTCCTTAATAATTTGAAACAATCAACAGCACCATGGTAACAGCATAACTCAAGTAATGAATATCCTTTCTGATCATTTGGAAATGGATATAAATCGCTTTCAAGTATTTGATTTTGATCAAATTCATCACTTTCCGTGAATGTGATGAATCTTTCTAAGTCATTGTACATGATTGCTTTGTAAATTGTATTTTCTGTATGAATTTCGAGATTTTCTGAGTTAATTTCTTCGAAATCATAAGATTTGTTTAAATTAATTCCATATTCTTTATAAAATAGGTAGGAAACAGCTAATGGAACTTTGAATGACTCTGTTACATGATAATTATCATAAATGAGTTTGGCAAGATATAAATATGACTTTGTATAGCGATTATTATATTGAATGATACATAAAATATCTTCCATTATTTTTTGGGGAAGATATTTATTTGAATCTATCAATTCCGTTTTGATCATTGTGTAAATCTTTTTTAATTCTTCATCATTATCACTTTTCAGCTGATACAAAGCATTATATGAATCTATGTAGTATTTGTAGATACTTCGCAGTTCACTGTATTTAGTTTGGTTAATATCAGACATTAAAAATGATTATTAGTCAAAAATTTTATTTTACATTTTACATTTGACATTTTACACACAATTTTAAATGATTATTAGTCAAAAATTTTATTTTACATTTTACATTTTACACGCAATTTTAAATGATTATTGGTCAAAAATTTTATTTTACATTTTACATTTTACACGCAATTTTAAATGATTATTGGTCAAAAATTTTATTTTACATTTTACATTTTACACACAATTTTAAATGATTATTAGTCAAAAATTAAATTGTGTGGAAATAGAACGTAGATGCAATTCTAGTTTTTTCATTGGAATTTTTGTAAATTATTTTCATGGAAATACGGAGGAATTAACAAGCATATCATGTGATTTATTGATCTGCAGTGTGAAGATATAAATATAATTTGGGGCAGCAGTGTGAAGATATATATTTCAGGTGGTTTCGCTTGCCCTTTCGGGAATTTTTATAAAAAAGAAGAAAGTAATGAAATAAAAGAAAAAAAAAGTAATTTACAATCTCATTTCACCTCTATGCCAGTCATGTGATGATTGTTTCATCTGTTTCTTTGCATCAAGTTTTGACTCCTTGTTGTAGTTATTGAATTGGTTGAGAGATCCTTTGTCGATGTGTTTCTTTGGAGCACTCTTTGGAGTGTTCTTCTTCTGTTGAGGAGCAGCTTTGACTTCTCTCTTTGCTCCTTTGTTTGCTGCTGCAGCCGCCATCAAGAAAGCCATTTCCTCGTCCTCGTCCATCTCTGGCTTCTTCTCTTTCTCTGGTTTAGAAGCAGCAGGTGGTGGTGGAGGTGGTGCAGAGATAACTGGTGCTGGAGGAACTTCGATCTCTCCATCTTCTTCGGAATCATCCATGAGATTGGCAAATGCGGACTTATGTGTCTCGATTACGTCGAGTTTCTCTTCGACCTTCTTTGGAGCGGCCTTCTGGGAGCGTGGTGCGGAAAGGAAGGCTTCGAAGAGTCCATCAGGGAATGGATACAAGACAGCTTTGAGGAAACTGTCTAATCTCTTTGTCTCGAGGTCTTTGACCTTGTCTTGCTCTAACGCGATGTGTATGGTTTCCATCTCCCTGAGTGTCACTCCAGTAACAATTTATAGCAAACTGAACGTCGTCTTTAACATCATATCCTTTACCTTTTTTCAAGGCGTGCCAATCCCAAAATTTATGCTTATGCCAACCTGCTTGAGATGTACTAAATCTACGTAGTGACTGTGTGCAGGTAGGTTTTCACCTGAAATCGTTTTACTTCCGCCTGTTTCCTTTGAAGAGTTTGCACAATACAAAAACCTGTCGACTATTTGAGTCCAAGTTCCAAAACCCAGAACTGTTTCTGGTCTGGTAGAGTTCATTGACGTATAAATAGAGCCTATAGGATATACTGTTTGAAGTATTTCTGTCTTTAACGTTTGAAGCTCTGTTTTGTCAGCTTTCTTATCTAACTCATCGTTAACATATGTTTTGTCAGCTTTTTTTATCTAACTCATCGTTAACATATGTTTTGTCAGCTTTTTTATCATATAAATCTTGAGCAGTGAATTTAACTTTGTTTTCATCCTCCATGACATAGACATTTCTACATCTAGTGTATTTCATCGTCGTTATGTCATCTCCCGATGTTAAACCTTGTGGAAAGTTAGGAGGTTTCCAATTTAATACATCCCCACCAGTTTCTTCAACCGTTCCTTCAATATTTTCTATACCAACAGTTGCGAAGAAATCGTGTGTATGAGTCTTTTTAGAATATTCTTTGTCAGCTCTTGTCACTTCACTTGACATTTTATTGTCAACATATGTTTTATCTGCTTTGTCATTAACATTGCTGTAGTTCATCTACGTCATAGATGTTATGTGTATGATGTTTTTGTGGGTATGTTCTATCTGTCCATGCGAGAATATAGTCTCTTGTTGCATCTACATACTCTTTGTCAGCTTTGTTGTCAATATCTGCTTTCAAAAGAGTTCATCTATAGGTTTCTCGTTTAAAGTTTTTTGTTGGATTTATACAAACAGTATGGTTCTTACTGTCTTGAAACAGAAACTCGTCTGTCAATGGGTTTATCGTCAGTTTTAAGTTTCCTTCTTTCAATGACTCAGATATCTTAGAATATTGAAAAGTTTGTTGTGTTCTTATTTAGAGCTTGTACAATTAGTTGTCGGTTGTGTTGTATTTCTCTCATAAGACGCTGTTTCTTTCGACATTTTTATTCTAGATAAAATATGCTTTCAATAGAAAAAGAAAATTCAAGAGTTGCTACAACTAAACCATTAGATGAACTTTTTACTAACGTCCGTCAAAAGTTTGAGACAGAGACCGTAAAGCATGAAGGCTATCGTTTTGACTACCCGTTAAGATGGTTAAGAGACCCATCCGTCACAAAAGCTATTGGCTTTCGTAGAATGAAGTTCATTTCAGAAGCCATACATGGTTTCCCATTTACGTCGCTTTTGAAGTTCGATACTATAACAAAGAAAAAAAAGTACGTATGAGAAATTTGAACAGGGAAAACTTTTACAAGTGAATTTGCTTGTAAACTTAGAAACAAAATCTTCAAGCTTTTCAAGAAAAAATAAACGATATCTATCTCGAATATGCAAAACAGTACAACATTGACGAAGGAGAGTACCATCTCGATATTATATATGACAGGAAAAATGCAACTGTTAAAATCAATAGAATAGAAGACCTTGGAGAAGACGTTTATATTTCTACAAAATATAACAACTTGGCATGGTATAGGTTTCTGAGGATGTTAAATCAGCCTGCAGAATATCCAGTACACCCGGACTTTTATGAAGTCGAAAACCCTAATGGAACATATGAAAATTTTTCGACTCAGATGCTATTATAGTTCATGCTTCATTTTCTGGCGCCCAAAACTCTTTTTTATGCTTGGCAAATGACTTTTACGAAAAACCTACAAAGCTATATTGAACCACCGAGTGGAAGTATTTCAGACTTTCAAGTATGGTTTACAACAGATGGAAGAAAGAGAATAGTTCCATTATACCATGCGTTTTACTTAGAACTTAGTCTCATATACAACTACTATCGAACAGTAAAAATATAATTTTTAATACGGTTGAGGTGTTGGATTTGGTTGCCAACTAGACTGTGGTGCAGGTTCAGGCTGTTGTATAACAGGAGCTTGTTCTTCTGGTTCAGGGTCTTTAGGTATAATACCAACGAACTGACCTACTCTTTTTACCAATATTTTTGACTCCGTTCCAAATTCCTCTTCCTACGGTTTTTATTCCATTCCATATACCTCTTCAACATTTCGAAAGAAGTTTCCAATACTACTGAAGAAACCCATTTTACTATATGTAAAAAATCTAATGTCACCTAGTCTCTTACGTTTCCTTCTGAGTTCCATTGCATTCTTTAACTGGAGCTCATACATTCTATTTCTCCTCTGGTAGAAAACATACTCTGGGTCAACTCCTGTGTTCGCGTCATCTGCATAGAGTTGTTTATATCCCACTTCAGGGTTTGTATAAAACTCTTTCCATCTCATATTTTGCATACCATGGTGGCAAACCTAACGCAGCGTCATTTGACATGGCAGTTTGCATTTGTACATCTGTTGGCACTTGACCATAGTTTGCCATTGCAGTTTGTATTCTAACTTCATTTGGAATATTCTCTGGGTTTGGTTGTCCAGGTTGCTGTGCATTCGCTAAGTTCTGTGCGTCCATTTAATATTAGATAAAAATATCTCTTACGAGTACATATACTGAACATTTGCAGGCATTGGTTCATCTTCATATTCTCTGTACTTTTCTGCCACGTCAAATAAATAAATGACACAATGGAAAAAACCTAAAAACAAGTAGTCCTATTTCAAACCACACTTACTTACTAATAAAATTTCTTTATGTGACACTTTCTCCAGTTTATAGGACCTCTCTCATATTCTATCTTGTCATATATAAACTCATAGTCATGTATGTCCTCTAACCATCTCATAACGGTTTCCAAACCACTTTTATCGGATGTAAAGTAAAAGCATGGATGGTTATGTAAAACGTCTAAAGTTTCTAAAGAGTCTCTCAAAGTCCAGTCTACTTGGTATTGAAAATCCCATGTGTTATAGAACGTGGGTCCACCATAAAGAAAACATTTTCCTTGTCTTTATATTTTTCATACAACTCTGTCCAATGACATCTCACAAACTCTATACCCTCAATATATTTTTCTATGTCCTCTTTGAAAACATTTGTATAGTTGAGATATAAAACTTTTGACATAAGTGTTTCAATGTCATGAACTCTTATAGCACCACTATATAATAGTCTAGCAGATATACTATTCCAGTCTATATATTCTGCTTTTTTCAAAACCTCTCTCACAATATTTTTTCTTATCTAATGGTATACGTTCCATCTTACCTATAGGTATCTTTTCTTTTAACTCTTTCAATATATGTTTGTGTCTGGTATATGTTTGAGACGGTCCATATAGTTGTCGAAGTCATTGCATATAATCTTTGAGTCTGGGAATATTGTATGGCACAAATGGGATATATAGAAACTTCCACCGAACAAATCTACAAATGTTAGACCATTCGGTAGTTTCTTAAGTTCTCTCAATATAATATCTTTACATTTACTCTTATTTCCAAAGAACGGTAAGGTGGTTTTGTAAAATTCATTTATATATAATAATAAAAATGTTTTACCTGAAAAGTGACAGAAAAGTGACAAAACATGAAAACATATATAATTTGTGAAAAGCGACACATTATATAATGTTTTCGACCCAGAAGAAGGCTTCTTCCCAGAAGCAATGGAGGAAGAAGAAGAGTCCTCCGAATAAAAACTTCATTTATACTAAACATCAACATCAGGGCTAGAAGGCACGAAGTGCCTGGAAGCCCACTACCTTTTTTTTTTTTTTTTTTTTTTTTTTAATCTGAGTATTAAATTAAGTGATAAATTCGTTTGACACTACTTTAATTTTTAAATTCAAAAATTATATGTGCTTCTTAAAATGACTCAAAAAATTTTATTATAAAATAATATATAATATTAAAAATCCCACAAAAATTTTTACTTTACATAATCGTACTTCCTCGACGATTAATTTCCACTCAATTTCTATCGTTGACCGAACTTAGCATGCAACAGTTCAGATGTTCTTTAAAATGTTTTTCTGCTGCAATATGGAGAGCAGTAGATCCTTTTTCATTCTTTTCATTGATATTTGCACCATGTGAAATAAGAAGCTCGGCAATTTCTTTATTATAATGTTTTGCTGCATTATGAAGAGCGGTAGATCCTTTTTCATTCTTTTCATTGATATTTGCACCATGTGAAATAAGAAGCTCGGCAATTTTCTTATTATAATGTTTTTGCTGCATTATGAAGAGCGGTAGATCCTTTTTCATTCTTTTCATTGATATTTGCACCATGTGAAATAAGAAGTTCGGCAATTTCTTTATGATTATGTTTTGCTGCAATATGAAGAGCGGTTTCTCCATCATTATCTTTTTCATTGAAATTTGCACCATATGAAATAAGAAGTTCAGCCGTTTCATTGCTATTATTTATTGCTGCATTATGAAGAGGTGTTTTTCCATTTTTATTTTTTACATTGAAATTTGCACCATGTGAAATAAGAAGTTCGGCAATTTCTTTACATATTTAAATGATGCATCATGAAGAGCAGTAGTATAATTTTCGTTTTCATTGATATTTGCACCATGAGAAATAAGAAAATCAGCTATTTCTTTCCTATTATTTATTGCTGAATAATGAAGAGCAGTTCTTCCGAAATCATCTATTTTATCGACATTTGCACCATGTGAAATAAATAATTTGGCCATTTCTTTGTAATTTTGATTTGTTGCAATATGAAGAGCAGTTCTTCCATCAAGACCTCCTTCATTGATATTTGCATCATGTAAAATAAGAAGTTCAGCTATTTCTTTATGAATTATTTTGTTGCATAATGAAGAGCAGTTTTTTCATAATTATCTTTTACATTGATATTTGCACCATATGAAATAAGAAGTTCAGCAATTTCTTTGTTATTACTTATTGCTGTATAATGAAGAGCGGTTTT